TTCACGCTTGCCCGTACTGATCGTATTGACGACCTTGCCCATACCCTGGGGAAGTGACTCGGCAGCGACTTCTCCAGCAGCAGGCGCAGAGGGAGTAGGCTTTGCGGGGGCAGCTGGTGGAGCAGCCTGATGAGGTGGTCAGCATCATAGCAAGAGATTGACCAAGGGCTACTCACAGCTGGGGGGAGAGCAGCCGCGTTTGGATTCCCGGCGGTACCAGTGTTGGAAGCACCAAGGAGAGTGTTCATCAGATTGGCGACCTGATCTGCTCCGTTGGCCCCTTCGAATCCAATAGCTCCATCACCGACTACCAACGCTGGAGAGTAAGCACCCATGTTGATGTTGAGCGGGAGGGAGAGGACGGCCGTAGCCGCGAAGATGGCGATGAATGCGGATGGGTATTGCATGATTGATATTGGTATTCTGATAGATGAATAGGTCTATGAGTGGGTGAATAGACAAGAGAAATGGAAAGTCTAGCGCTCTAAAAGAATTGGGTGTACAGAAGTTAGAATGAGACCCGCTGGAGAAGAATCAGTAGAGTCGGGGGTTTCGCTCAGCCTTTATGTTCATGGACGTATCGACTCAGCGGGCCAGTGGCCAAGAAACACAATCATCTGAAATGCAAGACGAAGTCCGGGGGCAAACACGGGACAGCCAAGCGTATCCTGAGCCGCCAGAAGTGCTTGATGGTTTCGAAGATAGGTGGAGCAGCTGGAAACACCAGCAATCAGAATGCTTACTTCAATATGCCAATGCTTGGACATAGAATCAAGCATGTTACAAGAAGCCAAGAGGTCTCTTGGTATTCGCCCAAGATCGCACGGTTATCCGGGGAGTGTCCCTGAGTGCTTCGGTGGTGCTTGATTCAGCCCTGGCTTCGCGCTACGGTCTGCGGTCGAGAATGCCGCAGATTGTTTTCTCACCGATTCTCGTCAGCCAGCGCGAGCCGTTGAAGCATTAGATGAGGCCATACCAGCGGTTCAGACGCATATTTCTTCCCACCAGAGCTATCCGAGTGTCGCAGAACCGAGATGTGAAACGGTCTGTGACGACACGTGACCTTAGCAGCTGATCTCGCCGCGAGAGAATGGGCGAATTTGTTCAACCAACGATTTGTTAAATTCCTGCCTCGGTTTTGCATTTGCGACTGGATCGAGGATCTTAAATTCCATTCGTGATAGCGATGCTGGCTGCAACGAACAGGATCATAGGATAGAACAGGAAGAAAGTACACCAGAACATTAGGCAGCGGACCAAGATCTGTTCCAAAGAAGTGACGGATGACTGTGCGAAAACAACGCACCAAGACAATAGACAGCGGACCAAGAAACGTCCTAAAGAAGTAACAGATGACTGTGCGGAAACTAAAGATACCAAGCCTTGCATAAATCTCTTGGGAGACGACGGCCAAGGAGATACAATAAGGAGAGAACGGGATGAGAGAAGTACAGTCCCAAGTCTATATGACCTTGCTATGTTTACATAACCTTGCCATATCGACCGGACAGCCAGCGCGAAAGTGGAATCCAATATCGACGGAGGTTCAACAACAAATAAGCCGGCAAACAAATGGACAAGTATACTAGAAGTAACAACCGACTTACGCCTCTCGGGAACGAGAAAGAGCAGCGGTATACAGCAAGTAGCATTCTGCAATTCTCAAATTTGTGATACTGGTAAGCAAAGGGGGAATCTCATCCTATTCTGCACCAGACTAACACGTCCACGCCAGCCCAAAGTCATTTCACGCCCAATAAATATTCAATCCCTTACACCCTTTTTGATCTACATGTGCATTGCGACCCTCGCGCAGCATCAATTCCTGTACCGAAGCCCATGGCAAAGAAAAAAGAAAAACGAGTTACAGTAGAATTACCCAAGGTTCATACAAGTCCACCGGTGACCGTCCTGTTTTATCATCTGCCTCCCGGTCGCACACTCGCCATCTCTCCGTACCGGCCACGTTCTCGCGTGGTGTCGTAGGCCTGTAAGACGCGGGTTTGGGACTCGTCGGCTTGTGAGAAAGCGTAACCACGTTGCTTGCGCATGCGTTGTACTTGTCGTACTTTTCGGATTGCTTTTTGGAATTGCTCCATTCTGTGGCGTGTTAATAGATGCTTTGTATACGAAGAGGGGATAAATACCTTGGCCTGTAATCCTGGATGTTGTATTTTTGGATTTCTTGGATGTGGTGATAGGTTTGCGGATAATACATACGTTTTGCGCTGGAAATATGTTATTAAAGATTGAGCGACTTTACGGAGTGAACTTACTATTTCCAAGCGAAGTCTCTGACAAGACAGAGGACAGGCAGCACCAAGCCTTGAAGCCAATTTACTGGACTGGAGAAAAGTCGGGGAAGGACACCTTCGTATTCCATCGAGAAGCCAAGCCTTGGAGCGACCTCGGCATAGACTGAGAGAAACGCCATCCATATGACCATGCTTCCGGGTATGGAAATCACGTGGTACTTGGTCCATATATTGGTGACCAATGCTGCCTTGCCCAAGACTGTGGCGAGTACGGCTGTGTACAAAGCTGTGCCCCAGACCCAGTGACCAGAGGTCTTACCGTCACTCTGGGGCAGATCACGCCACCAGATTAACTCGGACGCAAGATAGAGGACCAGAGAATGATAGAATCCATTGCCAACCCACGAGACGAAAGAGTGCTTCTTGAAGAACGTGTTCTTTTGACCGAGTTGGTACAATTGTGGATATCTGTCCAAGAGACGTGCCGAGATGAATTGATCGAAAATTCCCATGGCGAGGGGTGGGAAGACGGTGAAGAAAACGTTATAAAAAGACAATGTCCAAGATTCGTAGATTACTTGTCCGGAGAATGCGTTTTGGAAGGAGTACTGAACACATTAGTTGCATCCAGATTGTCAAGGGTTCTGCTTACCCAAAATTGAGTCATGTACAAGGTGATATTCTTGTAGAAAGAGTACAAGATGACTTTGCACACTCTCTGGTAACTCCAGGCTCCATGCACGAGGAGCAGTTTGCGCAAATATCTAAATTGTGCAATGGCCACATCTGCACTTCGCGCAGCTTGTAGACCTTCCATACCACTGATACCAACACCAATATGTGCAGCTTGGATCATGGATACATCATTTGCGCCATCACCAATGGCAAGGAGAACGGCCTTTAGATGACGCTTGACCAGCTTGACAACCAGGGCTTTCTGAAGAGGCGATACACGACAGCAGATCACAGCCTTGCACATGACGGCGAGATCGAGGAAATTCTTCTCGAGGTCCTTTTCCAGAGCATAAGTCAGAGACTTCCCATCAATGACAAGCGCAAGGGTGTCCATGGCGATGGTTCCATCGCCCTGAGTCCGAATTGCGTCAAGCTTCTTTTGAAGATTGTCGCGGGTCATTGCAGCGGTCTCTTCGTTAACAATCAAAAGAGTCATATCTTCACTGATGAGTTTGCAACTCATGCCAATGTTGATTGCAGTCTCTTGGCGATCTCCAGTCAGAACCCAAACTTTGATTCCGGCTTCTTGAAGGGTATGAATAGTCTCGGGCACTCCGTCTTGAAGACGATCTTCAATAGCCGTGGCACCAAGAAGGTAGAAGTTCTTTTCCAAGAGCTCAGCAGCTTTATCAAGTTCGTTAGCACGATTTCCGCTGACGGTCGTCTGGGCCTTGTCAAAAACTTTCCACCATTCCTGAAATTCTCGCTCGGAAATCTGTCGCATAGCCAGACAAAGAGTTCGTAGACCTTCAGATGCATACTCTTCAAGATGTTGCAAAGTCAGCTCGGTGTGGGGGTTGTTATCGGGACTCAATCGCTCTAGGATGACGGTGTCGGCTCCCTTGCAGTAGCACCTGATTTGTCCATCAGGGCAACGAAAGATGGCAGACATGCGTTTCCTTGTCGAATTGAATTCGCAAACGGCCAACAGCTCGTACTCATATTCTACGCCCTTGACCGTGATTTGGACAGATCTCGGCTTTCGTGCTGTGAATTGGTACCCCATTAACACAGCGCCCTCCACCAAAGCACCTTCATCTGGCGATGCGGCTTGATATTTGATTGCACCTCCCTTTTCATCTGTCCTTTCGGGGATTACTGTATGGCAGGTTGACAATAGACAGAGGAAGTGATGGATTGCATGAGCCGATTCGTGACCGGACTCGAGATTCTGCTTTAAACGGGTGAAATCGTGGACCCCGACCTCAGTACCATCCTGAAAAGTGGCCCTACGGTCGTCAGACACCTCTGTAGCATATTGAATGCCACCAATCGAGCACTCTTTGAATTCCATCTGATTGCAAGTTAAGGTCCCAGTCTTGTCCGAGAATATATACTCAACCATCCCCAGTTCTTCAACCAAACTTGATGTTCGGCACACGGCTGGGGTATCCATTTTGTCGTAGTACATGTCCAAGTCATCGTTGATGAGAATAGCGTGCCAGTATTTGACGATTTCGAGGGTGACAAAGAGAGAGATGGGTACTAGAGCAGAATACAGGACCCAGTAAGTGAAGATGTTGGACCAGAACTGTCTAGTCTTCTCCACGGCAGTTGTCGATACAGAATAGCCGAGATAGCTCAACTCCTTTCCTTTATATGCTCGGACGATCAAGTCTCCACTCGAGCTTATGACGCTGAGAGCAATAAGGATGCCGACAAGCAGGAGGACGAGCATATTTAACTGTCGCTCTACGGCAGTCCTCTTGATAGGTGCGGATGTGGCATTGCGCATAAGTTTTGTCTCATGACCGGTAAACACAACAACGCCGTGGATCCAAGGCGTATTGCGCAGAGTTGCTCCTCTGAGCAGAAGTTGGTCAGGTTGCAGTGGTAACTCCTTCTCTCCTCCACCAGCTGAAACTGTCAAAGTCGCCTCGTACGTATAAAGACTACTGTTCGGCTGCTCAGAACGCAGCTTTCCTCCAAGCCTGCTTAAATCATTCAGACTGACCAGTACACAAGTTTCCGGAATTGCTTGCTTGATTTTAAGATTGGTTTCCCCATCCAAATTCGCGGTTTCGATATAGCAAAGACCCTCGGGTTCGGAGCTAGCAAGTAGAACAATGTCTGCGGGAAATGGCTCCTCGGATTCAACCCGGATAATGTCCCCCACCGCGACGTTGATCCATTTCGTCTCTTCGAACTGGGTTCCTCGTAAGACTCTCGCTTTCGAATTGTTCAATTGCTTGTCCGATGTCTTTCTCTTGTAGTCCTCGACCAGCTCCTTGGCAGCAGAAACCAACAACACGAGAATCAGAGGCCCGATGGTAGTGTATCTGTTTGTAGGCGAAATGTTGGGTATCTGTTGCAGCGCTGCAGTAAACAAGAAGAAGATATTCGCGAATTTAGAGAATTGTTCAAAGAGGAATTTCGGTAAGAAGGTTGCGACGTTGTACTTCGCCGTAGATATGTGGTTGTCTACGTATTTGTTTGCGCGGTTCGCCGGTGGGTTATTTAGATGTATTATCCTTGGGCCAAGGGTGGATGGATCTGGCTTCCCTCTTCCAAATCCAAACTTGAATTTGCCCACGTCGAACTTCTTCCCTGAGTGATTCGGTGTCTCTGGCTCTGTCGCATCCAGTCGGCCTCTTCCGCCCGACTCAGTCAAAGGTAGGTCCATCTCTGAGTACCCCGGGCCCATTCCTAACATACTTTTTGCCCTGCCCACCAGTCCACCGCCCATACTCAAAACACTATTGCGGTTCCTAGCTGTAGTCCCAATTTGCATACCTGCTCCATCCCCAGGTATGGCCCCGCCTTGGTGATAATACGATTGGCCATCTTCTGCGAAATCGTCCAGGTCGTCTGCGTATCGTTGGTAATTGCCAAGTCCAGATGTCTGACTGTATGTCCGGTCCCCAGAGCCTGACGCATATGGTCCTTCTCCTACTTCAGCTCCCGCCCCTTCTTGGGTTTTCCTCGAAGGATGTGATCCTCCAGCGCCCACAAAATCATCGTAGGATATCGAAGGTCGGGGATTCGTTTCATCATGGTCGGCATTGTACGCTCGCAGAAGGTCGTCATCGTTCATAGGAGGCCGCTGGCCATCATTATATATGGGTTGCTCATCATTCAGGTCGAGAAGGAGGTCGTTCCTACGGTCATTCGGGTGCTGCCCAGCCATGCTGGAAAACAGCTGATAATCGTCGCAGTCCGGTCGGCCCAAGTACCCTCCTCACTTACATCCAAGGATTTTCCAGCTTGGGAATATGCGGATGTGATGTCACTGCTGAGAAAGTCGCTGTGTGTTGGAGGCTTTATGTGATGCTGAAAGCACTCGGAAAGTGAAGTGAGTGATGCTGCTGCACAGCCCGGCCTGGTAGGATTCGGGATATGACCTAAGCTCGCTCCCAAGGCAAACCTCAACCTCGCCGGCGGATGCGGCAATAGTGCGCCGGGCTTTTCGAGGTACTGTAAGAAGTGAGTGGACTGAGTGCAGTATGTGGGTAGGCCTGACTTGAAGGATGTCTGCGGACAAGTGACTAGGCTGGGCTGAACTGGACTAGCCAGAGTAAAGAAAGAATCGATGGTGAAGTCCTGATGAGCTTTGATGCGGCTCTTCTTTGAAGTGCGCTTTCCAACATCATCATGCTTCCCAATTGCTCGGGCTGAAAGCACAGGCCCCACTTCATATCAGCCTCATGAACCTTCGACCTCAAGACTCCACTTCATTACCTCTACACCATTCACACCATCATCACCATCTACAACATCTGCCACAAGCAAACATTTAACATGGTTTGCGGAAAGTGCCAGAAAGTCACTAAAGCTACGACGCTCGCAACTCCAGGCGTTAAGAAAAAGAGTGAGATGTACTATGGCTCTCCTGCAGGCTCTTCAAAGAGTAGCGACAAGCCCAAGACTTCAGCGACGCTGGGAAATAATGGCATAGCGAAGGCAAGAGGATTATCACGCCCAGATTTTTACTTCATCCTAAAAAATTTTACAGAGTAAATTGCTATCGAAAGCCGCGAGAAACCCATACGCTACGTACTCGAGTTCCTGCTCGACGTGCAAGACGAAAATTGACCAAGGGCGGACGTATTGCCACAAATGCGCATACAAAGCAAATGGTATGAACCACTCGAAGCTACGCAGAGAATTTTCTAATAGAATCTAGCTTGTGCTATTTGTGGTAAAAAGGAATCAAAATCAACCGCTGCCGCTCCGGTCATCGCCGGACAAAAGTTCACTTTGAAGTGATTAGACGAACTTATAATAGGGTATGATCAGCATACGTTAAGGATAGGTGTTTATATGATACACAGCAAATTACGAGGGAGGCGTTCAGGATCAAAGGGTAGGAGTTTAGGATTTGGACAATTGCTAAGCGCGGAAATGAACACAGATTCCCAAAAGGAAATCCTCGTTCTCGTTACAACGATTTGATATAGAATTTGACTCTAGCCTAATGGACCTGTTTGCCTTGAATTTCCCGAATATACTGGATGCTAACGGTAGTAGGGATTCTGAGGCAATCGCCGTTTATGATATGGGATACCTTGCCATGGCCTCCCACGAAAAAGTTTGCTGCACCTAGCTGTCATTCTCCCACGAAGTATAAGGAACTGAAGATGAGCACGTAAAGGGAAAGGTCTGAGGCATATACAAGTCAGCGATTACTAACCGGAGTTGGAGGAGGCTAATTTTACTTATCTCGTCGGGGCATCAAGCCGTATCTCAGCCGTACTCGCATTTATTGGTTGTTGGACTGGCAGAGGTACAAACAAGCAATGCCTACAAGGCACCAGGGACTCCCGATCAGACTGATCTTTCGAGGACTATTTGAATTCAGAGTTCCGACTCTGGTCAGCAGCGCTTACTTGGTGGCCCAGTTTCTCTCTCAGGCACATTGGTCGCAATAATGATGTGCCAGATCTATGGGATGGTCATTCAAAGAAAGATGATGCACTGTGATGAGGTATTTGATCTAACGATCAATAATATTCAATCCAGGTCCCACCTCGCCAACCCCGTGTCGTCCAAGTTGCTGCTTTCCTCTGGTCTTTGTACAATCTTAAGATGTTTTTATCGGATTGGCCTCTGTATCGGACATAGTATGTCTGAGTTCCAGCTATCAAAAATCTTGTCAAATTTTTCTTTCATCGAATTGAGTACTGGTCTTCAGATTTTTCTAATGCGGTCCTTCGAGAATATCAAATAAACACGTTTTCTCCCTTTCTGAATATTTTTTGCGACTTCACAATTCTCCTTTTAAGGAGGCCGATGGTTTCCTATGCCGCAATATTAGTAGAGTCTGTTTCCCGTACATCAACCACCAAAATAAACTAAACATTGCTTTAGGTAGGCGCAGATTTTTCCTGTGCGCGCAAAATGGAATCCAGTTGCTTAGCCTTAAATATCGCTATTATAGATAATGAAGCTATTCGCAAAGTTACTTTGTCAGGAAATCGCCGATGAACATATAGAGATATAAGAGAACAGTGGATTCAACCTGGAATTCACTATGCATCGTAATAGTCTACGGTACGCAAGTTACTTTTTTCTTGCTCTTGCTATGATGGCCAATCCTATCACAATCGGAACAAGGGTCGGAGTTTCTAGTGCGCAATTGAGAACTCGATAGCACCACTTATCCTTGATTGTAGCCTTCGTTGCGGACGTTAGGAAGTAAGATCCAGCCTCGTCAGACAAGCTATGACAAATACACATTGGCAAATAACAGTCGCGAATTTTCAAGAGTATCAAAAGAGAGTACCCGCAGATGCCGTAGAAAGAAAAGGAATCGTAAAAAACCCCACTTACATGACCAAGGTCTCAAACGGCGACTTCTTTGAATCAGGCTATAATTGGGAGGCCATGTCGATAGGATTGGTGCTTTTCACAGGCTCCGTAGCGGCAGGAGTTCCAGAAGCAGGAGGAATCGAAGCGCCCGGGAGAAGATTGCCGGACCCGGTACCAGAAACGGTGCCGGTAAGCCCACCCAGGATTATAGTTAAAGGTCCGAGCTGAAATAGTAGCACTCAGACCAGATACTTTCTTTACAGGAGTTGAGCTATTATGACCAAAGGAATGTATCCACTCACAAGACCGCCAAGAGAATCGAGTTGGCGTCGAGATTTGGACGCGCTATGAGCGACGGGGAGGAGTCCGCCCAGTGGACTCAGGACGGATGTTAGGCTTGAAGTCGCGCCATATACCAGAACAGTGGCCCCTTAGATGTTGTCAGCTGTCGAAATTTGCGAAAGATGGGGTGGCTGGGGAGCGGTTTCTGGGGAGATGGCTATCAATCAGAAGTTTGTACCTGGAACGCTGGCCAAACCAGTGCCAACGCCCGGCAAAAGATCTAAACCTCCTCCCATTGCCTGTCGAAGCTTTTTTGAAAATTCAGCAAGCAAATACTGCGACAGCGCAACTACAATGGGTATGTTTAGACATACAGGAACGTGCAGTAGCGCCGAAGCGAACGAAGAAGCAGCAAGGATCAGAACGAAAGTAGAACGCATGATGATATGCTGAGTATATGAAATTTCTTTCGGTCGCTGGTTAAGACTAAGGACAAGTATTAGGTTGTGGATAGCACTGAATAGTAAGAGCGAGGAGAAATAGCAAATTAGTGGCCCTGGTAAATATATACCAAGTGCTGTGGCAAAATTCCATGACCACCAGATACAGGAAGTCAAACTCGTGAGAGACCATTCTGTGTGAGATTCCAAACCTCACCGAAATGCGGCCCAGATGCAGGCACGGGTGGTGTCACGGTGGTACGTGAGAGTATGTACTCCTGCTGGGCTGGACAGCACCAAGAAAATCTCGATCGTTATGCGTCTTGACAGGTCGTAAGCACATGACCATGGAACCGGTACACGTTGATAAAGATCCCCAAGTTTCCCAATTGACCATAGAATACGGGCAATCAAGACATTGACTACTGGGGTCGCAAGCCTAGCAAAAGGTATTCAATTGAGTAGGATAGAACCTGGAGGCCAGAGGAATCACCCATGGTGGAGGAGGATTGATAAAATACTTGAGCTCAGCATCATTGAGCCGAGAATGATCAGCACAAGAGTTTGAGTAGCATAGTCGTAACCACGTTGAATATATATGTTTATATATAATATATAATACAAAGCTCGCAAGCTCGCTTTGATAATCATAAACAGAGGTTGTTCTACTTAGTGACGCGCTAGTCTACCTCGTGACCGGAAGCACTCGCTAATTTAAGGCTGTTGATTCTGGTGAATCAAAACCGCGACAATGGCCTTTGTCTGCCGCAGATTGTGATCATCATCAACAACGCCAGACCCAACTACAACTCTCTTGATAACATGTAACAAAGTCACTATAGTACCAACTCGAAGTCATGAGCAGCGAGTCAGCGATGTCTTTCCTTGGCCCTTTTTCTAAGAAGATGAACTCGTCTGCCGAGGAGCCTTTCTTGGCACAGGGAACGGAACCCCGCCGCCGCCATTCGCGCTGGCCTCAAATCTCCACCATAATTCTTTCGACCACGACTCTCGTCTTTGGACTCCTCTCTATGTTCCTGCTCATTCAGTTGCAGGCGTGTTCTGTCCAAACCTTCAAGGATGGATACTCGACGGACTGGGGTAAAGCTTTCCGCCTCCTTGCCATCCCAGAACCTGGCAGCTAACAATCTTGCGCAGTGCCCGCCAAGGCATCCATCGAGCTGCAAAAGGTAACATATACCAGCGCCTTCCGATACAACGCGACTTCGCAAGACTACTATCGCGAGTTCGACCCTTCGGCTCCAAAATACATTGGGGAGCCCAGCGAAGAAATAGATGCGGCTTGGATGGAGCTCTTGGATGGCCAGTACCTGGAGCTGTCCGAGGAAGAGGCTTTGCAGCTTGATGACCCGGTCTCAATCAAAGGAACTTATTATGGCGAGTAAGAGGCCCCAAACGAAAAAACAAAAGCAACTTTATATTGACACACAGATAGGGTCGAGGTGATGCATTCCTTGCACTGCTTGAATGCAATTCGGAAAGCAATGTCCCCAGAATACTACTCAAAGCATGGCATGTACCATTTGCCAAAAGATCTGGAAAAGATTCACGTCGGTAAGATTCGAAGCTCTCAACGCGCTGGCAGCAAGGTGCTAACAGGTATGACGCATAGAACACTGCTTTGAGCAACTCCGACAAAACCTGCAATGCGCGGGCGACCTAACACCTCTCCTGTTACGGCCATATGGGGTGGAGCCTAATGTCAACTTGATCGGAACACCGCAGACACACACGTGTCGCAACTGGGAGGTCTTTCGCGCATGGTGGACAGAGAGAGGACTTAAACATGGTAATTTTAACAAACGTGGAACTTGAGTCGAGGGACGGCATAGATAAGACACGGTGCGAGAATTGTACAGTAAAGAGAGGTGTATGAATTAAAGATCGGCGTACGGCTTTTGATTTGGTCATCTGAGTAGTAGCGTCAGGCTAGCTATCGGTATTTAGAGAATACCAATGAAGCATTGGTACCCCCAAACCCGAAGCTATTTGAAAGTGAGACGTTGACAATCTTTCGTTGTGCCGAGTTGGGTATATAGTTGCAGTTGAAGTCAATGTCTTTGTTGTCAAGATTGAGAGTCGGCGGCATGATATTCTGAACATTTCATTAAGCAGGGTAAAGTGTCAGGTATTCTTTTCAAACTTACCTCTTTGGCGGCCAGGATCGCAAATACTGCCTCAATTGCACCCGAAGCTCCGAGGAGATGACCAATGGCGCCCTTCGTGCTGCTCATGGCAATGTCTGTTTCTCTCTGTACTCCCTCCTCGCCAAGCATGAGTGTTTTGATGGCCGCATTCTCGGCGGCATCACCGAGTGGAGTGCTGGTTGCGTGTGCGTTGATGTAGTCGACTTCTTTGGGCCGTATGCCTGCGTTCCTCAAAGCCCTCTTCATTGCCAATAGGGCCCCTACTCCATCTTCCCTTGGCGCGGTAACATGATATGCATCTCCGCTACATCCATAACCTCGTACTTCAGCATAAATATCAGCTCCACGAGCTTTAGCATGCTCCAACTCTTCCAGGACAACAACAGCCGCACCCTCGGCAATAACAAATCCGCATCTGTCTCGGTCGAATGGCCGTGAGGATGATGAAGGGTCGGCATTGAAGCCTGTAGCCAGGGAACGCGATCTTGCAAATCCTGCGATGGCAAGCGGGTGGATGCAAGACTCGGATCCTCCAGCAACCATGACATCTGCATCTCCAAAAGCGATGAATCGTGAGGCGTCACCGATAGCATGGGCACCAGTAGTACATGCAGTCGTGACAGCATGGTTAGGTCCTTGTAAACCATACTTCATTGAAATGTGACCCGCCCCTAGGTTGATCAGGAGCTGTGGAACAAATAGTGGTGATACTTTCTTGTAACCCTACGCTGGGCCTCAGCAAATGTATCCGTATTTATGCCTGAATCCAGAGTGTTCCGTACGTCTTTGTGATAAGCTACGCTGGTGTTGTAAAGCCCCTCGAGGTTGCCAATCCCGCTTCCCAAGCATACGCCCGTTGCCTCACAGTCCTCTTTTGTATTTGGTTTCCATCCAGCATCTTCAAGGGCCATATCTGTCGCAGCAATGGCGTATTGTGTGAACCGTGCCATCCGGCGCTCTTCGCCTCGTCCAAGCCAATCCGAGGCTTGCCACCCGCCCTCATGCTTGCTGCCCTCAGGCACAACGCCAGCCACGGTGCTGGGGAGCTCTCCCCAACGCGCAGAAGGTTCTCTGTTCGCGATGCTTACAATTCCGCAGTTGCCAGCAAGAAGTCGGGTCCAGGTGCGGCGGATGCCCACGCCCAAGGGGGTGATGGCGCCCAGGCCTGTGATTACCACTCGCCGCATTTTCTGTCCATGTTTTCAGTTACTTGCTTTACTATAGGAGGAGCGGCACGTGAGCGGCGCAAGATCAAAGAGGGAGAATATGTCAAGGGATTCGTTGAGCGCTGTAAGTGGGCAAAACAAGAGAGTCAAGGAAAATGAGATTGAACTGGAGTGCTGTGAGCCTCGAGCTAAGATTCTTGGTGGATCCACTCGTACTCGCTAGCCTGAGCTTAAACCCACCTCCTGTAGAATAGGCACATCATTTGTTTACATCGCTTGTCCGTCACAGATTCACAGTTTAAGCAGGTCTTCACGATCTATGGTCTCTTCTTACGCTCAGGGCCCATTTTCGCGAAGATCCAACTCCTCCCTCCGACTTTCTATCAATTTCCCTCTTGCATTGTCCTGGCAGGATCGATTAAAAGTCTGTGAATTTTCCAGCTTTCGAGTTTTCGAGCACAGTACCTCTAGGTATCATGGGCCGGCTAGCATGCGGACTGCCACCCTGGCTTTGTGGCATGGAAGAGAAGTTTGAACAACAAGTCACAAAGTAAAGCATGTGGCGTGTTTCGTTTGCAGAGCAGAGAGTCCGTGTCAAAGCTGGTGCTACTCGATGCCTGAACACTTTGTTTCTTTCTGGTGCCGCAGACTCGTTTCATGCAGCTTGCATGGACGACTCATCGTCGCACCCTTATTTTTGCTCGCCTTTCTTGACTCTTGAATTTTAATGACCAGTCGCAATGCTGGTCGAGACAGTTCCTATCCCAGCAGACTAGGTCTATCTATGTATGTAGTGTGGGATGCGAAGCCTCTTTTGGATCTCTAGTCGTGTATAGTGGGTATTTCGGGCCGAGATATCGGAACCGTCTAGGGAACTCCCATCCAACTTTGAATTGTGTGAATCTCACTGGCAGACCTTATCTGAACTCGCCCCTCCCCCGTAATCCCTCCCGTGCTTCATGTAAGTCAGAGAGTACTTTCCGTGTACGCTAACTAGCATTTGTCAGGGAACCGCTCTGTATACAGTTTCTTTTCTTATATACTGGTATCGTCTATGCTTTACAGAAATGGATTTCCAGACCGTTGATCATTCTCCGTGTCGCCAAGGTCCTTCACGATGGCCTCAGAATATAATGGAAAGTCGTCCGGAACGACTGCTCCAAAAATACGAAAGTACTATGACGAGATTGGAGACGAAAAGGATTGGGAAGTCAAGTTCGACGACCTCGAGATTGGCACACAGGAAGCCGACTCGCGTGTTTCTACGTCTGGGAATGATGCCCGAAGACTTGATCCAGTCACGGACCTCAAGCACCGGCTATCTATGTGGGGTATGTGGAATCATTCATCAACTGAAGGAGGGCCAGCTCTAACTTTCCAGATCCAAACTTACCCGTGGATGATCATACCGAACAAATGCCCAAGGTCGTTAGGCAGTCGAAATTTCTTGAGACCTCCTTAATCGACGATGTCGAGGTCTTTACCGAGAAGGAAGAAGAAGAGGACTCTCCATACCCTGAAGTCCGAGCTGCTGTACATAACTACGATGAAGATCTTCCTTGCAATACGATTCGTGCCTGGACAATTGGACGTATGTACGGCCCCTACCTCTTCCAGTCAATGTATCGAGGATTCTCGGAGCCGAGATCCAAAGATATTTACAGATCTCCTGATGTTGTGGAATTTAGCTCTGACCCTGATGTAGTGGGTTTGGTTTTTGTTGGAGCATCTGTCAATACTCTCTTTTCGCTGAGGGCGCCATCTATCGGTCTTGGTGCTCTCATTGCCCAAGTACGTAATAGAGGAAAATATGGTATCCCTTCGCAGAAATTATGTCGAGTAAGCATTTACTGACTCGCCGTGTCTCATAGATCATCGCCTGGCCTCTTGGACACGGGTGGGCAAAGGTCATGCCTACACGAAGATATAACACCTTTGGATTGAAATGGTCTCTCAATCCTGGACCCTTCAATATCAAGGAGCATACAATTATTGTCGTCATGGCGAGTGTCAGTTTTAGTGCTGCCTACGCTACAGATATTATCCTCGCACAGATTGCTTTCTACAAGCAGGATTTTGGGCTACTATTTCAGCTTATGTTGACCATCTCGACCCAGTCAGTAGGATACGGCATCGCAGGTGTGATGCGGAAGTACTTGGTCTACCCCGCGGCTATGATCTGGCCCGGAAATCTTGTCAGTGTCACACTGATGAACGCGATGTATGAAAAGGCGGCTCCGAATGACCCCAGCGTCCTTGGAGGGAACATGCCACGATACAGATGGTTCGCATACGTCTGTCTCGGCGCGTTCGTCTACTACTTTATCCCTGGTTTCCTCATGCAGTTCTTGAGCGTCTTCGCCGTCGCCACATGGATTGCACCCAACAATGTCGTTGTCAACCAACTATTTGGCGGTACCACAGGCCTTTCTTTACTGCCAATAAGTTTCGATGTATGCACTACTACTTAAATCCATCTTCTGGCATCTCAAAACCGAATGCTAACATCTCGGAACTCTAGTGGACGCAAATTTCAGGCTTCGTTGGGTCACCCCTCATCCCGCCATGGTTCGCCATTGCGAACACCATGATTGGTGTCGTTGTCTTCTACATATTCGGTGCCTCTATCCTCCACTACACGGGAACTTGGTCAGCAAGATATTTGCCAATGAGCGATAGCGTAACCTACGACAACACGGGAGTTTCATATAACGTAACCAGAATCCTGACACCCGAGTTCACTCTCGACATAGAGGCCTATAAATCCTACTCTCCGCTTTTCCTCTCGACCACCTTTGCGTTGTCATATGGGCTCTCCTTCGCTGCTATTGCATCCCTAATCGTGTATACATATCTTCACCACGGAGAACAGATATGGAACCAATTCCGCAACAGCACAAAAGAGGAGCCTGACGTTCACATGAAGATGATGAGCAAGTACAAGGAAGCTCCAACCTGGTGGTATCTTGTTCTGTTTGTATTGATGGTCGCTCTCAGTCTTGTTACCGTTCTCGCATTCCCAACCAATTTGAGTATGTACAGCACTATCTCACTCTCATCCTCACGGCTAATGATACCCAGCTTGGTGGGCATTCTTGCTTGCCTTGGGCATTTCCTTCGTATTTGCACTACCCATCGGAATTATCCAAGCTATCACCAACACACAGATTGGTCTGAATGTGCTCACCGAGTTCGTTTTCGGATATATCCAGCCAGGAAGACCACTGGCGCTGATGATCTTCAAAACATACGGTTACATTACTATGCAAGTCTCTCAATACGTTTGGCACTGGAACACCTCTAACGACGCAAGACAGGGCGCAAGCACTCGGTTTTGTTTCTGATCTCAAGTTCGGCCACTACATGAAGGTTTGTCCCAACTCCGAAGGTTTAATCCAGCGTTCGACATGCTGACACGAGCAGATCCCGCCGCGTACAATGTTTATGGCCCAAGTCGTCGCCACAACACTTTCCTGCTTCATCCAAATCGCTGTCCTTAACTTTGCGCTCAAGAACATCGATGGGATATGCACACCGCACCAGCCTCAGCATTTCACGTGTCCAGGAGGCCGAGTCTTTTTCTCCGGTAAGCCACCTCTATTTTCATACGATCCCCCTCCCTTGAATGAACGAACATTAACCGAATCACAGCTTCTGTAATCTGGGGCTTGATCGGGCCAGGCCGCATCTTCTCCCCCGGCCAGATCTACTCCGGCCTCTTCTGGTTCTTCCTAATCGGCGCCGCCCTCCCCGTCATCTTCTACTTCGCTGCCCGCAAGTTCCCCAAGTCCCCGATCAAATACCTCATGGCCCCGCTCCTCCTCGGCGGCGCCAGTGGCATCCCGCCCGCCTCGCCGCTCAACTACCTCTCCTGGGGTATCGTCGGCTTCATCTTCCAGCACTTGATCCGCAAGCGCTACTTCGGGTGGTGGTCGCGCCTCAACTACCTCACCTCCGCAGGCCTTGATCTCGGGCTGGCGCTGAGCACGCTGTTCATCTTCTTCGCGTTCACGCTGAACGGGGTGGAGGCGCCGGTGTGGTGGGGGAACACGGTGACGACGACGACGATGGATGCGATGGACACGGCTGTGCAGGCTACGGTGGGTCCGGGGGAGTATTTCGGTCCAGTTGTGTGGTGATTGAGATGAGCTCCTTGCGGATACCTATTTTTACCTGAGCTGCTCATTGTTCCTTACCTTATATGTAATCTTAACTACCTAACTATAATGTCTGTCACTACCATGCTGTAGATCGGCTCTCACCGAGACCTGGTTGGAGTATATATGCTATACAATAAGTCATCAACTTTAGCGACGCTGTCTGGGTCTGGGAATTTGAATTGGTCCTTGGTGCTTACAGGTAAGTATGCTTCCAAACATGCTCAGCAAACTTATACCATGTTTCTGATGTAGCCATAACGGCGACTGCCTACCCGACTCAAAGTATTGCTGGAGAACCTACTCGGAGCTACTTCTACCAAGAACAGCCCCCGAGACAAGAGCACTAAGGCCGAGTGGTACTTGATCATCGCAGACAAGCGTACCTACCTACTTACAACCGCCGCTCTCGCTTGAAAAGCAAGCGCCATCTCAAAGACCGCCCGAACGACAACAACATATCCATCCATCCATCCATCCACAAAGAAATAAGTCATGACTGCTCCTGAATGTTTTCCCAGCCACCTCACCTTGAGCCCACAGATATCAAGACCGGATACCCAACCGAGAAAAAGGCTCCCCCGCCCGAAGCATTACCCCTCTTCTAGGAGTGGGATACCCAAACCCGAGGATTCTCGTCTAATCCCAGAGCACCGAATTCTCATCAACCTTGGACTTTGAACACGATAATTTACGCTCCGTGGTGGGGGTGTCACGTTTCTACCATGAAAAAGGTAAGGAGGAGGAAGAGATCTTTGTCAGAGCTGACGATTCATGATAGATTTGGCTTGTGGGAGCGGATTGCCAGCAGACGAGGGAAGAAGGCGGCGGTGTCGACGCCCAGGTGAAAAAGCCGGGATGAATAAAAAAACTTCTTGGATGAGCTAAGCGGATAGATAGGTTTGAAGATCAGATTGCGTAGAGAAAAGAAGGAAGCTTGGTAGACGGATAGATTATGGGTTGCCGGGTCTGAAGTGCTCAAGTCTTGCAGCTTGGGAAGTCGGAAGCGGATCTGAGATGTTGTTGTTGGTGCATAAGCGCACCTTAGCGATACAGGAGGGGGTTCAACTTGGGTTCTAAAGAATATGTGATGCATAGAGAGAATTTTCTGCCTCGGGTACAGGCCGGCGAGGTCTGGGGTACCGGTCGTTCATTCCTTCAATGCCTGGTAGGGGGATTTGTCTTCCTGAAGGACGCCAGCGTCAACGCACTTTCCTTCCTCATCACACTAGCATTTACCTGGACATCACTTCACTTCGATAAGGACAGACACTGTCAGTGTCCCAGGTATCAGGTACTATCATTAATTCAGCAGCATCATCAAGGGAAAATGAATCCCGATCTCCGGTCAGCTTGGTTCTCTTCGCATTACGAGGAAGTGTGCGTACCCCGATTCTCGCGTGTGATAACATAGGGTCAAACTAACATACTGACTGGGTGTATTGATTAAATACAGAACTGGCCATAGCACGCGCAAAATAGCACTTGAAATGCTGCGAATGTCAGATCGGCCGATTACCCGATCGTCTTTTATTCTCGATAACGCCTGCGGTCCTGGAATATTGGCAAGTGTTGTTCCATGTTTGTCTTCAAACAAGCGGCGGTATATCTGTGTTGTGTGTGCTCTTGGTCAAGGTCACCGCTGATGTTCTCGTCTTCAATAGACAAGTGTCATCAAGGAGCAACACCCATATGCCGAGATCGTGGCCACGGACGAAAGCCCATACATGATCCAGAGTCTCGAAGCACGAAAGTTCGCCAATGGCTGGACTGACGTCGAGACCAGTATCACGGACGTTCATTCCCTTTACGGATTCAAAGACAACACGTTCTCGCACGTCTTTACCAGTCTTGCTCTGAGCCCGGTCGCAGAACAGGCTAACATAGCCATCAAAGAGGTCTTGCGAGTACTGAAGCCGGGAGGGGTAGCTTTTTTCTCAACCTGGGGAGGTATGTCCCCTTGCGTTGGGATTTTGCGAATTGTTAGAATGATTATGGAGACATTGGATTGCTGACCGAATTGGAAAAGATTATCGAGTGCAGGCAGCGTTTTACGACGCAAGCCTCATTGTTCGACCCACAGAGGAACCCAATGTTTCGTTTTCTCTTCTGACCGAATGGACACAAGAAGCATGGCTAACGACACAGCTCGAGATCGGCGGTTTCGAGAAAGATTCGATTATAGTCAACTATTGTACGACTTCCTGGGCCGCACCGACTGCTAACAAGCTGATCGACAACATGATGATTTACAAGCGCGAGCAGCAACCGGCGTTCTTTGCAGGATACAGCAAAGAGGAAGCAAATAAGTTCAACTACTGGTAAGTTCACCGGACAACCGTCAATTGCAATACCAATCTGACTTTGCTTCCAGTCTTAGACGGCAGCTAGAGTGGCTGAAAAAAATTGATGAAAGCGATCAGCATTATCTTAGGACGGGGGCCTGGATTGGTAGATGCCGGAAGGGGACTAAGGCACCGGAGTTGTAGGCAAGTTTTCTAGAAGCGCATACTGTTGATGAGAAGGGCAGCGAAATCAAACTGTGTTCGCGTTATGCCTGTGAGATTCTGAGGAGCTGTGAGGAAAAAGGTCTAAACAAGTTGAAATTGGACAAGAGAGAGAATCCTCGATCACCATAACTGGCCCGGAGTGGTTGGCCGAGGCGAGTCCGGGGGGCATATACACAGCTGGACTGAAGGGATCACTTTGGTCTGCTGCAGCGGCCTGAGAAGTCGAAACTCCATTTGGACGGTACTGTATCGACCTTGGGCGTAGCGGCCGGATGGTATTTTCGTGCCCCGGGGCCTTTCGAGGTGAAAATTCAGGCCTAGAGGATTTGGGGAAAACAAATGTTTGAATTGCGTATTCCGCTTGTTGCAATATATGCAAATGTTGAATCATGAGATATTATTGACCGACGTTCGTGGAAGCCAACCTCGGTCACGAGATAGATCACGAGACGAGACAGTCAGAGCGCTCGCTTTCCACCCCAACTGGAAAGACACGTGATGAGCTACTGGCACTAGCGTCAAAGTGGCCCAAGCTCCAAATTTTTCAAGTACTTAACCTCGCCTCCTCCCCGCCTTGCTCTTCTTTCTTCTTTTCTCTTCATACTTACCTTCTTGGAAGCATGCCGCTCACAAATGGCGTTGCTTACGATACGAGACCTCCATTGCACATCGGGGCGTCAAGAATCGTTGACTTGGATTCGTCCACGTCACTGGGGGAATTTTTGATAGCTTCATTGCTGTACGCAATACACTTTTCATTGGGACTTGGGCTTTGTGCTCGGGCTTGAAGAAGAGGCAGCGTCATGGTACGGCCACAGCGATGGTTTGCGTCTGTTCTTCCCGTTGACATATAAATGCGATGCGGAAGGTATGGTGAGGGTGGGCATCCGTACTGTTGAGGCATTTCCTGGAGACAAGTCTTATTTTTTGGGAAGATCAGGAGTGATGCTCGTGACGATGTACCCAACAGATATTCACATCCACACTCTCAATCCCTCGGATTTCTCGTCGAGATCTCCGAAGCCCTGTTCTTGCCTCGACCTCCATGACGTCCAACCCCGCTCCATACCCCTCCAGATCTCACAGCTAAGTAAATGCCATCTCCAAGCAAGACAACGACGCCAACGACAACGACAACCACCTCCGTAGCAACCACCGTCATACTCGTCGCCCTCCTCCTCACAGCCCTCTTCCCGACCATCTTCCACCAGATCTGGAGCCTCCCCTTCACCCTCCTCTCACCCCCCTCCAGCACCTCCCAACAACACCTACACCAACAAAAACCCCACCTCGAGCCCGGCCCAATGTCCTGGTTCCAAAAGTCGCTCACCCTCCCCTCGAAATCCCGGGGCTCCTACCTCATCACTGACACGATCCTGAAGGAGCTGCCCGAGATAAGAGGGTACAAGGTGGGCCTGCTGAACCTGTTCATCCAGCACACGAGCTGCGCGCTGAGCCTGAACGAGAACTGGGACGAGGATGTCCGGGAGGACATGAGCGATGCGCTGGATCGCATCGCGCCCGAGGATAGGAAGGGCGAGCTGTACAGGCACAGTGCCGAGGGGCTGGATGATATGCCTGTGAGTTGGTTGTTTGGTCTGATCTCAGCTTTGCTGCTGTGCTCGCTAGCTATGGGGGAATTGCATAACATTTTGGGGGAGGGGGGCTCTGTTTCCGGACATTGGAGTGACCGCGGAGCACGCTTCTTCCTTGGAGGGAGACATCACAACTATTGGGTATTCGGATTGGGCAAAGGCTAACTTGACGCTCCCCAGGCACATATCAAGAGCGCGTTGATTGGGGCGAGTGTCACGATCCCGATCAAGGACGGCAAGCTGGCGACTGGGACGTGGCAGGGCATCTGGTACCTGGAGTTTCGGGCGAGCAAGCATCAACGTAAGGTGGTGGCTACTATTCAGGGAGAGAAGATTTGAATTGGATGAGGGACTGAGCTGGGAACTACGATCTTGGGAGGGAATGCCGGTGCATAAATCTGGAGTTGATGGGTTGATACCTGGAGATACTGGAGGCACCGAATGCATGATATTGTGGAAGTTTTGTTGCTGCTTATAGCACAAAGCTTGGTCTTTCCAAGTCTTTGAGACTGCCTGAGAAATGTTAACTCTCTTCCCATGTAGCGTTCTGTGTCTACGGCAGACAACTTTTCTGATGGCCGATTACGAAGTAGAAAACCCTCATGTGGTATCACATCCAGATAACCCGTGCTATTTTGCGAAACCTCTGAACGCCATTCCATGCTAGAAACATTCCGCCGAAACACTCTAATCGCCATTCTCTTCCTTCATCTCCTCATCACCGCCAGCCAAGACCTTCGTTTGCGGTACGTATCCCCCCTCTGGTCCACTGCCTGGAGTCACAGCTACAACTTTCCCGTCCTCGTCCACGAACTCGAAGTTATATCTCGAAAGCAGATGCGGAATAGCAGATAATTGAGGTCCGTATCTTGCTGTATTGTCGTAGAGCTCGAACAAGGGAACAGCTAAGAGCTTCATGTTCTTTGGGACGCTCAAAACCTCTGTAACGTCATCAGACAAATTCAAGTTCCTATGTCCACCTGGAGAGGCTTACTCTGTCTCGGAAGCTGAATGAAATACAACTTCTTGCACTCCTTCGGCCTCGTAACATGCGCTGGGATGAACGGGTACATGAACGTCTCGAAATTCGGCCTCCACCACTGCGCCAGCGTGTCGCCAATCTCCCACTCCTCGTTGACGCCCTCGCCGCTGAACTGCGTCCCGACGGGCGCCAGCCGCTCGTTCAGCCGCATCTTGAAGCCCTCGATCTCGTCGTCGTCCTCCTTGAGGTAGTCACCGGGCAGCTTGAAGAAGGCGTTCGCGATCTGCAGCATCAGGATGTGCGGGTGGTTGTGCTCGTGGCAGACGAGGATGCCCTCGCAGGTGCGCCGCATGCCGTGGACATCGTAGTGCTCTTCGAGGCGCTTGAGGCGCGCGAGCACTGAGGGGTCTTCCTCTGGCTGCGTCTCTTTGGTGCCGAAGGTGTAGTTGGAGAGGGGGAAGAGGCGGATTGTTTTGGGCTGGTTACCGTTGAAGTCTTTGGGGAGGATCGGAGGGTAGGAAGTCTGCAGCGCGGTTGTGGTGATTGTCGCCATTGCTATGTAGTGGTGGGATAGAATTGGAAATTGGAAGGAGTTGAGCATCTGAGAGCTTTGGATAGCTAGGCTCTACCGGTGATTACCCGAGAGAGGCTAATTAGACAACCACTGCGAGTACATTATTTCTTCTACTTCACCTAGGAGCATTACCACTAATTGGAATTGGGAAGAAGTGCAGTTTCATTAAATTGCGAGTAATATCCATACAATGCCATCAGAAAGCAAAGTTTCATTCAAAAATAAATGTCCCAATAACCATTGGCATTTGTAACTTAAGTATCTGGCTGAACATTATTCTACACAAGTACAGCTTTCAGCCTGGTAGCAGTCTGCCCCGAATGCAGGTCCGGAACTTAATATCCATCTCAATGTTTCATCTGCATTAGCTTCTTCTGCACAAGACTGGGTACATAACGGGCCACAGGTTTGGTAAAGACTTTCATATTTACAATAACAAATTCCCTCAACTCCTGCCACACAACATCTATCTTTGTCCAAGTGCCTCATTTGTAATCCGCTGCGACTCATTGATCTCTGCAGCAGTACCTTGGGGTGCAAGGGGGTAGGCGGTTTCTGGAAGGGACTCGAGATGAGCTCTGTGGTGTTCGTTTGCCTGCAGAAGTTAGCTGAAATCTGCAAAGTCTAATTGAGATCGCATGAATATGCGTATTCAATAAAGGGTGTATCGCCCGGATAACCCATCATGGAGCGACCTACAAATGGGAGACCACAGTATGTGCACATGGCAATCTGGGGCTTGTCGGTATTGATGAAGATTCTTGGATGTCCCAGTGGTCCACCACCTCCATCACAGGATACCATTCTATCGTGTGTCCAGCGAACAGGCTGCTTGTGGATCAAGTCAATGGCAGCTTGAGGAGCAGGCTGTGAAAACATTAGATAAAGTCCCACGAACACGGGGGAATCAAATCGAAGCCAATTGCAGGGGCTCTATTGTAAGTCTGCACTTACCTGCATTTCCATGATTGTCGCCTCGAATCTAGGCCCCGACATAGCATTAGCCCTTGGGTTCTGACTGCGCGACCACACAGCAGCTCTGTTCGGTGCCTGTTGAGCTCTTGATTTCTCAGCATCTGCGGTGTTCTCCGAGAGAAGTGCTTCTCTATGGGGTGTCTTGATTGGGACCTCGTTGGTCTTCGAGACATTCGGGACTGGCTTGGAGGAGTTGGGGGAGCTGATTTCCTGCTTGTCATTTGCAGAGAAAGCATAGGTTCGTCTCGCCGACGCTGAGGCAACCCGGGGGAGCTGCAATACAGCTTTTGATCTGGCGGTGGAAAGCATTTTGTCGGTGGTTCAATTGCTTGAGGCGCAAGTTTGGAGAGCGTCGTCGTTGCTTCAAGCTACTGTAGCTCGGCTTGGCGAGATAAGTATTTCAGCACAGTCGGCGAAAAACAAAACCCGTCATCGGGAAACTTGACCGAGGCTTCCACCCTCATAACCACGACTGTCACTTGAGTTACTCCTGTGGCTCCTGTGTAGATACACTAATAAAGCAGGCAGAACTGGACCTCATAATCCACACATTAGGAGAGACGAGGATTACAAAGACTCTATTCCGACAATCTATCACCATCATCCGACTCCAAGATGTCCGCCGCAAGCCCACCAGGTAGTGCGCCGAAATCGATGTCTTCCAGACTTCTGACTATGAAGTTTATGCAAAGAGCTGCGCACTCATCGCCATCTGCCTCCTCAACCGTCTCCCCAGATGAGCCTGCACCCAAGCGCCGGCGGACAGATTCTGCATCGAATCCTACCAAGACCGACGTCGATGCGCTCACAGATCGTAAAGCTGTTGAAGCCGCGATGGCAAGTGAGGAAGCTAAGCGCCAGGCTGCCTTGGAGAAACAAGCAGCAGAGGCTGGCGATACAAGATGGGTTCTGAGCTTTGAGGACCAAAAGCACTTGGCTCCCTCCCCGATCCTAGCTTTACGAGTGGTCCAGACTGGCTTCGCAAGTCTCGACGCTTCCCCTTCATCCGCAAAAGTTGAGTATGATGAGGAGGAGGAGGAGGACAAGCCCGTGATGATTGGAAGGAGAAGCTATGGCAGATTCAACAAGGTCTTGGAGGTATGATAATTGCTACAATGTACGAACGAAGCTTAGGTGCTAATTACACGCAGAAACAACAAAATCCTTCAATGGAGGATTCCTCTGAATCTGAGGATGAAGAAGATGACAAGTTATCTGGCTCGGACAGCGATTCTGACGACCCTACAAGTGCTCTGATCAAGTCGACTCGTCAGGAGGTTTCTGATCGAGCAAGAGCGGATCGTAAGGTCAATAGCCGCGCGTCCAAGGCCGAATCTGAGGAGACAGCCAAGACAAGAAGAAAGGGCTTGGTAAATTTGAACGGGATGACGAGCCTGAGTGGAAAGCCAGACAGGCAGGCGCAAGTTCCCCCAGGTTTTACTTGTTACATCTGCGGTGGTCCTCACTTCAAGAGAGATTGCCCGAAGAGCAAGCGGAGTCACTTTGGAGGTGATGATGGCCCACCCAGAAAGACCATGAGGCTCCAGTGATTTCAGAACCTGCCACCTGGTTCATCATAAAGCAACTGGAGGCAAGAGCGCCTACCGTGCCACGAGTCATGTTACGGAACCACACATTATCAGCGGGAAGATTTTGATTCAGGCAGCAGAGACGATTCGGATAAATAGGAATATAGGCCTAGAAACCGCTACCCGGTAAGCTCTAGAGGCCAGTAAGGCTTGCCCGTCAAGCGTGGCTGTTTGCCCTGCCGAGGAGAGGAGAACGAGAGAATGAAATGCATTAGAATCTGCTCCATTCTCGCTTGAAATTGATAGACTCTCCCCAGAAAAAACCATCCAGATGCATACGTCTTCCTTTCCAATTGTCTCCTTCTCCTCTCCATCACAGCCCACATCTGACGAACCAAGACCTCTCAATGAATCACTGCATACCAATGTATAAGTCACGATTCGGGATGAAGCCGCGTCTCTAACCAACTAACAAGATCTCAGAAACCCCTTCCAGATGATGATCACAGTACCAAACTTTGGAGACTTATTCCGAGTATATAAGAGCTGTTCAGAGGCGGAGAAATGAGGTTGAACCCTCTTCCATAGGGCCGGGAGAAAGGGACCGTTTTCCAAGTCCGAACCAGTGCCAAAGCGGAAATAGTCGCCGTTATCTACCCACTTTCTCCATCCAGGTCACGATGGTCACATGGATAGCGAGCACTACTGCTTTTGCACCGCAAAAAAACACAATCCTCCCCGCGTTGCAATGTTCGAGACGGGAAAATCGCCATGGAAAAATCTCCACCGATCGATTCGGAGTCCAGGACCATAGGGACCGAAGATATCGAACCTGTTGGTCCTGGCAAGGAAGTTGTAAGTACTCGTGAGGTGTTGGGGAATCTTTGCTGTGTCTGTAGATGTTGATGTTGATGCCCAGAATGAGTTGGGGGGTGTTGGTGAGGCTGCAGAGGAGGAGCAGACTGCGGGCGATAGAGCTTTAGTGCGGAAACAGGATCTTCGGATCGTGCCTCTCTGTGCAGCTATCTACCTCCTATGCTATCTGGACCGCTCGAATATCGGTAAGCCAGTCCGTATATCAAACCACTCTAATAGCAAATAATCTGACAAGATCGATCAGGCAACGCGAAAACACTGAATGCGGCAACTCACAGTGACCTCCTCTCGGATACGCACATGACGAATTTCCATTATACGTAAGTAGTGCTCATCATCCTTCATGCAGCCCTGACTGATGATGCGCAGTATTGCGTTGATGGTGTTCCTGATTGCGTATACAATATTTGAGGTTCCTTCAAACTACTTTCTGAAGAAACTAAGTCCAAGCAAATGGATCTCTTTCTTGATGTTCTCGTGGTAAACAAAGTTTTCCGTCAAAAGCAGGCTTCTACTTATCCTATGTAGGGGTGCTGTGACCATCGGCCTTGGAGGTGTTGGGAACTTTGCAGGTGTGACTGCTGTTCGTTTTATCCTGGGAATGTTTGAAGCCGGTATGTACTCCGACTAGTACGGATGTATCCCTTGACGCTGACCCTTACCCAGGACTCTTTCCTGGACTCGTCTATTACTTGACTTTCTGGTACCGAACTGACGAGAGGTCCATTCGAGTTGCGTTCATCCTTGCTTCAGCAACTCTTGCCGGAGCTTTTGGTGGAGCCATTGCCTACGCGGTAGGACATATGAATGGAACTGGAGGTCATAGTGCTTGGCGATGGCTCTTTATCCTTGAAGGCATTCCTTCGTGTCTGTCATCTGTATTCGTGTTCTTCTTGCTACCCGACTACCCAGAGACCTCAAAGTGGCTCAACGCGGATGAAAAGGCGCTTGCTGCATCTCGGCTGCGATTTGGGGCCTCGCACGGTCATGATTCGAGTTTGACTTGGGCCCAGGCCAAGGAAACATTGACTGACTGGCGTCTCTACGCTCATTACGCAGTAAACACATTCCTTCCTGCCAGAAACAGAGATGCTAAATCCACTCCCAGATCTACTTTGGCATCTCAACCCCCTTCTCAAGCCTCTCCCTCTTTACACCCAGCATCACGGCCGGTCTCGGCTACAAAGGCCTCACCTCCCAACTGATGACTGTGCCACCATACGCAGTCGCTTACCTCGTCACGATCCTCGCCTCCTACTCCGCGGACCATTTTAACTCGCGCGGCATCCACTCCGCGATCTTCTCCACCATCGGCGCCGTCGGCTTCCTGGCTTCCGCAATCCTCCCAGCAGAGGCGTACCATTCCCGCTACGGATGCCTGATCGTAGCCGCTTCTGGAGCGTTCTCTTGCATCCCGCCGCTGCTGGGATGGCTGAGTTCGAACCTGCACACGACTGGTGCCGTGGGGCTGGCTATCGCGATCAACATCTCGGTAGGCGCGCCGGGTCAGATTGCGGGCGTGTGGATCTACAAGTCGGACGAGGCGAAGAGAGGATATCCCACGGGGCACTGGACGAACGCCGGGCTGTTGTTGTTCGTGGCTGTTGGGTGTCTTGGCTTGAGGCTCTGCTATGGGCTACTGAACCGGAGAATTCTCCGGAGCGGAGATCCGGGGGAGGCGAATAGGCTTTACAGTTACTGAGGGTATCTAGTAGATCCGGCTTGTGGCTCCGAGCGGCTAGCGAATCTTGGCGTTAGCGAAAAAGGGGGTGGTTTCGCTTATCTGAGAGGCATTGTTCTGAATAGAGGTTTCTAAAATCGGCCGATTTATAAAAGTGCAAGTTTTCTCCCTCCTCAATTCTCTGCATGTGTTGACTTATTGTAAACGTCGCAACGAAACCTGAAAAAAATAAAAAATAGGGTTCCTCCTTCCACCCCCAGCTGATACGTGATGATATTGCTAGGCGCTACAGACCTGCTGGAATCAACAAGGCAATATCTAGAACCAAATATCACATGAGAAAGCTACAGTATACCGTATCTCTTGTCTTTACGAATATTCTCATCAGAACCTGTCAAACTTGGGTATTTGAGTACATGTGTGTCCTGCCACCAATATAGCAATTGCGTGGTACTAGGTAACAATCCCGATCATCCTGTCACTATTGGCCAGATGAATGCTGTAGATTTCATTTGTTATACTTTGTGTATAGTTGAATTCCCCTTCAGCAGGCTCATCTTCTCGTTGATGGTCGTCGTCGTCGAACCCCTAGGAAACGAGATTCAATTCCAAGGATGGGAACTAACCCGTGTGGAGACAAGATTGCTTGACAGCCATAAGCTTGATAGGCTTGGCGCCTTGTGACAAATGTCACTTTGAATGCTGACAGGCGTCCAGCATCGTCAGTTACACCCCAAGATATCTTGTACACCACCTCTTGAAATTCCCCTTCGCACATCCTCGTCGCAATGTGACCGTCGCCTCTCCCGGCTGCCCAGTGTCGACGTCGTTCTTCGCTCGGCTTTAATTTCGACACATTTCTAGAGCTTCCGGCTCCGACACATTCTCTGCTCCGATTCGTCCAGGCCAGACGTCCTCCCCGATCTCTCGCCACGGCCAGGTAGCTGATCAACCGCTCACTCCCCCATTTTCACATCTCAATCGTCTTTGTGAAATTCAGCTCTCTGAATCCCTCTCTCCTCGTCCGACATTTTCCCTTCACCCCGAAACGAACACAATAACAAGCGGATTTTATCGTCGCAAAACAGCAAAGCTGCAATGGCATCCCTCACTCTCGACCCGAACTATGGGTACGTCCCCCACGATTCCTCCTCCCATTCTCTCCCCCTTAACTTTCCTCCGTCAACAAATAAACCAAGCGACAAAAACATATTGTATATATATATAAAAGCACACACACTAACCAGCCGCACAAAACAGTTACGTCCTCCTCGCCGCAACCTCCACCTTCCTCATGAACGTAGCCCACGCGGCCAACACGGGCAAGTACCGCAAGGCAGCCAAGATCGCGTACCCAGCCGCCTACGCGCCCGAGTCGCGCACCGACGAGGCCGCCAACCGGTTCAACTGCGCGCAGCGCTCCCACGCTCACTTCACCGAGAACCAGGTGCCGCTGCTGGGCAGCCTGGTGCTGGCCGGCATGCGCTTCCCGCTGACCGCCGCTGCCATGGGCTTCGGCTGGAGCGTTACGCGATATTTGTTCATGGTCGGCTATTCTCAGGGCGGGGATGGGAAGGGGAGGTATAAGGGGGCGGCCTCGTGGCTGTTTCAGTTTGGGCTGTTGGGCTTGACGGGGTATAGTGGGGTGGCTATGGTTATGGGGTGGTAAGGTGGTAGGGTGGTAGGGTAGTTGGATAGTTGGGTAGTTGGGTAGTTGGGTAGTTGGGTAGTTGGGTAGTTGGGTAGTTGGGTAGTTGGGTGGTAGGGTGGTAGGGTAGTTGGGTAGTTGGGTAGTTGGGCAGTTGGGCAGTTGGGCAGTTGGGCAGTTGGGCAGTTGGGTAGTTGGGTAGTTGAGTAGTTGGGCAGAGATAGAGTCAGATTGGTAATGTATAAACGGAATATTGGGGAATGGGGGTGGATGGGGGTAAAACATCGATGCTTTAGAACTTCATGTTCATGGGTCGATTGTTGCAAGTCGTTACACACAGTCACTTCATGTGTTTGGTCTGGAAATCGCATAGACTTTTTCTTCTGCGAAGGTGAAGGCCGCCCTTCTATCCATACCACATAGCACTTGACGATGAATCGAGAGCCGTGTTATTGGGCACTCAGGTCAGATCCAGAACGCCCCATTCTTGCGTAGTACTACAGTATCCAATCCATACGCACCCGAAACCAACCCATCCAACAAGCCCAAGGGTATACTGCAAAAAGGCAGAAAGCATAAATCAATCCGTGTATCTCTCCGTCGGCTCCCGCCACGGAATCTTGAGCCCGGCAAATACCATCTTCTCCTTCTCAACCATGTCCGTTCCCCCGGCCTCTAAATCAAGCCAGGTCCCATCATCGCGCCTCCGGATACCGCTGCTATCGAACCTCAGGTTCAGCTTCTCACGACAGTACAGTCTGAGATCTCTCTCGAACATCGTGCCCCCAGTCCATCCCAGCACCGCACACCCGGCTGTCTTCCAAGGAGACACGAGGATGTCGACTCGGCGGTGCGGATTCGGGTTCCTCGCGTGCGGATTCGCCTTCAGGTCGTCTTCCTTGGTTGGCCAGTCCGGGTCTTGCCAAACAATCAGGCCCTTGTCGAGACTATCGAATCCTGAAGAAGCCGCTCCCGAACCTCCATTCTGGGACGGTTCTTGGCCTCGCCGACTGTTTCTGTCGGAGACGTCGAGGCGGTGTGTGAGGTACCCGTCCTGTTCCAAGCTATTGAGAAGCTCGTGGATCGTCCCGTCGGTGGCTTCTTCGTCTGGGTGGCTCAACATGATATCGACATCTCCGGACATTAGCTTTCCTCTGCGGTAGCCGCCACAGATGACCAACTGGAAGCCGGGTCGCAGTCGATTGGCGTGGTCCAGGGTTACATCGCCGATGTTCTTGACTTCCGACCGCGGGATCTTCATCTTGTTGAACTCATCATAGTACTTCACCCCAATCTGTTGGTTCCTCTGGATCTTGTTCCTGTGAAGAGCAGTCAGTGAATGCGGCTCTGAGATGTGTAAAATTATGTTCGCCGCAGAAGAGAGGAACTCACCAGTTCTCGACAATATCATCCAAGTCTCTCCACCCCCTCGCGTAATAGCTTAGTGCTGTATGGGCACCCACATCGTGGATACCGTAGAAGATCTCTATTATCTTGAATCGATCATCGACCTTCTTGTCTTCAATCTCCGCGACTTTACCAGTTCTATGCCATTCGTACCACAACTGTGCAAACTTCTGCCCACAAGCATGCAGTCTCGTGACTTCTGCGAGACATTTGATCTTGAAGGGATATGCAGCGATGGAAGCTATAGCGGCATTGTAAGAGCGAAAACCTACTTGATCACCCTCAATCTCGCGTATCTTTTTGATCTTCCTCAGTTGCTCCACGAACTCGTCGTTAGGACCGTGCATCGGAGTCCGACGAAAGCATGAATACGGGTTCTTGAGGTAATCAGGGAGTTCCGGCATCTGCTTCTCCTCCTCGTCGTCGGATGTCTCCTTGCGTATAAGACCTGGCTTCTGACCCCGAGAATGCCCATCGCGATGGCCGTTGAATGACCTCTGGCCCGCCGGTGGTGGGGTGTCATTTTTGGCGCGATTCCAGATGCTCTTTGGATCTGGCGCTTCGGAGTACTTGGAGGGTACGGTGTTGCCCAAGGGGTTCGCTGAGTCTGACGCCTCGGATTTCCTGGGAATAATCTTGCCTGCGTAGATCAAGTATGGTTCCATAGGAAGGATCTTGTTGGCTTTTAAGCATTCATCGTACCACTGCACGCGATAGACTCCCACAGTCCTGCCACAAAGAGATGCGCTGGGATCTGCTGGAGCGTTCTCCGATTTCCCAGCCTGCTTCTTCCTTGCAGGCACCTTCGTCCCTAGCTGACGATCATCTTCCGAGCCAGAACTGCTTGCAATCGCAGTCTCGGAGTCTGACAGTACAGAAATGACTTCCTTCTCTGCGGTGCTTGAATCGTTCAGCTTGCGCCGCTTTTTTGGCGAATCTGCCTCGCTCGGTGGAGAATGCTTCTCTGCGCCAGGACCTGGAAGAGCCTCCTTCCTGTCACGCACGGTTGGTACAAATCCCTTCACAGGCACCGCCTCCGTCGTCAACCCAGATGCCCTCAGCAGTTTGCTAAGCTCACATGCGGCTCTCTTCTTCGACAGAATGAACCCAATTGCCAGCTTCAGCTCTTCAGCAAGCACAGGGCTGCCGAAAGCCTCTTCCATCTCCTTGAATTTCTTTGGGTTCCCATCTTCGAGGTTCGACGCAAAGACGTGCATCCGAGGGAACTTGAGAGCGAGGGCCATCTTGCCCTCGGTCTCACGCGTAATTGTGTAATCGTTGATTGATTCTCTTGGCTCTGGCAATACCTATCTACACCAATAAATCTACATCTGCTACTGTAATTAGGTCCGCATCTACTAACCCGATTGGGTATAATAGCACTTTTGCTTCTCGGGGACATGTCCCATTCGCCCACTTTAGGAAAGGGCCTTCAGAGTTGCGGTAACGAGCTCTACCAGTAGTCGAAGCCATTTTGTCCCCAATATTTGTGACGCGTTTGGAAGGTGCGGATATCCGGCCTCTGTTAGGTAGGGGAAGGGGGGAGGGCGAGGTGGGACAAACGCATGGTTACCATTGATCGACCTCCGTGATTGCTTTCGTAATCGATAGGTTTCATAAGCAGAATATCACACCTTCGGAATTTATCAATTTTTCGTACATTCTGAATATTATCAGAGCAGCTCCAGCGCCGCAGACCATTTGCATATGTTTGAGGATTTAAACCGGAAGCATCTTCAAGTTAATGAGTGCATTTCCCCAAACGCCTTTCAGAGCGCCTGTCCCACTTCCCGAAAATGCAATGAATGAACGTCCATACCCGTGCTCGTCTAGACGTCCTCAAACTCCATGTCTTCCTCACTCTCATCCTCAACCTTTGGCGTAGGTTCCTCAATTCGTACCTTCTTCGCGTGCCGACCGTCCTCGTTCGGTGTGCCAGGACCTGTCACGGGCGTAGTTGCACCTGTGCTGGTTCCGCTTCCGGAAGCACTTCCTCCCCTCTTCAACGCGGAAGGAAGTCCGTTTGATGATGGGTTCGAAGTTGGCTTTGCTTCAGCGTTCGAGCTGGAAGGAGTGGCCGCGTCCGAACCAGTTGGAACATCCTCGAAATCTTCCTCCTCTTCTTCTTCATCACTATCCTCTTCTTCCTCCGCCTCACGCTCTGCCTCTTTAGCTTGCTCGGCTCTGAGGCGTGCGAAATAATCATCAATTTCAGCGCCATCACCAATGGCAGATGGGGTGTCGAGATCGACGTTCTTTTTGTCGTCGCCAAGAGATGAGGAAAGCATAGAAGGCTGGTTGAACTTGACTTGTTCGCCAGTGATGGTGCTGTGAGTGAAATGGACGGGCATAGCATTCTGGATTGCAGTCTTCTCCTTTTTGGCTTTATCGGCAGCAATCTCCGCCGCTGTTGGGCCGTCCGAGGTTGTGAGTGTGACCGAGATTGATGCGTTACCAGCATTGGCCAGTCCCTTAACGGCGGATGGCTTGTGGGCGGATATGTCGACAGGCGCAGTCTCGTTCGCCGGATTTGTCTCATCTCGGACAACTTTGAGTTGCGAGGCCAAAGCGCGATCGAATGTATTTTCCGGGATGATGCTCTCGTCGATTTTAGGTAGGATGTCTGTAATGAATCGGAATTGGGCATGATACTTAGTCGATTGTTCGTGGCCACCTCGATTGTTATTCGGGTCATGATCTAGAACACCATCACACTTTTGGCAGCGAAATCCAACAGCTATATCCCACTTGTGAAGGACCTCGATTTGGGTCCACTCCGATTTGCATCTCTTGCAGAAGTACTCCTTCCGCTCTACCTCGGGAACCGTGTTGCCTTGAACCTGCTTGTTGAGAAGGTAGACTCGCCACTTGATCGCATCAATAGTCGCGCGGTAATCAATATAGTAGTACGTTCGGTTCATCGGACGTTGCTGGCCTTCCTTTTGCTCCGGCCTAGTATGGCTGTGGAACTTAGCATTGCCCCGAAGGTGATGTGACATCTCAGACGTACACAGCAAGAAAGCGATCCTCCTTCAGACGCCCACAAAGCTTGTGGAGCTCCTTTGTATTCATGCCCATGAGATATGCCAAATCATCATCTCTCAGACTTGCTCGTGTCAGTATGCACCTCCAACAGAATAGTCTGAGATATGACATACGCAGAGTGCGTAATCAGCGCATCCACGACTAGAACGTGTTTTGTGTCGTAGAAAGAGCGCATGCAGGAGCGCATGAGACTCTGTGCGAGCTCCATGGCGGGCAGATTGTGGTATTTAAGTCGTTTGAGTGGTTCGAGAAGGCGTTCGGGAAAAAGGTCGTCGGGTCGCGAGATTGGAGGTGGCGATGAACACAGCGGGGAGACTCAGATTTTCGCGTTGGAAGATCAAAGAATGACCGTGTCCAAGGTGAGGGCGACGGGGAGGGGTGTCAGTCAGTAGGAGTCAAAGAAGCGCATTATTCGGGGTTGACAGCCATGTGTTCAACAAACAAATGCCTGGGAGAGAACGGGAAGGAAAGGAAAGGGGAGCTCGGCCGAAGCAATGATATAGATACAGCCCAAGTGTTCAAGTGAATGACCACTTGGTAATGGGATTGTTGTTGTTGAATGGTGAATGGGGAATGGAGGGACGAAAGGTGAAGTTTAACAGCCGCAACCCGTAAGGCTGAGGGGGCTAGTGTACATTTGGAGGTTTGAGCTTAAGTGCTTAAGTACTTACTGTAAGTAGCTAGACCAACCGACCCATGGCCGCCCCGCATTGAAAAGCTTCCTCAAGCCTCGTGGGGGTCGCGAGAATTTTTCAATCTTTTGCCTTACACAACATCTGAAGGCTATGAAAGCTCTCCAGAGGCTATCGAAATGGCAGATAACACGACCGCATCTGTGCCTGCTGCACAAGCAGGTGCAAGCGCAACCAATGGCAGCAAGGACTCCAGCTCGCATACCGATTCGAGGAATGAAAACAGAGACAGGAATCAACGTGGGAGAGGCCGAGGGAGGGGTGATGCTCGCGGGGGACGGGGCGGTCGTGGGCGGGCAGGCAGAGGTAGAGGAGGTGGAGGCGGAGGGCGGGGAGGTAGGGGAGGTGGGGATAGAAATACATTTGGCTCGAAAGAAGGTGGTCGCAACAAGAAAGGGGACATGGGCCGAGGAGAGTGGAAGTATGATAGTCTACCTTCTTCAATCTTGCTTGACTAACTAAACAGTCGTCGCGATCTAGATAAACGCAAGAGAAACGACGAACAGCAAGCCGCAAAACGCCGCAAGGCCGAAGAGGCAGGAGAAGAAGTTGAGACTCCGTTTACGAAGGAGGAGATCGACGCAGAGGTTCGCAAGCCGAAGCGCAAAGTGGCTGTTATGATTGGGGTAGGACACCTTTCTTTCTTCACAATAAATACGAATTACTGACTTTGCGCAGTACGCGGGTTCCGGATACAAAGGCATGCAAATCAACGGCGCAGAGAAAACAATTGAAGGCGATCTCTTTAAAGCCTTCGTAGCAGCAGGTGCCATTTCGAAGGCAAATGCAGATGATCCTAAGAAGTCCTCACTTGTCAGATGTGCCCGGACGGACAAGGGCGTACATGCGGCAGGCAATGTCATTTCCCTGAAGCTCATCGTCGAGGAACCTGATATCATTCAAAAGATCAACGAGAACCTACCTCCTCAGATTAGGGTATGGGGTATTGAGCGCACAAACGGAGCTTTCAGTTGCTACCAGACCTGCGACTCGAGATGGTACGAATACCTGATTCCCACATACTCCTTCATCCCACCACACCCTCAGAGCTTCTTGGCCCAGAAACTATTTGAGTCTGCAGAAAAAGAGGATAAGTTGACGGAGTATCGTTCATTGCAGGAGGACGCTGCTGGATTTTGGCAACATGCTGAAGACACATACGTCAAGCCCATATTGGACAAGCTGGATCCGGAATTAAGAGACGCTGTTACTGCAGCCATCCATAGCCCCGCTGAAGAGGTAGTCGCACCGAAGAAAGAGGAAAGTAAGCTAGCTGGTGATGCTACAGCCGTGAAGGAAGAAGAAGGTGCTATGGATGTAGATGTTACAGCGACTGATTCAAGCAAACGTAAGAGGACTGACCAGGATGAGGATTCCCAAATTCAGAAGAAGCTGAAAACCAATTCAGCAAGCGTCAAAACCGAAGATGGAGTCACAGAAGATATTACCGAGCCTACCGCTTCGTCTGATCCGGTCAAACAGGAAGTTCCGATCAAGCAAGAGGCTCCCACCGATCAACAAGAATCCGATAGCAGAGGCCCGACCGGTGATGCCTCAAAATCCATCCTAACCCCCCTCGAAGCTGCGATCAAAGAAGTCAAAGCCGCCTACATTACCGCTAAGAAAGCTTACCGCATCTCTGCCACCCGCCGAGCACGTGTTCAAGAAGCCCTCAACTCCTACCTCGGAACCTGCAACTTCCACAACTACACTATCCAAAAGACCTTCTCAGATCCTTCTGCCAAGCGTGTAATCCGGTCATTCAAGGTCGGCCCAGAACCCATCATCATCAACGACACGGAATGGCTATCATTGAAAGTTCATGGGCAATCATTCATGATGCACCAGATCCGCAAGATGGTCGCTATGGTGGCGCTGGTTGTAAGGTGTGGAAGCCCGCTGAGCATTATCCAGGAAAGCTACGGGCCGCAGAATATCAGCATTCCGAAGGCCCCGGGCTTGGGGCTGCTGCTGGAGCGACCGGTGTTCGATAGTTACAACGAGAAGGCGGTCAGGGAGTTCAATCGCGAAAAGATTAACTTCGACAACTACCAGAAGGAAATGGAAGAATTCAAGCAGCGGGAAATCTACGATCGAATCTTTAGAGAGGAGGAGAAGGATCATCAGTATGTCTCTCTATTTGTGTTTGGTGTGTAAGAGGAATGAGCCTAACCTGTGCAGATTCCACGCCTTCTTCCACCACGTCGATCACTTCAAGACGGACTTTTTTCTCTGGGTTACTGCCTCGGGAATTGCGGCTGCCAAGCAGAGTAAAGTTCCGGCGAGGACCGATGACCATAGCGATGATGAGCCAGATGCCAAGGGAGAAGAGGGTTGAAGGGAGAGAAAGGCTGAAGATATATCTGCTTCCTCATGCATGGATCGCAGCCAGGACATTGCTCGTACGGGTGAGAGTAACCGTATACCGAGTGAGTAGAGCATCTGCTGGGTCACCCGCTACTAGCAATTGCCAAGCAGACAGTCCAATACGATACCGGAATGCATGTAGAGATATTCCTGTCATCGTTTTGTGGACGACAGAGAAAGAACGGCTTGAGATATCACGTTCAGACTCAGAGCAGACGGAAGTAAAGTAGAAAGAACGCTTTGGTTCTCCTCTATATGCAATGCAATGCGATTAATCGTATTATTTTACGATTCTTCAAAGTGGTCCCAAGTCCCAATGGCAGAAGCCGGGTATGTAGACACCTCAACGCCTCGAATGTTCTGTTTTAACCATCCGTTCATGCCCCCCAAACGCCAATCTTCAATGTGGCCGATTAGACTTTCTTCGCAGTGAGATCCGCAGCTTGCTTCAACATGTCCTCAACCACTAGATCACGGGAAGTTAGCCACTCCCCCTAGAGAAATGTCCTGGAAAGCACATGGCCCAGAATGAACGTACTCTCTCCGACCTTCTGTGAATCTTCATCCATCTGGCCTTCTTCCTCGCCCTCCTCGAGACCTCGCAATGGACCAAAAAGCCAGAGCTCCTTGAGTTCGCGGCTGAGTTGAAGGAGATCCTCTGCGGCGCGGACCTATCCATTCACCTCCTGATATTAGCCAAACTTCCCCTCTCGAGTATGCAAGTAGTGACCAAGAGGAGAAGGGGACTGGGATCATACCAAACCCTTCATCTCCACATCCATCTGCATACCTTGAGCAGCAGCCACCTCTCTCGGCGCACCCTCTGGGAGAGGTTCTGCAGCCAGCGCGACCAGGTTCTTGAAGTGGGTGAGCACAGCCGCTACGGCGCGCTCCTCGCGGTCTATGAAAGCGTCAGAAGAGAATTCTATAGGTCGAGGCTCGTTTCCTATAGCAAATGCTCCTGGTCCCCACTCGATGGGCGCTGGAGAGGACTCCGGTGTGGGGGTAGCCAGCGGAGAGATGACTGAGGGAGCCAAAGAGGGAGGTCCTGTGGTTGGGAGGTGATGCGATGGATTGTTTGGTGGCAAGTCACTGGAGGGAGCACGGTCTGAATCACTGCGGGAGTGCAAGTCGCTGGAGGGAGCATAGTCTGAATCACTATGTGATTGCAAGTCGCTGGAGAGAGAACGGTCTGAATCACTGTGGGATTGCACGCCAGTCGTCTGCTCCTCGTCCGGGCTGGGGCTGGGATTTCTGAGACTGAGATCCTCCATCAGGTGGGTAGTCTCCATGGTGAAGTGTAGTCGTAATTGTCGTTGCAGTTTCCGTCTTCGTCGTCGCCGCCGTCATGAGGGATGAAAAAAGGGAAATAAATAGTGAAAGGGCCCTTACCTATGAGACTAGTGGTCGTGGGTCGCACGCCTTCCATTGTTGACGATGCTGTCGAAAGTTCCAAGTCGGACTTGAAAGCGCGATGATGAGGTCGAGGTCGAGGTTGAGGTTGAGGTTGAGGACTTGATATGATTGAAGCTCGATAAGTAAGTAGCTAGGGTGCCCCTCCTCAGCCAAGACATCCCTACACTCGCCGACCTGCCGACCCCACTACGCAAACAAACGCCCTTGGAGTTGGGATAGATGCAAAACATTCATTGGAAGTTAAGCTCCACATCTCAACCTCGCGAAAATGCAGTCTGGAATCTCAGGTACTTGATTGCCTTCCGCCACTCTTTCCAACTCAAGGAAGATAATTCTAACGCATCACAGCCTCCCAAGAACTCCACACGGCGTTCCAGACGCTCGTGTCCTCCGAAGACCAGCGAGGCCTCATCTGCACCATCACCAAGGAATCCCTCACGCCCCTCACCGTCCTCTCTCCCGCCAGCTCCTCCTTCGCCGAAGACCTCTCCCTCCTCACTCCCCATCTCCAGCCCAATGTCGCCCTCTACATCATCCTACGGCGCTACAGCTCCTCGGAACCCGCGCCTTTCGTCGCCGTAACCTACGTCCCCGACTCAGCGCACGTCCGCCAGAAGATGCTATTCGCCTCCACCCGACTGACGCTCGTAAGGGAATTGGGTATCGAACGGTTCCGGGAGACGATCTTCGCGACTACGAAGGAGGAGTTGACGGCTCAGGGTTTTGAGAAGCATGATAAACATGTCAAGCTTGCGGCGCCGTTGACAGAGGAGGAGCAGAGCTTGGGGGAGGTGAAGAGGAAGGAGGCGGAGGAGGGCAGGGGTATGGCGGAGAGGAAAAGCCATGTTAGCTCAGGCGTGAGCATGCCGATTAGTGAGGAGGCGGTGGAGGCCTTGAAAGGACTGGCTGGGGAGGCGGGGGATAATTTGGTGCAGTTGGTATGCGCTCCTCCTTTTTCCCTCATCTTTTCATGGGGAGGGTGGATGCCGGGTGTCGAGAGGTGGTGTGCTAACCTGTGCGCAGAAAATCAACATCTCGACCGAGACGATGGAACTCGCTGCCAGCACCTCAACTCCCGCCTCAGCCCTCTCATCAACAATCTCTGCTACCGAGCCTCGTTATTCCTTTTACCGCTACACCCACACGCACAACGGCACTTCTTCCTCTCCGATCCTATTCATCTACACATGTCCCTCTGGCTCGAAAGTCAAAGAACGCATGCTCTACGCTGCATCCTCGCGATCCGCAGTTGCGGTCGCGGAAACCGAAGCTGGTCTAAAAGTTGAGAAGAGGCTCGAGGCTGGCTCTCCGGAGGACATATCGGAAGAGAGTATTGATGGTGACTTGCACCCCAAGGTGGAAGTCAAGAAGGCCTTCGAGCGGCCCAAGAGACCGGGTAGGAAGTAAATAGTTGAGTGATCTTGGGCTAGATATGAAGACCATGGCAGCAAAATCATTGATATTTACGTAGACAGGACTTTGATGTGGGATCTTATGCTGGATCATCCTCCTATATAATATCCAAAATTCGTTAAAAGGGAATCCAGTCCAGCGCGTTGCAAATCCCCCAACTGTACCAACTTGTCAGGATCAAGGATCTATACAGATGGTTCGAATATGCGAGAAATATATACGTGCAAGCTTTCCCACGACCCATAAATCCAAGAAATATCCAATTACTATCGCTCACTCCTCATACTTCCCTGCCACCAGCGGCGTATTACTATTTTCCAACTTCTCCTTCAGGTACTCGTATACGGTAAACGTCACAGCCTGGCCAGGCGCAACGCGCATGATCCGAGGCGTGATACCCTTATAGAAGGCGTGGAATCCTTCTTGCCTATACATTTCGTTTTTTTCGTCAGCATCTCCCTTACATCTCAACTCAAGTTTCACATTCCCAATCCAAGATGCGAAATCACAAAGCCGCTTTTCTAAAATTTTCTGCTCCGCCTCCATATACATCCTCTCTAATCTTCTTATTCGCAATCGCTAGCACCAAAAGAAAAGGGAAAGAAAGAAGACTCACTTGAACATATCAGCCGCGATACTGGTGATCCTGCTTATGGCCGTCTCCCCAGGCGCCGCCGGCATCTTCTGCAGCCGCGTCTTGATTGTGTCGATAGGCGCGTTGCTCAGCGGGCCCATGGCGCCGGACACCAAACCGATGAGTGTCGTCTGGTACGAAGGTAGCGGCGAAGACGCGTATTCGGGCTGCCAGCGCTGCAGGATCTCCTTGAATTCCGTGTAGGCGGTGAAGTTCACTGCTTGGTTGGATCCTAATTTTTATTTCATTCTTCCCGTCAGCATTTCGTTTTTTTTTCGGGCACTATTTTGCTGGGTACGGCTAGTTGGCCTGGCTGGGGTGGATCTAGAAGAGGTGGATTCGAGTGGGGCCACTGGAGCGAAACGATGCAGAGAAAATCCGGGGTAGTGGGGGACTGTGGGGGCTGTGGGGGGGAAGGGTAGGGATATGGGTGGCGGGTAAGGGGAATAAGTAAACAAACATACCTTGCCGTAACGCAGTAAGCGATACTCCACGATACAGGGCACCAACCCCTTCTTCTTTAACTACCGTGTAGAGCGCGTGCGCGGCGTTTCGGTATTTGGGAATGTCGAGCGGGTCGGCCATGCTGTGGTGCTGGGCCTGCAGCCGGATCTTGATGACCTCCATCGGTGTCACGACGGCCACGGCTTCGGTTACTCCTGCTGAGAGACCGGCTGTTTGTGTGCCCCGTTTATTAGCATTATAAAGAAAGAAGAAGGATAACCAATCTCTCTCATATCCCCCTCATTCCTCGGGCTTCCTTGCAATCCTCTCGGGAGAGGGAGTTACTGACCCAAAAACGTCGCCCTCCCTGACACAACTCCCGTCTCCTTGTTCGCCATCAGCTTCTTGTAGGCCTCAAAACTCGTGAACCGGATGGCCATCTTCGGCACGATCCCCGTCATCACGGCGCCCAGTCCCTTGTACAGCCCGAGCGGCGTCTCGCGCTTCACGATCTCCACGCCAGTGGTGAGGAAGCCGCGCTTCTTTGCGCCAGGGGCACGCGCCCGGCGGGACAACTGCATGCGGACTTTGATCGTATCTGTCATTTCATGCTGAGTTAGTCGCTGCTTGTCGTGGTATAGTGAAATGATGTGATGGGAAGAGGGAGGAAGAGAGCCGTACCGAGAGGGTGACAGACAAGCGCTTCCATCATGCCGGCTGTTCCTCCAGCTGTGCGAGGAAAGCGTCAGTTAGTACAGTACGTGCTTCGAGCTGGAGGGGCTGCAAGTCTGCAGATACAGATAGATACATGCAGTTTAGGCATACCGATGAGGTTCGTGGCAGCCGAAGGTGGCTTCTTGCCGTTCGGGCCCGCGGCATTCTTCGCAGACATCTTGGAGAGACGGTGCAGTGGTGCAGTGGTGCAGAGAGAGCTGTTGCGCCAGGCTACAGTATCTATCGCTTCTGATTTCGGCCGAGGGTTTCTTTCTCACTACCTTGGGACTTTCCACCAAGAAGATCTCTCTCTCTCTCGCTGGCGCTCTAATACCAGATGCGCAGTGGTACAGTATAGTATAGACTAGACAGATGTTTCCGTATAGCCCGAAGATAAATAAGTCGATGCAAAAGTCGAGGAACAGAAGACGGAGAGAGAGAAGAGTTTTCTTTTAGTAGTAAGAGAAAGGAAGACGGTGAAGCTCGGGACGTTTGCTAGTTTCGTTCCCTTGCAACTAGTACTGACTGTAACCAACTTACTTTGGGCCGGCGCGCCGAGGAAGCAGCCTGACTGACCTCGCCCTCGCCCTCACCCTCGCCCACATGCATGCAGACGAGGGGAGATGGGGGGATATGGTGAGTGGTGTTTGGGATCTGAGATCTGGAATCTGGAATCTGGGATCTGGGATCAGATGTGACTTTCCCCTGCTTCATACTTGTTCAATGTGGACAGGTAGAGAGATAGATGCTGTTCGCAGGTTATCGTTCATCTAAGGAGGAGAGTCTTGGGAACGTTTTGGTCCCGTCCGTTCTCACAGCCTCCAAACTTCTCGGGTTGACGATCCTGCTACTTGAGTCTTGACTCTTGACCCTGACGCAGCTTGTGATTTTGCGGGGTAGACGAACCAGGGGCCCGACCGAGGTCCAAGTCGGTCGAAGCAGAAGCAGAAGCTGAACATCTTCTGATGAACGGTCACCTGACATCTTGACAGTGGATAGGATAGGTACCGGTACCGGTAGATACCTCGGATTTCGAACTCGCATTTGGCCTGGACAGAAGCAGGTTGACCTGTAAACCTGAATTAATTCGAGTTGGAATCCGGGAATCTGCGCTTTATATGATAATTCAAATCGACTTTGAGCTTCGAGAACGCGACAAGCAGGCCAGTCTCGATATCACTTGGCGGCTGTATAAATCAACAAAAGATGAGAAGAGGACGAAATGAAAGAGACGCGGTGTAATACAGCCTGGGCCCAGGATTTACTTTTACTTGAAGAGCGACTGCGACCAGAGTCGCGTTCTCGCGCCCAAGTAGAATTCGCGTCAATCTGGTGCCCCTCCAAGTCCACACTTAGACCGAACTGACCCTCAACGAGAATTTCAGCACACAATCTATCATACTGCCCACACTAACAACAAACAATGAGCGACCTCAAGCCCGCAAATCCAAAGACCGTCGGATCCACCATGCCGCCCCGAGAACTAACCCTCATCGTCGCCGCGACCAACAAGATGGGAATCGGGCGCGCCGGCACCCTCCCCTGGACAGGCCTCAAGAAAGAGATGGCCTACTTCGCGCGCGTCACCAAACGCAGCAGCTCTCCCAATGTACCTACCTACCTACCTACCTACCTACCCACCCACCATTCCTCTCACAATCCAATCCCCTTTCCCATCATAAATTCCTCTCTCTCGCGGCTGCCGAGAGATCGAGAAAGGAAAGCAATAGCTAACCCCGACTAACCTGAACCTCGGCGCAAGCGCACAAACGCAGTAATCATGGGCCGCAAGACCTGGGACAGCATCCCCCCTCGCTTCCGTCCCCTGAAGGACCGCCGGAACGTCGTCGTCACGCGCGGAGGACATCCGGCAGCAGCCGTCGCCGCTGAAGGCGAGAGAGCCGTCGCGGGCTCACTGCAGCAGGCCATTGAGTTGCTGGGGGGACAGGCCGATAATGAGGAGGAGGACGACTCCAAGGCGTTTGTAATTGGCGGGGCGCAGATCTACAAAGCTTCTCTGGAGAGCAAGGATGCGAAGAGGATACTGTTGACAAGGGTGCTGAGTGATTTTGAGTGTGATACCTTCTTCCCGGTGGTGCTAGGGGAGGATGGGAAGGCGGACGGGTGGGAGAGGAGGAGTAAAGAGGAACTGGATGCTTGGACTGGGGAGACGGTGCCGGTGGGGGTGCAGGAGGAGAATGGGACGAGATATGTTTTTGAGATGTGGGAGAGAACATGACATCAATGGTCTAGTAAAGAGTATACATCGTCGTGCAACCGGTCGCCCTTTCGTGAGTGACATTTCTCTTAGTCGCTGTTCGATATGTGTAATAATAGTACACTGGCCAATCTTTACACGCTCTATGCAACGACACGCATAGGGTAGCCAGCTCAAGGCTGCTTACCACTCGGCAAGCCCTTCCCCTGAGCCTTCTCGAATGGTAAATCCATCATCCTACTCCTCGACCGTACCAACGCAGCCTCCTGTTTCGGATCCCCAAACTGTAAGGCCGCCATATTAATCTTCTCGTCAGGCAGGGCATCCAGTCCCTTCAGCGCCCTTCGCATATAACTGACAATCTGCGCCAGAACCCTAATATCAACATCCGCCTTCGCCTTGTACACATTCCTCCAGATGGCAGCTGCTAACACAGCATCACCCTTCACCAAGCCTTCATCGTACGCCGCCAGCAGGCCTCTCCACTGCACAAAAAGATCCTTCAGGTACTTGTTCCGGGTGCCCCGAGCGTGCATGTTATGGTTGATCGTCATACGGTTCTCGGCGTCGTAGAAGAAGTGGTCCAGAAGGTGCTGCTGCCAGGTCTGGGCGGACTGGGCTGGGAAGCATCGCAGGCGCACGGAAAGGAGGTACATGTGCAACATGGTGACCTGGGACCAGGTGCTGAATGTTGGCTTGAGTCCCGCCTCTGCAGAAGGCCTTTAGTGCATGTCCAAACTATCAATTGGCAGGGTATTATAGTGTACCGTTAAGCCACCACCCCTCGCCGACTCCCAGATCCTCCCCATCTTCCGTCTTGGGCATCTCTTCATCTTCGTTTTGCGCCTGCGTGATGGTGTAATCTGCTTGTTGCGCGCAATCCTTATAGAGAAGTTCTGTGGCACCATACGCAGTATATGTCTCGGTAGTGGACTTGCTCAGGGAAGACTTTATGACTGCTGCAGCTTTCCTGGCGGCCGTGTCCCGGAGCGTCGATTTCGATCGACCCTCGGGCTGAGCTGCGGCTACGGGGGGGATAGATAGATTGGGCGGAGTATTGGGTGGCATGGCCTCGACATTGCGTGTAGCCGTCGTTGTGAATAATCTTGGAGCTGTGTTTTTCGATATCCAGACCTGTTGTTGACTGTCAGAGAGCTCTCAATTTCGTCGTGCAGAGATATAAACAACCTGGCTTATTGACCGAGACGGCTTTTGAAGAGCCCGTAGGCAAGAAGAGCAGGATTTCGATGCCATTGTTGCTTGACTGAGAGATCATGCAAAGGTGGAAATGGATATGGTCTTCGATACATAGGATGCGCATCGATGGTCTTGCGCGAATGAACTCGAAGACGTCAGGATATTTTGGCAGGGGTCTTATGCTTTGGGATTGGCGCCAGCCCGACACAGAGCCTTTTGAGCGAGAGAGAGCAGGGGGAGCTTCTCGCTTACCGGTCGGACAGTACTTTGTTTACTTTACATAAGTAGTTCCCGGGTGTGTAGACGCTGACCGGCCGACTGTCATAATTGCTCAACAGCTAAGCTCTTGTTTACGGAGTGTGAGACTATCTTGACACTCGTCGATTGTAGAATAAGTCAACTCCTATTTGCTTTCCCGTTTTCTAGGGGCATGCCTTTGCGTTTTCTAGGGGCATGTGGAGAGGAGGATGGTATGCCTTGACCATCTAGGCTCCGTCCCGAAAAACCTATTCCATAAGACTTGTAAACTGGAACCTCAAGTGACCCGGTCGTTATGAGCTTCCAGATGAATTCTGCTCCCCGCCCTCCCCTTCACCTCCTTTTTTTCTGTTCTAACCTTTACCTCTCTTCTATTCTTAAACGAGATCAACAAAGACGAAAGTCAAACCCCCCACTGATCCAATTTTCGACCACCACAGGATGGACGTATCGCTGCGCCCTCGAAACTCCGCTCCCACTAACGAATCTCGAGCGTGATTACCAATCGGTAGTCCATTCACTCATCGAGGCAGAAGGTGTGGGTGGATAAAGATAGTTCAACTACGACTGACTGAAAGCAAGCAACCCATCCAATCATCATCTCAGGAATGATCCTCCGCACCGTACCAATTCGCCTCAGGTGCTTCCTGAAACCCGACTACGCGCGCAGGTTATCCCCATCTAGCATGATTTGCGACATCGAAAAAATGTTCGAGTAGTCGCGGTTGCGATCGAACGTATCCATAGAGCATGGCTTGCACGCCAGCTGGCTTAGCTGAAGCCCGAGAGAACTACATACCTTGTACGGAACGCTGGCTACGGCGTAGCTTCGTCAGCATTCCCAAGGAGTAAGGAAGTAAGGAAGTAGTAGACTCGCCTAAAATATGTAGGTACAGAGCAGAGGTAGCCAGGAAAATGGAATGAATTATGGAAGCATGAGTCTAAATTTGAAATTAGATACTACGTGATCTTACCTGCTGTATGTAACATGATATTGCCAGGCGATAATGATGAAGAGACCGCTCGAAACGAACTTACTTCGATGTTTGAGAACGGTTTGGACTCGTCACTGATCGGCTTGCTACAGCAAATCTCGGCTATGCAGTGTACATGCCCTGAATTTTGTTCGTTCCCAAATGATGTCTAGAAGGGGTCGGTATTGGTAAGAGAGCAACATGGGATGCAAATGTGTCCATTTGAAGGATATGCTAAGGGCTAAGCTATGTTCGTGACCTTTATCTAAGTCTGTCCTCATCCATATCGAATGCTCTAAGCAACTGTTTTCCAGCGACCAAGCCATGCCCGTCCGTAAAGATGCAGCTGCATATCCGCAAGAGGCATGACCTGGTTGAGGAATAAAAAGCAAATATGTCGTGAAATCCTCCCCTCAAACGATACAGCTTCAAATCCTTACAAACTCATAAGTCATCGTGTCGACTCGTCACTCACCAACCCCTATTTGTCTTGCCACCCCAAGAGTCACCCCAGGAGTCTCCACCATTATTTCCTCCCGGATTGCTGGTGCCATTGCTCTCCCAGGGCTTGGCGGGTGGGTTGTTATTGGGTCCTACTGAGATATGTTAGTAAGACGTTCTTAGTGTTACGAGAAGTACATTAAATCCCCAGATTCATGGCTCACCGTTGCCTCCGTTTTGACCAACCGGAGCTGAGTTGTTGTTATTCCAGCCAGAGTTTCCGCCGCTTCCATTCTGCCAAGCTGGGGCAGCGTTACTGTTATTGTTTGGAGCATCGCCGTCTCCCCACCCATTTCCCCACCCATTTCCAGGACTTCCACTCTTCCCAGCCGGAGCTGAGTTATTGTTCCAGCCAGAGTTTCCGTTGCCTCCGCTTTGCCAGGCTGGAGTAGCGTAGTTGTTCTTCGGTGTTCCTACATTTCCCCAGCTGTTCCCTCCACCATTTCCACCACCCCCATTGCCTCCATTCTGCCAAGATTTACCGAACCCGCCGTTATTGTTATCTCTATTCGATTGATTGTTTCTTGAAGAATGTTTTAGCCTTTGAAAGCCACAGAGGGAATATGAAAAAAGCGTGACTTACTTGGAGTTGCCATTATCCCAGCCCGAGTTTTTCGGTTGATTATTCGACTGGCGAACATTACTTAGGGAAAATCTTAGCCTTTATTCATGAACACTTGAGTTATTGAGAGAATTCCTCACTTGGAGTTGAAGTTGTCCCAGCCTGAATTATTCGAGTTGTTGTTACTTGAAGTATGACTCAGCAATTGAGGACTTGATGGTGGACTTATAGCTGAATTGAAATACGGATAAACTTACTTCGAATTGTCATTACCGCCCCAGTTCGAGTTGCTACCACCGTTTTGGCTAGGAATATATCTCAGTAAATGTCCCATGAACGCCAAAAAATTTATGGGACACTTACTTTCCAGATACTGCATTATTCGGAGGCGCGTTCCAGTCATTATTGGAGTTGTTCTGCATCGAACCGGGTTTGGTTGATGCCTGGGTATTATCTCCTCCCCAATCTGACTTCCCATTAGATTCCTGGTTTTTGTCTCCCCAACTAGATGAGTTGTTTGGTTGGTTGCTGAGATGTAGGGATAAGTAGATGTTGCGTTCTAGATTAGAGCAGGAGCTACATACTTATCGGGCCCGTTTTGACCTCCCCAACTTGACGAATTGGCGTTGTTATTCTTGTTTGTGTGGTTGCTCTGGCCGCCATTGTCCCAACTAGTGCTGTTAATATGGTAGGTAGAATATAATTTCAGGTATTGCCATCTCAAAGCAACGCCAGGGAATAAGTGTGGGAAACTTACTTGTTGGTATCCCACTCATTTTGGCCATTTTGCTGGTTATTCGAAGAGTCTCCCCAGCCAGTATTCTGGTCTGCAGACTGTTGTTGGCTGTTCGACGTATCGTTGCCACCCCAGCCGGACTCCTTGTTCTGGTTGGACGAGTCGTTAACCCACGCGCCAGGGACGTTGGGTTGTGCAGTGTTGTTATCTCCACCCCATCCGTCATTGGCTTGTGCAGCATTGCCTCCATTCTGAGAGTTTCTGTGAGAGATGGTCAGCAGAAGCCGCGAAATATACAGGGAAAGTCAAAGGTAGGGAGTCCCACCCCCACGTATTTGAGTTGTTGTTTGAGAGATCCTGACCACCCCATCCGTCATTGACCGGTACTGTATTACATCCGTTCTGTGAGTTACCACATCCACATTGTCCCGGAGAGTTTCTCGATTTTCCCATGTTGCTTTGGTTTTCCGAATGATTGGCCTGCTGGAAGCTTTGCTGAGGAGTGAGAGGGGGGCCACCGCCCTGGCTGCCGCTATGGCTGTGACCTTTATTGGCATTGTTAAATTTCAAGATAGGAGTGCGGGGCGGGCCGTTGAAGTGAGGAGTGTGAGATGTAGATCCAACGCCCATTTTGAGAGGAACAACAACACTGGAGAACGGGTTGCCATACATGGGACCATGATAGACGCGAAGAATTCGAGAGTTCATATCAAAGAACGCATTCGGGCGCGGATCGGAGGGACATTCGATAACATCCTCTCTCAGGACGACCTAGAAAGAGGTCAATAGCTGAAATTTTCGCAGAAACTTTGAGGCAATCAGAAGCAGGGAAGAATTATTAACATGGTTCAGTTGATCTCGGTCCAAGAAAGACAATCAAACACGTCCCACTACGAGCTTATTACGTTGAGAAGAGGAACTTACATCAGCCCTCGACGCCATGAGCAAACGTCCACCGTTACCCATTGCTGCTACCTTCAGAGGTAGAAGTGGTTGCGGGCGAGTTCCGTTGGAAGGCACCGAAAAGTTGTCCGGCAAGGTAGCTCGTGAATATGAAGAAGGAGCCTGATACGTATGTTGGTAATGTGGCATGGGACTTGAAAAATGAACGGTCTTTTGAGGAGGTCCCTGGGTTCTCTGATCTGGACCGTTAATCCATTGGTTCTGGCTACTTTGTTCTTGAAATCTGTATTGGGCCTGGTTCTTGTTTTGCTGGTACGAATGTCCTTGGTTGCTCTGGTTACTTTGGCTTCGATTCTGGTTATTATGGTGATCCTGGGTCGGAGATCCCCGTGACTGGCTCTGGGTTGGGTCTCTGTTCTGGTGATGCGGATTCCCTTGATCGTTCCAATTACTTTGGCTTCGATTTTGGTTGTTATGGTTATCCTGAATCGGAGGTCCCTGTGACTGACTTTGTGCTGTGCCCTTGATTTGCTGATTCGAGTGTCCTTGGTTGCCTTGGTTACTTTGTCGCTGGTTTTTGGCTTCACCCTTATTTTTCTTTTGCTGACCTCGCTGGCTCTGGTTCTTGTTTTGCTGTTTGAAATGTCCCTGATTGCCTTGATTGCTGTGCTTTTTGGAATTTTCCAATTCCTGTTTCGAGTCCTGGTTCGACTCCTGATTCGAGTTCTGCTCTGACTCTTGCTTCGATTCCTGCTTCGGCTCTTCGGTGCAGGCGTGGTCTTCAGATTTTTTACTTTCCTCACTTAAGTAGAAGAGAAAATTAGCTCGGGTTGGAAATAGATTCACTAGAAATGTCAGAGCAAAGAGTGGGCCCTCTCCATGTCAAAGGTGAGAGGACAGTACATCTTGTCAGCGCTAGCCTGCTTCTTCTTGATATTCTCCTCCTTCACTGCGCCGAGAACCAGCTTGATACAGGTCGCGCATTCGCACTCTTCCCAATGCAACGAGAGAGTCCTGGGTCCGTCAGTATGAAGCTTGTCGGGTATGTTCAAGGCGGACTTCAATGGTGGTGGCGAGTCGTCGGCACTATCCTCTCCACTCGATTCGTCGCCCGACGTATCGAAGTCGTTAACGTGCAATGTAACGACTCGACGAGGGGAACGCGATCTGCTTCGGCTCCGGCGTCGATGATGACAGCAGCTGAAAGGTGCAATGTTCGCAGGAACGGGCGGAGGTGGTGCTGGCTCGGGAGTACGGACAGCTGACGGAGGGGGGGGATCTGGCGGAGAAGGTGTGACAACACGAACTCGTTCTCTGGGTGGAAGACGTCGACCAACTATATACTCACACATATTTCGGGGGCGCGACCGGGCAAACATTCTTCTTCTCTCACGTGACACTCTTCATACAGGATAACAGGGTAGATGGAGGGGAGAGGGAGAAGGGAGGCTGGTCGACGCGACTTGATTCTCACGTTCACGCCTTCGGTGGGAGACTGTGAGGAACCCCTGGGCTAGGCCGGTCCGGGTCCGGGTCCGGATTAATCGCGCCTTCCTTTCCGTATCCGCGCTTGCAGGGCAGTCAGTACCTTAGGCGGATGGAACTGTTGCCACGACTCGTAGTGACATTAGGCAGGTGGACAGAATGCAGATATTCTTGATTCCTTGCCTTGCCGTGCTGCGTACGCATGCCTCCGTCACTTTGACCTCGTCGTTGCTGCCCACGCCGGCACACACGGCTAGTCCTGGAGTACCGGTAGTGACTCTGGCTGTAACGTGCGTAGATGCCCCTGGCCTTGCAGGGAACGAATAACGAGTTGATCGAGGAGATACCCGGATCTGGAGGTTGAACGTTGCGAGACTTGTGCGCGGTGGTGGATGTCGGATGTTGAAGAGGAAGCGGATGTGTGAAGCGAAAGAACTCTTACACCCCAAAACCGAACACCGTCCCACCAGTAGGTAACAACCAACCAAGAATTGGTCCGAATATCACAGTACAGTAAAGCCAAGGCAAGGTACAGTGCGGCCTTTGGTAAGGCTATCTTCCTGTCCGCAAGCATTCGCTGGCGTAGGTGACAGGTACATTGATTGATACCCAGCGTTATCATGTACTCCTTGTCAAATAGGTAATGGTCGGTTATCCTCCCTCTCTTCCTCGAGCCTCGCCTACATTACCTATAAATTCGCTGCAAGATAAACGAGATGTTGAAGAGTCCTATTGCCTCTTTCTGCTGTGAGCAACAGTGGCAAGAATCATGGTTGAAATAAAGACCTGTTCAGAATGCACCTTTTTGTAATGCTTGAATAGCTGTGTAGCCATTATTCTAAGCTTCCAGGCCAGTCCTGTCCGTGCAAAGCTCTTTTCTAAGCTTCAGGGATACAGCAAAATTTCAGGTAGCGAGCGACTCGGGGCTGTTCAGACCTTTCTTAAGATTCAGAATTCACCAGATCGTCGGCTTATCCAGCCTCTGGATCAGCATGGCCAATGTCATCTGAAATTTGGTCCACGCTGCCAAAGACTATAGCCAAATCCACATAAGTTTGACAATACAACTTTGCTGCAAACTCTACTGAAATTCAGGCCAAGACATCATGGAAACGATACAGCACGTATGATAAAGCTCTTCGCATATGACACAAGGTACATAGCAGTCAGGCAAGCCCAAAGATCATACATCCGCCTCAACCAATGTCGGCAACGATCAACAATCCAGAGAAATTACTATAGACGTACCTCAATTCTCCTTGATTTCCAGCTCAAAGCTTGGCCTTGGCTTTCAGCTCTCCCTCCTTCCACTTCTTATTAATGGCCAACCCTCTCCAATAGTTCCACATCCCAGCAAGACCGGCAAGGGGGGGACACAACAGGAGCAGCCAAGCCCACCATCTTGGACTTGCTCTGCTCACCTCCTTCATAACTCTCTCAAGCTCCCTCTTCAACTCTTCCTTTCCCATGTCGTTCCACACCACCACTCCCCTCCCCTGGCCTCTTGCCTCACACCTCCTCGCCTTCTCCCTCACATCCCCTTGACTGCTCACCCTATTCTCCGCATCTTCTCTTGTCAAGTGGCTGTCTCTCTCCATCAACCTCTTCATTTGTATCTCCGGGTCGCGCACCGCAACCACCATCACAGTCCCGCACAACACATCAAGGCTGCTTTCAAACAGCAACGGCACATCCAGTACCACCGCCCAGCACCCTCTCAAATAGCACTTCAGCAACTCCTTGTACATCTCCTTCCGCACCGCCGGATGCACAATGCCATTCAGCACCCCGCGATCCTTCCTCCGTTCCTCGCTATCCCCGAACACCCGTCTGCCGAGAGCAGGTCGGTTCAAAGGCGCGCCCTTACTCTGGTCGTAGGCCGCATCGTCGGGAAACGGCAGGAGGAGGTCTGGCGTCGTGGGCAGAAAGTGCGCGACGATTTTCGCGTAGCCTGCACTCCCAGGCTCGACAACGCGACGCGCCAGGATGTCGGCGTCGATTATGGGGAGGGAATAAGGCGATGCGGATAGAATAGATGATACTGTTGATTTTCCGGTCGCAATTGACCCCGTGAGACCGAGAAGGAGCATTGTATTATCTTGATTCCGATGAAGCGATTTGTAGAGAGGAGAAATTCATAGTCCGAGGTTGTGGCTTCGGATGATGTGATATGATGCGATGGAGGTAGGTTGTTCCGAGCCGAGGGATTAGGCGATCTCCTTGGGCAGAACAACAACAGACAATCGCAAAGTGAATCGTTTAATCAAAGAGGAGAATACTTCATAGATGAAGCTTGTCATACTTACTACGTCCCAGGCGTAAGTATTACCCCTCGAGGATAGGGTAACCAGGGGATTTAAAGTGGAAACTAATCTTTTGAGGCACTCTCGAGGGGTAATACTTAGGCCTGTACCATGGTACCGGTACAATAGTTCAAGTACCTAGGTAAAGTCTTTAAGGATGAAAGGAGGCCCACCTAAGCGAGCCGACGATTAGAATATGATTCAGTCCGACAAGGTTACTAACTAATGCGCGTCCCAAAAGGTACCAAGCTTTGACTGGGCAAACAAGCTTTTATTCGCTGACATCAAGATTCTCGTTAAATCGATATTTACCTTTACTTTATGAAACTCAGCGATGGAGCAGAGTTGCGATAGAGCCGAGTTGGGTACTACCGCTACGATGCCAGACAATCCGGAGCAGGATTTGAGGATTTAGCTTATAGGCATCTCGGCTGCTTCACGGCATAATTTTCATTGATAGGTTACAACATGAAGCAACCAATCTTAGCTATGTGCTTATGCGCAAAGTCTTCGATCGTAGCAGTATCGTAAATAAAGTTAAAGAAAAAGCTGCTTAAAGTATAATTGTTAGCAAGATTGGTAAAGCAAAGGAACAGAAAGTTCACTAATAAAGAATCCGCTGCTTAGTGAGGAATCCGCTGCTTGGTGAGGAAGAGGCTGCTTAATGAGGCAAAAGGATGAAGAGCTCACCAAGAAGAATCCGCTGCTTGATAAAGAATCCGCTGCTTAGTGAGGAATCCGCTGCTGGGTGAGGAAGAGGCTGCTCAATGAGGCAAAGGGATGAAGAGCTCACAAAGAAGAATCCGCTGCTTAGTAAAGAATCCGCTGCTTGATAAATAATCCGCTGCTTATTAAGGAATCCGCTGCTTAGTAAGGAATCCGCTGCTTAGTAAAGAATCCGCTGCTTGATAAGGACGAGGCTGCTTAGTAAAGCAAAGGGATAGAGAACTCATGAAGAAGAATCTGCTACTTAATAAAAAAGAGGCTGCTTGATACAAAAGACGCTGCTTAATAAAAAGAGGCTGCTTGATAAAAAAGAAGCTGCTTGATAAAGAAGAGGCTGCTTAATAAGGAAGAAAATGCTTAGTAAGGAAAAGGCTGCTTAATAAGGAAGAAGCTGCTTAATAATGAATTAAATATAATATTTCGTTGCAGTATGATCTCTTAATACTTTATATTAAAAAAAATTTGCAAATCAGTTTATTAATAAACCGGATCAATTTATTAACGAAAACGATACTATTATAAAAAGAGTTATTACGTTCTATTGATTTCTTATTTAGAATGGTTGATAAACTATTGTAAACGTTTAAAGCGAGCCCTTTAATAAGCTTGTTTGAAAAATCTGAACGGGGATGGCCATAGGACGGCCACGAAACGGTTTCTGTCAATGGGACGGTCTTCTCGGTAAGCTATTCTTGAATGGAGCTTAATACTGAATTTAGATGGTCCAATGGCCGTCTCTTATAAAAGAGGATCGAAAGACCATTTAAATGACCCTCTACTACCCTTTAAGGTAGGCTTTCTGCTTTCATAGGGTGGCGTCCGGAACGGCGCGTGTAGCGGGTACGAAGGGATATACACCTATCATGACCGCGATCGGCTTTCATTGTGAAATTCAAGCCGGTTGAGTTATCCTCTACTGATATATAGGAAACACGACTCTTGGGTTTCTTGGGAAATAGATGGGCTGGGAATAGTACACGATGTCATCAATGTAATGCCCGCTCCCGAACCTGTGAACACATTGTACTCTAAGTGCAGACTTGAAGCGGAATATGCTGGGGTAGGATAGAGATAGAACTGAAAGGAGAGGAAGAGAAAATTAGAGACAATAAAAGCATAGTCAGGCTTACATACAACAATACACTGCTATGAGCATTATCTGCCCTCGTAGACCGAAAAATCACACGGATTTTGTAAAGCCAGCAATACCCTGTATAAGCAGTTATCCGATGACAAACAGACTCTTAATCTTTTGACATAGCACCTCCTATATACATCATCTTACCCGTTCTTATTGGAAACCAAAGATTACTATTCACCTGATTCCAAATCCGAATTTGGCTGTGCACGCCGACGACTGAGATCTGTTGCTCCTGGAACAAATGCAGAGAGATCAAATACAGGAAGTTGAAAAGGAAAATCGACACTGGCCAGGATTTCTGCAGCCAGTAAATACCATCCTGGGCATATGCTACCAAAACCTAAAGCGCCCGCGACCTGCAGATTTGTGTACTATTAGTCTCCTTTTCTTCTCATAATCTGCATCAAATGTCCTGCGGGTATGGGGATGGTTGTGAGATAAAGGATGGGAGGTAGAGAGATCCCTACCTGTTCCAGATCGTGAAGCTTTTCCGTGTTCCCAGCAGCCCCGTACAGCTTGCTTGCTCCAAGGATCACAAATGTCGGGCACAGCATCATGAAGGTGATTACCAATATCAAGTTTGTCCGCAATGCCCCTAGCAAGACTATGAAGGTAAAGACGCCCATAAAAATTGCGAAGAATCCTGTCGAAACAAATAATTAGCTCTAGGCCACATATATGGGAGAGACGGTTCTTCCTACCGAAAGCAGCCATGAATCCTGGATCTTCGGGCCCTTTGGGATATACGTCGGTATTCGCAGCACCAGAGGATGGAGTCAAAGTGAGGGCGAGAGAGAGGAAGAAGCCACCATAGATGCCCAAGAATGTAGCTGGAAAGGTATTTCCCAAGATGAAATTACCCACAGAAGCCAGCATAGTGCAGAAGCCTCCCAGAAAGAAGAGCGAGCCGCTGGAATTATGAGCATATAATGTCATTTCTGCGGAAACACGAATGGGGCTTACACCGTTGCCTGGCCTCCGCCGTATGCGCCCCCCCATCCCATCAATTGACACGTCAAGGGTGTGATAGCAATGAGCAGACCAGCAATTCCCAACGGTGTTGGATTTCCGAATGTCTGTCGGAGGTCACCTTTGACGCTATTTGGAGGTCCCAGATAAAGCCGATCGAATTGCTCTGGAGTCAGAGCTAGAAGAAGCAGGGAAGTCAGCAAGTGCCTATTTGGGAACAGGCGAGGGAAGCAGAGGAGAAGAATCAGAATCTCCCTGGACTGGGACGAATGTGCAGCTGCTTTTACCTACCTATACTACTGACGGTATCGTGACGATTCAACACACCTGTACCCGTCTTGGAGTTCATGCTGGAAGTTTATTGCGGAGCGGCACTGTATCCTGAACCGTTACAAGGAAAGGGAGAAATTCTCGACGGGATAAAAAAGATGGCTATATAGCAGCGGATAGCAGGATTGTTGAGATGTCGCTGATTATAGGATTACTCATTCCCAACGATTTCTGGAAAAAAGGGGGAGACTGATATCACATGGTCGTGTTGATCGGGATATTATGTATCTTCCAATTCTGACCAATCCGAAGAGAGAGATAGGGTCCGGTGAGGATCTCTGGCTGGGAAGAGTCTACATGGTGTGAGTGCATCATCCGCTGCCTTCATTCTAGATTTCACTTCATTTGCCTGACTAACTGGCTGGTGACGGATGTAACCCCAAAGCCCCGTTCGGGCAAGGTCAACGGAGTGGATTCATACTAAGCGGCGGATTGCGGCCCCGGATGCTGATATGGATGGTTCGGCTGGCAAGCTTAAATTCCGGATACTCTGATGCACTGTCATCAAGTCGTTGATCCGTTGTTCTCCACTCCCCGGCGAACCTCGGGGAAGGCCGCGGGTTAGTCGATCACGGCAATCTTTGTAACGAATGAACCTTTACTGGACGTGTCTAATCAGCATTTAGACAGAACAGCTGATACACAAATATGTGACATGAGTCTCTGTAACCTCTGAATTAGACAGCTGTAATAAGATAACCTGCCGAAGGCATCGCTTCGGTCGACTTACCTAGTCAGTCGAGCCATTCCGCAGCTCTACAAAACCAAAACTGCTAAGTTCGACGACGACGACGATGACGACGACGACTACACCTGCGCATATCTAGGAACAGCAAGCTCCAATCTGTAGCCTGGATGAGAGAGCACCGGATGATTATGCGCTGCCAGTTGGTATGTTATTTCTCTGAATTGCTTCGCATCGATGGGGTGAAGCTGAGGATAGGCGAGACCCACTCTCGCCAAGTCATGCCATCTGTGGCCTCGCCTCACCTCGTCGACACGTGACTCCACAACACCCGTCTTCGTCTTCGTCTTCGTCTTCTGCTCGAATCGGACCCCCGAAATCTGTTGTGTTTGCAGTCATACCCATTCTAAGGATGGGCAGGCTTGAGCATGCTATCAAACCACTTTCACGGCAGGCAGCCTTACCTAACATACAAACTCACAGCCCTCACCCTCGGGCCCCAACTAACCTGACGATAGCTCTTATCGCAGGTGGTTTGTACATACGGATGTGTTGCTGTCACGCTCTCAGTCCTTTTAGAGGTAGATGTTGGCGGCAAGCAGAGTGGGTAGGTGACACACCTCGGCCTCTCACACGGTAATGCTGCACGGCTGTCTGGCCTTCATATCTTCACATATCTTTCTATCTCTGCGTAACTTCTCATCTTTTCTAAATTCCCTGATCTTGGACCCAAGGAAAGATGGCAACGAGAGCATTGGCCCACACGCCAATTAGGCCGTGGCAGGAGATCAGAGACGCGAAAAAGGCCGAACAACTGGCTCGGATTCCCCAGGAGTGGAGGCTGTCCGAGTTTCCCCCAGCTGGAACAGTCGATGTACGCCCGGTAATCAGTACATGCGGTATCTTGTCTGCGCGAGAGTTGAAGATCACAGGGGATTCGGATGCCACAGCTTTGGCTGCTGCCATTGCAGAGGGTGTCTACTCTGCAGAGGAGGTGGCTGTGGCTTACTGCAAACGTGCAGCACTGGGACAGCAGCTGTGTAACAATCTTTCAGAGATTATGTTCATGGATGCCATTGAAGATGCTAAGAAGTTAGACGAGTACTTTAAGCAGAACGGGAGGACTGTAGGACCTCTACATGGCCTGCCGATGACTTTCAAGGTATGCATCCTACGCTCACGATCTTCAGTACCAGAAACTGACGCAGACCAGGAATGCTTCCATGTCAAAGGCTACGACTACTGTAACGGCTACATATCCAAGACCTTTAACCCCTCCACATATACCACATACATTATCGAGCTGGTCAAGGCCGCTGGGGCCGTCATAATCTCCAAGACGAACGTTCCGCAAACGATGCTAGTAGCAGAAACAGACAACAACGTCTTTGGCAGGGCGAAAAATGCTGTTGTCAGCCATTTGACTACTGGTGGAAGTAGTGGTGGAGAGGGCTCCGTTTTAGGGTGGCGAGGTTCTGCTATTGGTGTTGGTACGGACGTCGGAGGATCGATCCGGTATGTTATGGGATGAAAGTAGTAAGCGCGTCATAACTAAGAATTGACAGCATACCTGCGGCGGCAAATGGTGTCTACGCGTTCAAGCCTACCTGTGGACTGTTGCCCTTCATCGGATATGCTGCATCGGGCTACACAGGAGTCAATACTGGAATCGGCGCAACACTAGGACCCCTTGCGCAGTCGGTCCGCGATTTGACTCTCTTCACCCGTGTCGTGCGAGATGCAAAGCCCTGGCTCGTAGACCCGGCAGTCGTACCTAACGTTTTCGAGAAGGGCACGGTTGCGCGAAAGCCAGTAGTTGGTGTCATTTATCAGAGCGGACTGACTCCCCACCCACCAATTCGTCGAGCTCTGCGTGAAGCCGTTGCAAAACTCAAAGTGGCCGGTTACGAAGTAAAGGAGTTTATCCCGCCAGATTTCTCTGCCATGCGGGAGGTTACTCGACAGCTATTCACTCTAGATGCACTCTCGTATCAAAAGGGAGAGATGGCAAAAGCTGGCGAGCCTGCTGTTCAATCAGTACACGACATTGGACTCCTTTCATTGCCTGTAAAAACCCAAGAACAGACTTGGGAGCTGAACACGAAGCGCCTTACGTTTTGTAAGCAGATGCTGGACTGCTGGCAAGAAGCTCAGATCGACGTGGTGCTCAGCCCTGTCGGCCCGCATACTGCTGTCCTGCCTGGGCAATGGGACCTTGACCCTTACACAGTTGCGTGGAATGCTGTCGACTACCCCTCCGTCATCATCCCTTTTACGCATGCCGATCCGGCGCTTGATCCCAAGGATACCAATTTTGTCCCATTGAGTCCCAACGACGTGATCAATGAAGCAAAATGTAAGCCCGCAGCCTCATGTATATACCCACTTGCTTGATCTGACATGACTAGATGACCCTAAACTGCTCGCTGGAGCTCCTTGCGCGATCCAAATCACCGCTGTGAAATGGGGTGACGAGCAGTTATTGCAGGATGCCGAGACCATCGACGCTGTCTTGAACGGTCCCGCTAGCCAAAGGCGTTGAGATCTGAAGCTCCAAAGCCATAAGCTCCTGATACAAGGGCGACGTGTTCGTGGTTTAAGGGCCTCCTGTAAATAACCTTGAGTGGCGCACCTACCTATCGATGTACGTTGCGAACGAATTTGGGGCCAGGCTCTCTGTCAGCTACTTTTTCTTCCACTTCAGGTTGCGAGCAATGCACCATGCAGTATTCCTCGATATACCTACCGGTACCTGACAAGCAAAGCGAGCCCTGCCATGCAAACAGAGGGGTGGCACCCTTCGCGCATCGACGATAAGATAGCGCGCCAAAGTGGGGGTCAATTGTCTGCTTAATTCTTCAATCTCGGGTTTGACATGTTTTGCCTCGGCATAACTGACACATCTCCAAGAACCAGACTGTTCGAGATTTCTACTTCCGCTGTTCTCCAATATACCTAGCGTTCTGCGTTCAGACCACCAGGTCGAGATCGATCCTCTGATAGCTCGAGCAGATACGGTAGCGGTAGGTAGAGTACTCGGTTCTTGCGAGGTGGCTTAGCCCTCAAATCCGCCTTTTAAACTTCGTTCTCAGCTCCATCAAAACTCTATTATTCAATCGATTGTAGCTCTGCTATTGGTCACATTTACCGTTCGACAGACCTAGTATCTCCGGGTTCAGACGTATGGAAGAATCGAGGGGAGAACTTCATAGAAAACAGTGCGTGGGGATGAACAGTAACACAAAATAAGTGCACGTCACCTGTGGAGCAATTCTTCTTCTATGGTTCCCCTTCCATCGACGAGTCACCTCGGACTCCTCTTTTAACCCTCTCCGCGCAACAATAAAGATGGCGACCTTCCTCAGCCCAGCGCCAACGCGGCCATCTACCGCAACTCAGGAAGCAGAGAAAGAATTTAATATATGTCTTGTCGGCAGTGGGGGCGTGGGAACAATCGCGGCCGTGGTTTTGGAGAAGAGCAATAAGGCTAGGGTGACGGTTGTGTTGAGAGGCAGCTATGAGCTTGTGAACGAGAAGGGCTTTGATATTGAAAGTGTTGATCACGGGAGTTTGAAAGGTTGGAAACCGTCGAGAGGTGAGTTATTTTGTTTAGCTTTACCTTCAAACACTGTTCATCCGATGGCTTGTTCTGGGACTGGGGCATGAAGTCTCGAGTCCACGGTGTGGATGAGATGGATGGGATAATGAGACGAGATCACCGAATGGGAGAGCATTTAGTTGACGTGAACTCAGTTGTCCCCAGCATTGAAGAGGCTACTTTTGGTGCCCGACCAGCAAACACAAATCCGCTGCCAACAGGTGCCGCAACACCCATGGAGTCAGCGAGAGAACGCTACGACTTCCTCGTCCTGTGTACCAAACAACTCCCAGATCAATACTCCCTCTCCGAAATGGTCACACCTTTGATTACACCCGGTCTAACAGCCATCGTGTTAATACAGAATGGCATCTTCATCCACATGCCCTTCGTCAAGGCATTCCCCGCAAACGTCACTATGTCCGCTGTCTCCATGATTGGGTCCTTCACAGAGGGCGCCAACAAAGTCCGCCAAATTGGGCCTGATCGCTTACATATCGGTGCCCACTACCATCCTGGTATCTCGGATGAAGTGAGTGCCGAGCGTACGAAGACGTTCATCGAATTGTACTCTCAAGGCGGAGCAGCGAGTTGTACCTTAGCACCAGACATGATGTTAGCACGGTGGACCAAACTCCTCTGGAACGCACCCTTCAACGGCCTCTGTGCCCTCATGGAGATGACACTCGGGGAAGTCCAACGCTCCGGCGCACGCGAACGGCTCGTTGAACCCATCATGCGGGAAATCGTAGCCATCGCGAAAGCAGACGGCACGGAGCTGACGGAGGATTTGGTGCAGGAGATGTTGTGGAGGAGCCCAGAAACGAGTACTTACAGGCCGAGTATGCTGCTAGATCGGGAGAATGGGCGGCCGATGGAGATCGAGGTTATTCTTGGGGATGCGGTGAGGAGGGGGAAGGAGCTTGGAGTAGCCGCGAAGGTTTTGGAGAGTGTTTATGACTTGTTATGTTTGGTGCGGTGGAGACAGAGCAATCCGAAGGACGAAGGACCGATGCATATTGGTTAGGAAAGGCGTCGGATAGCATAGGTAGTAGCTGAGGGACCAGCTGTATTCATGATTTTGCCCACTTGCGTTTGCATGGTGCTGGTCGAGAAATTCGCCCTCCTGTTCTTCTCACTTGCAGAGGAGCCGAGATCGAAATTTCTTCTGCCCTCTTGAGATACGGCTCTTCAATCTCTGATTCTATGATCAGAAACCGCAAATATAATCAGATAGAAGCAAGAGAGCGAGCTTAATCTCTCCTCTGTCGCCAAATACTTCGTCCGAGGCCTAGATCGCTCAGCTTACAAGGTCCTGACTGCAGCGCATATCGCCTTTATGGGCGGCCTACATAGATATCCTGATGCCCATCCTAGCGGACGGGCCTCTATCCTTTAGCAGGGGAGATTTTGGAGGCTCGAAATGATATAAGAGCCACCAGTTTACTTATAGTGTCTTACATATCCGGAGACTGGCATATTGTAGATTTGTTTATTGATTGATCGTCGACATTCCAGCAACACCAAGATGAAGGATCGGGTGCTCCTTCCTATTCCAGTTGAGAGATGCACCTTTAGTCTCAGCATACTACCTCGTTCGCTGGGTCAAGCTTGTTGGTTTCGTCCAACCTCATCGCGCCTGGGAGCAAGTCATCCCGCGACGTGCTCAAGTGTGCGTGCCTTTGTGTATATTATATATATATATATATATATATGATTTTTTTTTTATGTATATATAATTTCTCACAGTCGATTGTAAGATTAAGTAACGTGTGTCATGTGATTCGAAATGAGCACCTCATTTCTCCTTCTCAAAGCCCCCAAACTACTTGTAAGTTGCTCATTCAACCTCCGACTGTCTCTACTATTTGATGGTTACTGCTGCGTAGCCTCCACTCTTGTTTTCGATCCAGTCATCGATACAAACCCCGACATTCATGTAACGTCCTATGGGATTGTTCCGACAGATCAGCAAATTGCCAGAGCCACCGCTTTCGAAATATCCATAGTCTCTCATTGAGTCTGTGATACCGTGCTTGAAGCCATCTCGCACTAAAGCTCTGCCTCTTGGCCACTGCAGCTTAGGCTCGACGGGCTTGTGGTCCCTTGTGGCCCTGCATTGTGATGCATATTCCCTATGGGAGAGGACGTCGCCTCCGAATGCTACCAGGTCGAATGCCTGCGGAGCCTCATCCACATCTCCAACTTGGACCAAGCCTAGGCCATCCTTCAAGATGATCCTGTCCCCTTCCAAAGATGCAGATATCTCGCCGAGAGAGCACCCCGCCACTGCAGTGATGGCTCCGAACATCAGGGAGAAAGGAGCAACTATCATACATCCACAATTCACACGGACGGTACACGAGATGTCCCGCGTGCTTTCGTTCTGGAGGCGAGATCCGCAATCGTATATTGCACCCATCCTAAAGTTCATCGATCTATTGTGGACTCGGAAATAAAGGGGATGCGGGTCTTCCCAATCAGTGCCGCTCACACATCTGTCTTGCCATCCAGTAGGCTTCGCATTTGGGTCACTTATCTGCCATAATGGCTGGAGCTTGGCAAGTAGCCTTCGTCTGTACTACAGCCCGGATATTCAGATTCAGCAAATTTATTCGGAGAGTATCACGAAGAAGAAACACTGCTGGCTTACCTGGACGACGTTTCCTCCGGGGTCCATGATACTGCCCAGGACAGTTGCACACTGTACCAGAATTCTTCCTGTTTCGTCCCCGGAGACATCTCGGGCTTGATCGTAGACAGGGATCAACTCCTTTTGGAACAATCCCGTGCTGACCTTCTTGCCGGCATTACAGCCCTTGAAGAGGAACTCGAAAGCTCTCCCTTTTTTGTCCTGGGTGAGAACGATCTTCATATATTTCTTAGGGGCGCCAACCAGACCGGTGATTGCTAAAGTTTTGGCCATGCTATTCTTCAGACGACCTAGATTGAGTACAGCGGCAAAACAGTCGGTGGTCAAGAGCTTGCTGTTGCTAGGCAACACCGGAATCCAGTCATACTCTCCCCTTTCTCCGCTGCTTACTGCAAGTTTGGTCCACGCGAGCCCAGTCTTCAGGGACAGCTGCTTAAAAAAAGCGAAAGAATTTTTGCCCATATCTTCACTGCTCAGGTCATGCTTAACCTCTGCCGGGGTGAATAGACCTTCGAAGACGCCTAGAAGTCCCAAAAATATGTCCTTCTGTACGCCACACTCCCGAGGTGTGATTGAAATCGCAGAGAAGACGTTACTGACACCTTTATGATTTTCGCACCACCAGCGAGGACCACCGTTGATGATATCCGTTCTCGCGCAGGTCATACCTCGAACTTGAGTCTGGAGGCTATTCAGCGATTCGAAGTCGTCATCGAGTCTTCCCAGGATGGCATTGACCGACGCTGTCTTCAGAACGCGTGAAGTGTTTATCCATGCCCAAAGTTTGACTGCCTTATCTTTTGACTCGGTTGCCAAATCCATCCAAGTATCGAGCTGCCCAAGGCAGAATACAATTCCACCGGCTCCCACGCCGTACATTGTAATGTTCTTGCCCAGGAGCATTTCCTGGAAAGTCCACACCCGCGTGAAATACTTGTTCTCAAACAACTCCTTGACCTTGCGGATACTCGTCGCGTAGCAGTTCAGCACACCCACGTCGATCGCGGTGGATCGCACTGTCGCAAAATCTATGGGGAAATACCACTTCTCGCTCGCCCATTTCGACAGTCGATTTGTCAGATTTGGCGACAGCATGGCCTCTGAGGCGAGTGATGCTCCGCCCATGTTGGCAAGGATGTGGTCGATGAACTTGAGATCGTCGACAGTCTCTTGTGGGTCCCATCTTTCCTCCATATCCATAAGAATGAAGCATCTGCTAGCACTTCTGTAGTACTGATACATCATGGGTACAACCGAGCTTTTCTCTTCGCCAGGTCCATCCTCCTCCTGGTTGATGCATAAGCAGTCTGCCCACAGGTACCGTATATTTTGCGTGATCATTAACGCTTTGATATCTTCCAGCTTCTTCTCGGCTATCGTCACGTTCCAACTCACACCTTCTATTCCACATTTCGATGGATTATATTTGACTTTGGCTGGCGCACCCCATGTATATGTGATTATGTCAAAGCTATTAACCGTGTACCTAGCGCTGTTGGTATCGAAGACAGCAAATTTGCCATCGATTTGGCCGATGAGCCTGAATGGCAGAGTCATTGGGGAGCTTTCCTTGGAAGAATTCGACCCCGGGGATTGTAAGTATGATTTCGAAAGTCGTCAAGTACCAAGAGATATTTGAGCTAGATTTAGATGAGTGTTACGCAAGAAATTCCGGGAGTAAAGAGTTAATATGGTAAATCTGGGGGTCGGGAATCAGTTTGTTGATTTAGACTCGTCTCCTGACAATAGCATAAGCCTCGGAACCCTTACCCTACCAATTCCAGTCGTCAACATTCAGCTCCAACGCCACAACTATTCATGGCGGTATGGTCCGCTCCATTTCATCTGGCAATAGGCCAGACAAATGGCTGCTGTGTGACCAATGTCGTGGCGTTACTTGGCTAAGGAATCCTTGTAGCGTACGGCTGAAAACCCCAACATCTTGCTCTTTCAGAAGCAAATGAGATATTGAGATTAAAAGTAAATCTTCAGTTGTGATGAGAGAAATGTGTCCAGATGCAACCATGTCCTCATTGGGGCCAGCCTTACCGGCAGTACGGACCTTTTACCCATCCTGCACTTTCCCCCCCCAGGACATCAGTCACTTTCTCATCGCATTTTCTTCCCTTGCGTATACGCCTAGAAGAGACCTTCGATACATCACAACGAGAGACCTGGCGACGAATCTGCCGTTTGGAACTGCGCAAGCGTACGCTGAAGCCTCCATCCGAGTCACGTTAGTCACGTTGAGCACTTTCGCAATTACCATCATGCGAAGGGAGTCACGAACATTGCTTACACAATTACAGCGCAGTATTCACTTAATTCATACCAGTTCGCCTTATTGTATATACCATGACAGCCGGACTCTCCTATCTCTTACACCCAAAGAGTCAAGACTCGCTGGGAATATTCATTTCTTGAGATGTACATCGACTGCGCCGGCTACGCTACACGCTACCGGGAGCTTCCAGAGACGGAGACTGTGATAATCGATATTGAAAGAAGTGCTCTTCCTTCCACGGACGAGAATAGCTTCGTTAGAAGATAAAAAGTCCGATGGGGTTCCGTGCTTCTTTCTATTCGAGCCCTTTGTTTTCCTTTCTTCTCGCTTGTGGCGTCCGCTTGGTAATCGCCGATACGGTATGCAAGAAACACAACTTGGCTGGCAAGGGTTGAGCCTGAAAGCCCACCCTTCGAAGATTGAAAGAGGCCGTCGTTGCTGTTGCGATTTCTTGCCCGAAAGCTCTCCGTGGCCGATCCAGAATTCCAATCATGACCGTATTCTTTGCGCGGAAAAGGGGGTCGCTATTTAGTCGCGGGCAGTTCTGTGATTGAGAGCTGGTTATGGCATGAAGGAAGTTATACATAATATATCAACTTCTAGGCATCGGATATAAAGTCTCGATTGATTTTGAGTGGTATGAAAGCCTTCGTTTTCATACTCTGCTCGGCGGGGATTTGGATCTTTTGAAGTGGACTTGATAAGTTTGCTTCCTTAGTAAGCGAGGTCGTGCTCTGTTCGTAATCTCGGTTATTTTTTTCCCCCTTAACCGTCCTTCGTTGTGCTACATTGGAATTGCTTGAGACGAGTATAATCGTGAGTACTTTGAGAGCACTCGTTAAAACAGAAGATTATCGTAAGATGCTCCTATAATAGGGCCCGGTCATGACTTGGAATTCCATCTTTCGCTTAAGAATATCATAACGACTACTCTCGATTTCTTGATTGGGTTGTCCAACGTAGAGAATTTTACGTGCCGAAACAGTATTGATTATCAAGATGATCAATAATTTATCAACCGATACGTGGCGTAATCGTAAAATTCCAGATCTAATAGAGGGAAATCTCAGGTTCTGTGTTTTAAGCATCATAATAAGCATCGGCTAATATCAGGGAAAAGCGGAGAAAGCCTATCCATCATGATCCTCGGCTCGGGATCGTTCGTCAGCCCCACCACCCCGCCATCCCAATCGTATTTGTGCTCCAGAGTCCAGCAACCACGTCTTTAACTATTGTCGAGCTGGAGAGTATCTCAGAGATGGCAGATAAATCCAGAAGACGCCTTAGTAAATCCCCTTCTTCAATGGCAATCTCTCTGGCTCACAGAACATAGACAGGCCGGCTCTTTTGTCCGTTCCACCCGTCACCAACCAACAAGAGCCGGATGAATAAGTCCAGCTACTGACAGCAACGATATATAGCATCTGCGACATCCAAGAGAAGTTCCGCGGGCCGATATGGGAATACGAGAAGCTGTTCGTCTCCTCCCGCTCCTCTCACTGCCATCCATATATTCCAAATATACCCCGGCAGAAAGCTCACAGTGCAACTTATCTATCGACGCAGGATCGTCACTACGCAAAAACTCCTCAAGGCAGCCGCTGTCCTCTCCGTGCCCATCTACGCCACGACGCAGAACCGGGCGCGTCTCGGACCCACGTGCGCCGAAATCGACCTGTCGACGGCCGTCGAGCACGTCGACAAGACGGCGTTCAGCATGTGGATCCCTGAGATCTCGCAGCACTTCTCCTCCAGCCCGCCGTCCGAGATTGCTATTGTGGGCATCGAGACGCACATCTGTGTCACGCAGACGACGTTGGATCTGCTGGCGGCGGGGCACAAGGTGTACGTGCTGGCGGACGGGGTCAGTAGCTGTAACAAGGAAGAGATTGGCGTGGCGCTGGATAGGCTGAGGGGGGAGGGCGCCGTCATCACGACGAGCGAGAGTTGGATTTATGAGTGTATGGGCGATGCGGGGATTCCGGAGTTTAAGGCGGTTGCTGGGGTCGTGAAGGAATATAGTGGAAAGACGAAGGAGGTTGTGGGAGCATTGCTGGGGAAGAGTAAGATATAGAGGAGCACGGGTGAGCAAAGTAGGGTAGATAGTTGTGTGATTTTGGCTTGGGTCCAGGGATGGAGGGATTCCAGGCCGTATATTCGTGATCCGGTGTTACAGAACAGCTCACAAGGGGACTACTAATATAGGAATAACGAAAGTTGGAACTATAAAGATAAATTTGATATCTGCTTAGTCACCTGTGTAGAAATGCACCTACATATATACCAACTTTGACAACCTCTAGTTAGTTCCTTCATCTGAATTCAACAGCTTCAACCTTCGCACCCTCCAGCCACTTCATATCACCGTTGCTAGTGACCTTGTGCAAATTATACAGCTCATCAATAAGCGCAGGCACGAAGGTGCCAGGACCTTTGACATCCGCCCTCCTAGCCGCAATTTCAGCAGCAATCTCATATTGTAGGAGTCCAGCCAAGGCAGCCAGAAGCTTGTCCCCTCGACTAACGGCCAACATGACCGAGATAATAGTGCCCAAGACGCACCCACTTCCTGTGATCTTGCCGAGCAGCTCATGACCATTGGATACGGCGAATGTTCGCTCGCCATCACTGATGAAGTCTGTAGCGCCAGTCATCACGACAACATTGCGTTCTCTTGCAGCAAGATCGCGAACGAGTATGGCTTTCTCCATGTCTGTAGAGGTGCTAGCACCGCTATCCACACCTCTCTGCTGCACCACTGCGCCGAGAGCCGTCTTGATCTCTCCCTCGTTGCCTTTGATCACATCGAAGTATCCAGCAGCCATCAATTTCTTGACAGCATCCCTCCTGACAGCAGTCGCACCACCTCCGACAGGATCAAAAACCACAGGCCCACCTTCAAGATTGTAAGCCTTCAGCGCCTTGCAATAATTCAGAATCCCATCAGGCGTCACGGTGCCCATGTTGACGACAAGAGCACCGCCCAACTTTGCGAGATCAGCAGCTTCTTCTCCGTAGTTGGCCATGATGGGAGAGCCACCGGCTGCAAGGGCCACGTTGGCTGCGAAGTTCTGTACTACGAGGTTCGTCATGTTATGCGAGAGAGGCGTTTTCTCGGCTACCGCTTTGATGACTCCTGGGACTTGCTCAACCAACGCTGCCACATCCACTTTCTTCTGGACATTGGCCAACGAAGCTGCAGCAAATGGCGCCGGCGTCCTCACCATCTCCAAAATCTCTGCAGCAGCCTTCTTCGGATCCTTGGCTGCAATGATAGCGCTCACAACCGCAACTCCGTCGAGGTTTTTGGCAGGTGCTGAGGACTGGAAGAGGACGCGTTGGACAGTGGAAGCGTTGATGCCGCCTATTGACACGGTTTTGACGTTTTTACCCACTGCTGAGATGGCAGATAAGATTTCCCTCGTGCCTGCTGTGCCGATGATTTCTTTGGTGTTTGCTTTACTGGTAAAGATTCAGTGTGGGTATGCGTTTGAGGGTGTATTAGACGCACGTTCCGGTTGCAAACATTGTGCCTACACCGAGGTAATCTGCGCCGTTTTTGCAAGCTGTGAGAGCTTGTTCTACCGTGGATACTGTCACACCGATGATTGCGTCTTTGCCGAGCAGCTTGCGGGCAGTTGAGAGATCTGGATGAAGTCAGATGCGATGAACATGAGCTCTTGGCCAACAGTACACACCTAGATCATCTTGACCGATGTGGACACCCTCACAGCCAACGGCCAGAGCCACATCCACTCGGTCATTGATCAGCAGAGGAATGTTGTGCTTCTTGGTTACGGCATGCAGTTTCCGGGCAGTGACTATCAGGAGCCCTGTGTCGCTGACCTTGTCTCGGTATTGAACCAGAGTCACTCCCCCGTCAAGTGCTGCTTCCACCACCTCGACCAGATCTCTATCTCCGAGAATTGCGGGAGTGGAGTCGGTGACAAGGTAGAGCGAGTAATCTACTTTAGCCATGCTGAATGAAGTACGGAGTATGCCCACGCTACGGAACGTTGCAATAACATATAATACTTTTTTCTTCTAAACCGCTTGACCGGCCTCGTATTGACAGTGACAGGAGTAGGAGAGGCTTTCTCTAATCTACATTGAAGTCAGGCAGGGCATTTCAGTCGAAATGAAAGCAGAATAAATATCATACTGTTGTGGCCAGAAGAAGATAGAGAAGATATTCAGAAAGAGTACCTAGTTAACCACGAACGTTTTGATCCCGTGATCAATGATATAGAATAGAGAAAGAGCAGACAAAGAGGTGAATCTCTGATATTGGATGATAAACAGAATACACAAAGTGATTGGGTGAGTAAGTGATTGAATAGCGAAGTTTGCTAATATATTGGTGAGTCTATTTATGAGAGATATCAGTCATCTGGTGGTTGTGGTGAGTCTACCTTATTTAGCAGTTTTTCTGAATCAGCTGACATCGCACTAAAAAAAAATGTCGAAGCGCAACCGCTTCCTTCAAGTACCAACCACCGACCTCCTCTTTGACCAACTCCTCAACAACACCAACACACCCCATCCACCTCTACGTCTCTACGTCCCTTACAAACACGCTTCACCATCCGCGACAATAAAATTTCGCCTCCTGCCATTCGGATTCTACGTTCGAGACCGACGGCATAAAACAGAACAGAAGAGAAAACGCTTCGCCCGTCCGCCCGCCTTCTTCAAACGTATCCCCCCTCTCTCGGCCAGTCATCTACGACACCCGGTCCAGGAAGCATCTCCTTCCGTCGACACCCTCCCAAATAAATAGAACCAGCACGTCAACAGGTACATCTGCGTTATATGTATCTCACACCCCACGCCAACGACCTCAGACACCAGCCGCCTCTCGAGCTGCGACCATTTCGCATACCGCGGAAACCTTGTAGTTCCTACTTCAGTAGCAACGGCTAATACCCCTCTGCTTATCGAATGTCTCGTTAGCAACAACCCAGGCAACCTAGCATTACTTTCCGTGCTCTCTCGCTCCCTCAGCCGATTCTTCTGTATGTCAACTGCCACGTCATTCGGTCGTCTCAAGTTCTACGTCCTCTGATACACGTTACAAAAAGCCGAATCTCTCCAAACAAATCGCAATCATGGCTACCATAAATATCCGTAGCGATGTGAAGGACCCCTTCTACCGCTACAAGATGGAGAAGCTCCAGTCTAAGATTGAAGGGAAAGGCAATGGCATTAAGACTGTCATCGTCAATCTTAGCAGTGTGGCAAACTCGCTTGCCCGCCCTGGAGCCTACGTCATCAAGTACTTCGGTTTTGAACTCGGAGCCCAGACCAACTCGAACCCTGCTGACGACCGATGGATCATCAATGGTGCTCATGAGGCATCGAAGCTCCAGGAGTACCTTGACGGCTTCATCAATAAGTTCGTCCTTTGCAAGAAATGCAAGAACCCTGAGACTGAGGTCGTCATCAAGGACGGGACTATTATCCTTGATTGCAAGGCTTGTGGTGTTCGTTCTGATGTCGATCTGCGCCTCAAGCTCAGTGGTTTCATTCTCAAGAACCAGCCAAAGACCGGCAAGAAGAACAAGGCCGACAAGAAGGCCGCTCGCAAGGCCAAGCAGAACGGTAACGCCAACGCCAACGGTGACGAGAATGGGCAGAACAGTGGAAGCGAGAACATTTCCGAGAACGGATCCAACGAGAACGGAGACGGTGGTATCGATGCTGGTAGCGACGATGAACTGACCCGCCGCATCAATGCCGAGGCTCAAGAGCTCGATGAGCCAGTTGACGCCAGAGACGACGAGTGGACTGTTGATATGTCCGCTGAGGCTGTTCGTGCTCGTCAGCAGGGGCTCTCCGATGATCTCAAGCAAAAGCTTGTCCTTGGTGACGATGAAGACGAGGATGGAGAAGGTGGTGGCAACTCCGCCTACGACCAACTTGGAAACTGGATCACCAACGAAGCTGAAGCCAAGGGAAGCGTCGACCAGGTTGAGGATGTCGCCATCTACGTGAAGGCCAAGGAGTTTGGCATTGAGACCAAGCACCGCACTCTCCTAGTACTGGTCCAGACCATCTTCGATGACAACATTGCCAGGCAGATTCCTACCCGTGCCTCCATGCTTAAAAGCGTAAGTCTATTTGCACCTTCAAACAAACATTCTATCTAGAACATGCTAACATCTGCTAGATGGTCACATCTGAGAAGCATGAGAAGGCTCTCATGGGTGGTGTCGAGCGCTTCATCGGTCTCCGTGGCCAAAAGGACCCCAGGTTCTACGAAGAGACCTCCAAGATCCTCATGGCTCTGTACAACGAAGACCTCTTCTCCGAGGATTTCCTCACTAAGTGGGGCACCAAGGCCAGTAAAAAATACATCGATCTCCCCACCAGCAAGAAGGTCCGCAAGTCCGCTGAAGCCTTCATCATCTGGCTCGCCGAGGCCGAGAGCGACGACGATGACTCCGAGTAATCTGTCCAGTCGATTCATATCCTCCAGTGCTATTCTTGTACCAGGAGATCCAGAGTATCACAATTGGCAGGTACACGCCGCTGGACGATGGCTGAAGAGGGTTTTTGGAATCGACTTCAACTCATTTTCGGTGAGGTGGCTTGTGGATGGATTTGTTAGATCGCCTGCTGGTAGTACTGCTAGTAGTAGATCTGCGAGATGTCTAATTTGCGGTGCTCTTCTGTTGTGTATTGTGCGCTTCTCAACTGCATGGTTTTTTGTTGTATCCGAAAAGAAAAACCGGTCTTGCTGCCTTGTGCCAATAGTAACATGCATTCCTGGCATCTAAGAATTCCGTGTGAATACTGCTAAATGACCATCATTTCTGGACTTTGTGAGAAAGACATAGATAGATGCCTTCACCACCTGCCCGTCCATTCCAGCCGAGTGGTAATACTGGCTGGGATCGACAAAAATAAAATAAATGCTGAAAATCCAGCAGCCAAGGTCCGAATGAGAAGGAGAATGAGATCTAACCGAAAAATCTCAAAACTCTATCCTTTCCATCTAATTCTCTTCATTCGTTCGAACATCGTTTCATTCGTATCTTCTGTCATTTTTTCAAAGATTCACTAAAACGTACACAAAAAAATTCCTGACTTATATCCGCCGCGAGTCTCGGTAGGAAAAGTTCCGAGTCCCAAGTTCCATTTCCCATTTCCCATTTGCCATATCCCCAAACTCCGGCTTGCAACAAAATGCGAAGACACACCTAACTCCATCTCTTCGCTCCCACTTACAAACCCTACTTCGACGGACGGAAGGACGAACGAAAAAACGACATAAAAACGCTACCTACCCATCTGACCCCACTCTGCCCTCATAACTCCAACTCCACAAACTGAAACCCCGGCATGGTCGGCAGCACATCTACATCGGTCCCGTCCCTCCCACCCGCCTGCCGCATCGCCAACCACACTGCATCGGCATTAACCGCCTCCAGCGCCTCCCTCACGCCGTGCCGCTCCCACGCCAGCGTGCCTAGGACGTCGAGCACCTCGTCGAACATCTCGTCGTCGACCCCGACGCACTCCACCACGGCGCTCAGGAGCCGCACGACTGCCTCCCAGACCCGGCTGGCCTGGCTGTGCGCGCCCCGGCCCGCCTTCGCGTTCGCCTTCTCGTTTGCGGATGCGGCTTTGGAATTTCTGGCGAGCGTCGTGAGGGCGCGCCATTCGTGCCGGATGCGGGACGAGAGGAAGGAGCCCGCGCAGCGGCAGAGTTCGGCTACGGTGTCGCATGCTGCGGTCTGCACGTACGTCTCGGGATCGTACAGACGCGTGATGAGCACGGGCCAGACGTCATTTACGAGAGGTAAGAATAGATCTTCGTCGGAGGCGAGGGCGGGTGCGGACGTACGAAGGAGGGAGAGCAGTTTGGTGCGCAGATGGGGCGACGAGGAGGTGAGGTGGTGTTGGCAGTGACGGGAGATGAGCTGGAGCATAGTATATGTCTTGGTGGGGGGTGGTTTGGCTATTTCCTGATCCTGGTCTTGATCTGGGATTGCTTCTTCTTCTTCCTCTTCTTCGGGAGCTGGGTCGGAGGAGTCTTTGGGCAAGGGTCGTATTTCATCGAGAAGGTCTTTCGCCGATTTCCACGGTCTTTGAGGGACGGCTTCGTACTCGAGCGGAGTTTCTGTGGATATAGGTGTGCGTGTGAGGAGTTTGACGATGTCTGCGATCGAAGGTGGTGCAGGTCGGGTTTTGCGGTGGTTGGGGGAGGGTACGGCTTCGATTTGTAGCTGGCCAGATATTGCGCCTACAGAGACGATCTCGCCAAGCACCGAGAAGAGGACGTCGACCAGAGCTTGGTACCCGTGGAAATTGTCCAGCGCGGCAAATATGGAGTCTACAACATCATCAAGGTAGGGGAGGAGAGAGGGGCCGGCGAGGCGGATCATCATGACTAGGACTTGTGGTGCCTGAGGGGAGATATCGAAGGTGTTTAGGCGGAGCGAGATGGCGTTAACCATGTAATCTACGTTATCAACGATCAGCTCACTCGCGTTGGGGTAGCCGCAGGACTTGGAGATGATGTTTAGACTGGTTATGGCGTGTTCTCGCAATCTTGTGTTGGGATTTCCGAGAAGTTGGACGACCGGGTACAGTGTGTCTACCAGCTCGGTTTTGAAGCCAGTCTTCATGCGCCGAGAAGCGTCTGCCACAACTTCTAAAGCAATGGCTCGAAGGCGCCAATCTGAAGATCTATCGTCGGTATCTACTAGAAGGGAAAGAGAGAACGAAAATAGCTCTGCATTTATAGACTCTTGCTCGTCTGAGTCTGTGAGTGATGACACCAAGAACTCGTCCAGGTCTTTGTTGCTCGATTCTGCGGAGCGAAGAATCTGTGATGCAAGCCAGTATGCCGACAGAAGACTGGGTCCAGATGCGGATCGTGCGTACTCTAGCATCTCGCTGGCCATGTTTAGTTGCGACTGCCTGGTCCCAAGCCTACCGATCAATGCTGTGAGCTGATCTCGAGTCTGCAGCTGGCTCTGCTCCCCCATGATGATCGGGTGGAATTGGTATGCAAGAGTATTGTCCGCTGCTAGTGTCATCGCAGCTTGACTATTCATGTCGAATTCTGCTTCTTGGACACCTTTCGGTAAAGGCGAAGCTTCGAGAGTAACAGTAATGCTATCTCGAAGAGACACGCCAAGTGCGTCCTCGAGAATCGAAGACTCCAGGTTCAGCCCAACAAGTAGCTCGTGGGCTTTCGATAGTTGACCTAACACAGCGCGTTTGGCCATCTCGTCATTAGACTGCATAACTCGAGGAAGACTTGTGACCCAATTGTAAAGCGTAATTTTGATCAAGTCTGTTAGATCCGAATATATAGATGCGAGATCTACGAGAGATGTTGATCTCTCGCTCGAATCGCCTTCGAAATCAATACCAGTAAGGGTCATGCAAGTCTCAACCAGTATGGAAGCAGCTTCGGAGAGCGTCTCGTGGCACTCGTCCAACAGGGTAATACAGAGACTGTTCAAAGCTTTTCTTACTTCTACTGACTCGTGGCTTCGGAGTCTGATTATATTGGACAGGGCCAATTTGACTTGACCAACAGTTGCCTTCAGCCATGGCTTGGTAAGATTCTCTTGTTCCTCACTGTTCCTTTTGTCTTCTTCTAATATTCTCTCGCTCCTGATATTTCGCGTTCGGAGATCGCTCAAGGTAGAAACGAGAACATGTGTAAGGACCTCTAGCGCCTTGACCAGAGCCTTGCGCGACCTCCGAGTCGCAGTCCCGGGCATGAGGAACTTGGTCAGCGCAGAAACCGTCCCGGGTAGGAAGTTAGAAAGAGCTTGGGGATCCTTGACGCAGCGCCAGATAGCATGCAGAGCTTGCAGAGCCTGGAGCTGTGCCGCCGCCGATGGCCCATCTGTAACCCCATCCAGGATCACCGTGACACAGTGTCCCAAGGCAGGTATAGTACCGGAATCGACCATAGATGCTGGACCCCCCGGCGTATGTGCCACATCCCGGAAGAGCGCGGCGAGAGCTCCGAACGCCTCAATCAGCAGCTCCTCCGGCGGGCGCGCAGAAACCTCTTTCCCAGGCACCCCGCCGGCGACGAAGGTGAGGAGAATGAGGAGCTGCTTCGCAAGGTCCAGGGCGACCGAGTCTCTCCACCCGTATTCGAGCAGCACCCTCGTGCATCTTATTGTGACTTCGGACAGCCGGTCGGTATAGGTCTTCTTGCGCTGAAGGATCTGAGAGAGCGGGAAGAAGACGTAGTCTGCCAATTTCCCGTCGAACACGCCGTCCGTCCGCTGGCACTTTTCTTCGAGGATTACGAGAAGCTGGGCTGCGGCTTTTATCAGGGCTTTGGCACTGGTTGCGCTACCGTCGTCTCGCAGTACTAGCTGGCTGAGCTCAACACACCTAGGTTTGAGCTGTGTGACTATCAGCGGGGTTTCCCGATAAAGAAGAGATGGCCTAGATACCTGTTGGAAGAGCTCATTCCTCGCAGAGCGTGCGCCGTTTTCCATTGCAGATCTGGGTAAAGCACGTTATGCGGTCTGGGTTTGGCTCAACGAGGCGGACAAGGTTGCACAAGGCTGAGAAGTCCGGATCCGCTTAAACCTCCGAAAAAGAAGCGCAAAATATCTTAAATGTTATATACCCACATAAAACCTTAGCAGATACATACGACCATAGACTGAGGAGAATTGGGCATCCCGTTCGCTCTGCCATACACAAGCCTCAGATCGGCAGATTAGTAGTTGGGTGGGTGACCACCAGCGAATACCTGCTGTTGTATGTTTTTAGTTTTTAATTCGTAGCAGGGGCCGCAACTTCGCCCGCACATTCCCTAATTGTTAAATAATCGCTTGTTTTTGACGCCCCAGTGCCTACATGGCAGATGAAGAGAGTCGACGGCAGCAGGCTGTCCAAACAGAAGAAAACTTCACAGCCAAATACGACACGACAGCAGTGCAATGATTCATTACATCAAATATACATTGTTCTATTTTTTCCAAGACGCCGTCACAATTATTCAAAATTTCTCGCTTCTCTTCAAGTGGCAAAATGCAAAAACATCTTCCACAGGTCGTCTATGAGATTCTGGTGTAGGCCTCCGAGTCAACAATCAGCATACCCGCGATACTAGCTGATGTCAAGGTGCTCATAACGCCGGATATCAATGCGCTCACGGCAACCTTCGCAATACGGCCAGATTGGCCAGGTGCGAGAGAGGACAAGACTCCGATTTGGGTACCGACGGACGAGATGTTACCGAAACCGCAAACGGCGTAGGTGGCAATGAGGCGGGAGCGCTCGGAGAGTTTGAGGTACTCGTTTCCGGGCGTTTGGTCGGCGAGGGCGGAGAACTGGATGATTTGTGAGCACATGGGACCTTGGTATCGAGGTATCTCAAGAACAGGGACTTACAGCGACAAATTCGTTAGCCACGATCTTCAGTCCGATCAGCTTTGCCACCCGGAAGATGTCGCCGTTTCTGGGGACTCCGAGCAAGAAAGATATAGGGAAAAAGATGTATCCAACAAGCAACTCGACGCTCAAGTCCGGGTCCGTGATATTGATGTAGCGACCCCACCATCCAAGGAGACCGTTAACCAGACCAAGAAGGGACAGCACGCAGAGAAGCGCGGCGATGATCATACCACCGATTTTGATTCCGAGCCAGGAGCCATTCGCGAAAGCGTGGAGACCGTTGGCAGGACGCTCTTCATCGTCCTTGGGCATGACGGCGTTTCCAGCGGTCAGCGACTCTTCGGTCTCGGGGTAGCGAAGCTTGGAGATGGCCAGGGATGCCGGGATGGACATGACGCAGGAAGAGACGAGAGCGAGAGGACTGATACCCATGCCGATGTAGGCGGAAAGCACGGACCCGGCGATGGTTGCGAATCCGGAGGTCATGACTTGGTGTAGTTCAGCAGATGTCAGATGAGGGATGTACGGCTTGATCAACATGGCGGATTCTCCTTGGCCGACAAAGGGAGAAGCGGCAGCGACGACGGCTTCGGCACCGGAGACACCCATGGCGTAGAAGAAGATAGTAGCGAACTTGCTGATGGCCCATTGCAGCCATCCCCAGTAGTAGAGGAGCTGCACGAAGGCAACGAAGAAGATGATGGGTGGGATGACGTTGAGGACGAAGTAGCCCAAGGTGAGGGCGTCGGCGTTGAACAGAAAAGTAGTTCCTTCTTTCGAGAAGCCGAGGAGAGAGGTGGCGAGGAAGGCGATAAAATTGAATATGTCGTATCCCGCTTGTGTACGGAGCACGAAGAGGGCTACGATGTACTGAGCCAGCATGCCCACGATGACGGTCTGCCACTTGATGGCCTTGCGGTTCGTGGAGGTAGCCCAGAAGCCGAAAATGAAGACGGCCAGGCCGAACAAGCTGATGGCGCGGTTGGCTCTCGTGTTGTCTGCCGTCTCGTCACTGGCAAAGGTGCCGACGAGGAACACCGCAATGGTTCCAGCCCCGCACAGAGGCGTTCTCAGCTTCTGGGGGATCATGTGAGCTGGGCCGTAGACGGCCTTCATCCAGATCATCGCAATTGGCTTGGTGAGGAACTTGGTCGACACATATAGCGTGACCAGGCGGATGGTGAGGGCGAGCCAGAGTAGGAGCGGGACCAGCCAGGACTCGGTCGGACCTCCAATCGAGTGACGATTCAGATTCAGGGCTGCAATCCACCAACTGTGCGAGCTGTCTGTCAGTCCCTGGTCTGGTGTAATGTGATGTGGTGATCTGGTGATGTGTGATGTATGTTGTGGTTCGTTACACGCGCAAGGGGGGCAGAAAATTGATGGATAGGAAGGACAGGTGGGGGAGGGCGAGGAGGAGAGAGGAGAGAGGAAAGGGGAAAGGGAAGGGGGGAAAAAGAGAGAGGGAAAAAAGCAGAGTTCGTTCGTACCCAGTCATCACCACCCAGAAAGCTGGGAAGGCGAACGGCTTCGCCATCAACCAGATCTTGCGCACCTTGCCTGGACGCTCCTGCTCCTCATCCTGGCTCGAGTAGCTGGCACTGATGGGCTTGCCATCGACCTCCTTCTCGCGGTAGGAGGAGTCCTTGAGGGAATTGTCCTTGACGCCCTTCTCGCTGTCGACCGCTATGCCGGCTGGCTCGCGGGGGCCATCCACCGTCGCGTCGTTGTTGACGTGACTCGCCATTGCGATAAGTAGATTGTACCTGTATATATAAGTGTATATATATATATATATATATCGATGGCCCTTCGCAAGTTTGAGCGACTCTTCTAAGGAAATACTGGTAGATACCACTAACGAAGAACAAGTCGGCGACAGTGAAGAGGAGCAGAAGGAGGATCAATACTCGCGTAGGGTGGGGCCGCAGTGACTTTTATACAGCGTACAAGATCCAAGCAGCTAGGTAAGAAGTAGCGAGTAGGAAGCTTATCAGCTCGTTGTCTACCTATCCGTCTCTTTATCAGTCTACCGTATTTATCGGTTTATGGTTTATCATTTTATCAGCAATGGCTTTCGCTTAGCAAGTTGACTTTATTGACATGCGATCGATTGATTTCGTCACGATACTGTAATACGGAGTAGTCAATCTGTCGCTTCTTCCCGAGTCCTCTGTCGTGCCCCTGGTGCCCCTGCTTCCCATGCGCGATAAGGTGCTGGGCGGAGCTTGGCACCCCCGCGATACGAAGTTTCTTTCGCTCTCCCTCTACTGTACTGTACCGGTACTTGGGTCTCATTTCCTTCCACTCTATCTATATGTTTATTGTCTCCATGGATATTAACTCCGTCTGTATGAGGCATGTACCGATATATTATCTACCGATCTATTATCTACTGATCTACTAGTATTATCGACATACCTATACATGTTTGTTATCATTGAGATTAGACGAATCGCGTCCCTCGTCAGCCTTGGCCGCCATCCGGCTGCATGGCCCGATGAGGAAGGTAGTGGGTGGGTGGGGGGTGAGTGAGCGGGCCTTCCCCATCGTCTATTCATGCTCGCGCCAAAGAGCAAGCCAGCCCCTCGGTGCACCCTAAACCAACAGGAGCCAATCAGAACCGAAGATGATCACCCTGCTGACTAATACCTTTCTAACCCATTACAGTCATCCTGATCACCTGACTGAGCGCTGGATATGGAGGTCGCTTCCAGCGGTCTCTGCTTCACAACCATCAACTATCAACCATCAATCATCAACCTTCAACCATCGACCATCAACCATCGACCATCAACCATCGACCATCAACCGTCGACCCTCAACCGTCAACCCTCGACCTTCTATACTCGCCTCACGAAAAGGGGATCGACAGCTGCTTTTCTCATGCCGCCCGTCTCTCGTGCCGTGCTGATGGCCTGCCATGCCATGCCATGCCCAGCTGCTGCTGTGTGTGCAACGAATCCCGAATCCAACGTACTATAGGTGAGTCCTGCATGCATCGGTCCCGCGTCCAAGCCTGGCTTGGGGGATCACCACTTCAGGAGGTAGCACCGTCGCCAGACAAGGAAGACTCTTCTGAGACACCGTCTCGACTTACCTCTACCAGCTACATATCCATCGGAATTATCTGCGGGGAACGTCGCCCACATCAACGCAACCTCTGGCCGGCGAAGAAACCGAATCGGTCTCTTTTTCGCAGTTTCATACCTAACTCAACGGCGCTGCAAAGGTCACGCGGGGACTGCGAGCTGTCGGCAACTGGTGACTTCTGCAATGCTCCGTCGGTGAATGCGGCACGGGCTGGAGCATTATGCGGTCGCTTGTCACGATGTTGTGTATCGTTGAGTCTCCAAATGCCGTTATTCTTCTCCGTAAGCTGCGCTCTCGTCGCATCTCCGTCGTTTAATATTGTTTTGCTCTGTTTGGTTTTGATCTTGGTTACTGCGGTGAACAGGAAGAGACCTAGCTTGCACAATGGCACGCTGAATCTTCCGCATCGCGTCAATTTGAATCCCAGAATAGCAAGTTGCCGGCGCCGTGTTGCGTTTGCCGATTGAGTCTGATTTGTTTGAAAGACGTGTTGAAATGAAAGATTTTGATCCAGTATCGTCTTTGGCATTATGAAGTGTCTTTGAATATTTATATAGAAGATGGGAATCCGCTCATTCGTCAGCCGGGATGCCTGATTTCTACTCGTGCGGCTAGTAAGTAAGTAGTACCTTACTCTTGCGACGATCTTTTGGAACTGCCTAGACACAGAGAGATGACAACGCTCTGACTGGCTGACTAGCCCTAACTAAGCATTTACGGGCCCTCGTTGCTTTTGCTCATTGATGCAAAGACTGTCATCAAACCTCTCGCTTTTGAGATAGAGTAATGCTAAGCTCATGCGGGAAAGACCCTATTCGTGGGCTTCTTACTTGGGATACCGCCGAATACAGAGATCGACTTGGCGTGCAGCTCATCTCCGGCAGGGAAGTGCGTTATGTTTCAGGCCTTTTGTTCATTTAGCTTAGTAGTAAACAGCAAGAGGATGCTCAGCTCGCCAAGGCGGTTCAATACAAAGTGCTGGGGAGATACGGAACGTCGACTTTTTGCATAAGTACATCATATTACTTGTTTTTTTCTCCTTGCCCAATACTCTTTTAAGAATCAATCAAACTCCTCTGGCAGTTTCTCGCATCATGAAGCTCCCAACTTTCGTCGTTGCCGCTTTGGCCACCTCGGTCTTCGCGGCGGACTTGGAGCCCTTTGTTAACGAGCCTGATACCGGACTGGAGGACTACCTCCGTACCACTGGGTGGGTTCCAGGACAGCAGCCCTTGCTCAAGGACATGCGAGCAGTGCTGGACTTTGACTTTGCCGCTCGTCAGACTCTCGGTCCCCAGCAGTACGCCTTCTACCGTGTTGCGGCAGCGGGAGAGTGGAGCTACCGAAACAACCTGAACGTGTGGTCAAAAGCACGCTTCCGCACCCGTCACCTGACGGACGTTTCTCAGGGTAAGTAGAACGTTCCGAGGTTTCCTTGCCTTTTCCTGATGGTATCACCCGTGGCGTGGGGTGGCGTGGAGTGCCTAAGGTTAATCAATCTATTTGTTTACTTTCTGAAAAAGAAAAAAATCCTCGCTTACGCGGAGTCCGTGTTACTAGTCAACAAGACCATGGAAACGACCTTCCTGGGCTACAAATTCAGCGCCCCGTTCTTCATTGCCCCTGCTGCTCGCGCTATTCTTGGACACGAGCGTGGGGAGCTAAACTTTGTTGATGCCTCGGCCGCTGAGAACATCCTTCACATCCCATCCATCTTCGCCTCCAAGAGCATCGAGGAGATCGGAGCACAGAAGGCCTTGTACAACGGCACCTTGAATGGCCCCCTGGTCGGCTTCCAGCAGATCTATGGCAACCGCAACCTGTCGGTCATCTGGTCGAACATTGCGCGTGCCGAGGCGCAGAACATGAAGGCTATCGTCTTCACCGTCGATGCCCCCGGGGACTCGACCCGACACCGCGCCGCACGCTACGACACGACCAACGCCAACAGCGGCGGCAATGCCCTGACCTGGGACCTCTTCGACCAGATCGTGGCCCGCACCAAGCTGCCTGTGATCATCAAGGGCATTACGACGGTCGAAGACGCGCAGCTCGCGGTGGAAAAGGGGGCTAAGGGCATCTACATCTCGAACCACGGTGGGAGGCAGCTTGAGTACTCGCCATCGCCGCTCGAGACGGCCTACGAGATCTACCGCAACGCGCCCGAGGTCTTTCAGCAGGTCGAGGTTATGGCCGACTCGGGCGTGCGCTATGGCAGCGACGTCATCAAGCTCCTCGCCCTCGGGGTGAAGATGGTCGGCTTGGGCCGCCCCTTCATGTACGCAAACACGTACGGTGTCGACGGCGTGCGCAGGCTCATGCAGATCATGAAGGCCGAAATTGTCGGGGACGCGGCCCAGGCAGGTGTGCCGGACCTGCAGAACGTCAGCTCCAAGATCCTTAACTTCAAGGAGCTCGAATCCAGCGTATTCTTGACGACGAACGGGTATTGAGTGTTGAGGGAGCTGGGTTCTGCTCCGGTCGAGTTTGGTTGGGTTGGTTCTAGTCTGGTCTGGTCTAGTCCGATCCAGTCTTTTTTATCTTCTCAAAGAGGTGTTAGCTGGTCGACACCGCCTTTAAAATGTATATCTTCACTAATCAGTCCACATCAGAGGTTTTCTCGGCCGAGAATGATCGTTCGTTCCTTGGTGGCTCGTTCACTGTACATATCAACACATACACATATACATTCTCACACAATATATCTACGCGATCGGGTAAATCAGGCTCGGACTGAAAATATACACGCCCTCTCTCGCCTTTTGTCGTGCGGGTATATAGGGTTATAAGACTGGTTACTGCAATGTGCATTGCAGGTCTGCTTTTGCACATCACCTTTGCATGAGTACCTTACTTTACTGACGTCGGACAAGAGGAGAAGGCGCTATGTATACTTGGCGCTTCCGCAGTTGCGATTCCCATTCCATTCCATTCCATTTACTGACTTGATGACAAAACGTACCGCGTAGAAAGAAGACCCGGCGAAGAGATCGGAAACACTCTTTCTGTATCCACATTCATTCAGTTCCATATGTAAAAAAGGTACAAAAGCTATATATGTATTATCAAAATTATAATATATATCTCGAATCGTCGGTTTGTAGCAAGTCGGTCAATTCTTTCGAATTAAATTTAAGGAAACCGACGATTATATGGAGGTTTTAGGGGGGATTTAGTGAGTGAATCTCACTGAGAGGAAAACCACTCCGTATAACTCATACACGACCCAGGCCTTACGCCGTAGTGGTTGGAATGTGGCGGGTATTCGTATCGCGTATTTATATATATCCAGCTGACATGGAATTGCATATAACCTGCTCTTGAAGAGGCTTGAGGTATTGATTTATCATTACACATTCTTACATCGTTCATAATAATCCCTTGTTCTAGAGCGAGCAAGCAAGTGAAGCAACGGTCTACCCTCCAACGCAGAGATCACAGACACCCACCACCCCTTCTTGCCCCAAACCGTCCAACTCCAGAAAGATGCAACATCCAAGTCTTAACCTCTCGAAAGACCAGAAACCCTATCCTCGCCATCCTCATACAGACCCCATCTCGATATCGCTGTCCTCGCCTAATCTGACGCCTTCGTGGCCACTATCCTGACTCTCTCCACCCTCGCCTCCAGATGTCTCGACGACCTGCTCGACACTACCGCCCGGAAAGTCCGGACCGACAAAGTGTTCATCCCGCAGAAGCTCGCCGTTGAGTATGCGTCCGAGATGGCTATCCACGAAGCCCTGACCCTTCCTACGCATCGCGAAAAGCAGTCTCAGGAACGGGACCGGGCTCCGCTGGAAGCGGCAGTAGCGAGCCATCTTGGTGTCCAGGTTGACGCGGTCCTCGTGGTGCACGAATCTAGCACGCGGCGTTAGCTTCGTCTATATGATACGCGGCTCATGTGTCTCGAAGAACTTACCCATCAACGGCAACTCTCACCAGATCATCCGGCGTTCTGTAGCACAGGCCTAAGAACCAGCAGAGCGCTAGATACTCCTCCTTGTTTTTCAAGTACAGTTGTCCGGCGAACAGGCCGATCTGGATCCCAATAGGAGGGGCGACCCAGTCGGCGGGCAGGGGCGGAATCGCGCAGAAAGCCAGATCTTCGAGCGTGTTGTTCGCCAAGCTCAATCGAGGAGTGTAGACGTGCAAGGTGACGAGGTTCTTCTCGCGGATGATGGGAAGGAGGGCGTTGGCTTCCTGCGGGCTGATGATGAGAACTGTGATGAAGGATTTGGAGCGCTTGAGCGTGAGTAGCCAGTGAACCGGTCGGAGGTACTGGTCCATCTGGTCTCCGTTCTTTAGCACCACCGTCTCGCCAAAGTCTGTCGATACAAGCAGGTCTTGAGGCCCTGTTTTCACATTAGCTATATTGTTAGGATTCTATGACTTTGGCTGACTTACACGCAGGAACTTCCAAGGCAGCTCCAGCGCTTGTGTTCATCAAAGTCATGAATGCTGGTTTGAAAGCTGGCGAAAAGCGATTGATCTCGCCATTGGTTACGAACCTCACAACGTCCGGGTGGGTATGATGAGGCCGTGCAGGCAGCGGAGATGGACGCTCGATCTCCTGTTCCCTCTCGTTCTCGGGCTGTAGTTCCCGCTCCTGCTCCTCGTGCAGAGACGAATCCTGGAAGGACGTGAGTCCGAAGTCTCGGCACTTCTCTCTGATCTCGTCAATCATCTTGGTAAAGGAAGCAAACTGGCTCCGACCGGAATTCCCAAACACGACCTCTCGCTCTTTGGATTGCTTGATTCCGATGCCATAGCGTTGCTCCAAGCTCTGGGCTTCGGGCTCGAGTATGGACCGGGGAATGCTCGGAAGGCCAGACTCGGTATCGCACGCTGCTCTGCGACGATAGTGACGGATTCCCTGCGTAGCCCACAGTGGTACGGATCTCTTTGTTGACTGCCAGGTATTCGTGATGCACCACGCAAGAACATCAGCAACATCAATATCGTCCCCAACTGACTTGCCATTACAATGGAGGATCTTCAGACGGATCTCTAGCGAGGGGGCGAAACAAACCGATTGTCCTTTTCCCAGTTTGCGCAATCGCATACAGGCTGTCAGGGTTAGAAACATTCGGTCGTGAAACGGGACAAGGGGGTTAATTAGACTAGGAACTTACCTTGGGCCAGCCGGTCCTTGGTCAGATCCGGACCCAGAGTTACGATCGCGCGGTAATCCGATGGCATCTTCAGGTCTGTTCCCCGCGTATGCGATTCGTCTAAGAATATCAGGCAGCGATCCATCAGGTTTGCGTAGGGCGATACATGGAGCTGCTCTATAAGACCGCTGCGGCTGGAAACACAGATTTCGTTGTCATCATTTACGAAAATGGCAGCCTCTGCAACAGTGCGATCCACCTGTAGGAAATGGGGTGTCAGTGACTAGTTTCCGAAGGGTTTAAGAATAGGATAGTAAATGTTCCCCGGGGTTCGGGGACAGTAAAGAAAGGAGGTTGAGAGACACCCTCGTTGCCTACCATAGATAGCCATTTCTGCGCGACCTCCACGTTTCTCAGTTCCAAGACTTGCGCGCCGACATCAAGAAGAACCCGAACCGCCGGAACACAATTGACTGCCATTCTAAGCAGCGCATCTGCATCAAGGACTTCCACGCCTTTGGTAAAAGCAGAATCCACGGTGTTCTCGGACCGTAAGAGGCAATCGAGAACTTCCGCGTTGGTCTTCAGCTGCTGGGGTAGATCTGACTGCTTAATGGCGACAGGAAGCACGTACTTGCTGTCGTTTGTCCCGCTGAACCCAGTCATGGGATGCTGCTTTTCTCTTGCAAGTTCCCAGCCAGACGAGGATAACTTGTGAGTAAATTCCATCATCTCTTTAGGAAACACAAGATGCGACGTGTGAAAGTCAATCAGGGCTTTCGACAGTCGCAATAGCGGAAATAGCACTCGCGAACATTGAATTTTGTTGCTCAGGTTGACGCCACTGATTTGTCTGAAGCCCTTCGGAAGATTAGGAATTGAGCGGACCCATTGCTGATAGGCTTCTTGGGGGTGGTCTGATTGCAACAATTCATCAAACGAAGCGTATATCTGCTTCTCGTTCAAGCCGCCGTAGTAGTATGATAGGCAGGTCAGCACTATTGCCGTATCCGGGTGTGAGAACTCGGCTCTAGCTGATGGTGAATCTTTGGCTTGATAGGGAACTGCTAATCGCGTGCGGACCAAATGTAGGCCATAGTTTACCCTCCAACGCTTTTGCGCAAAAGCAAATGCTAGAATCCCACCGGCGAACAGCCCCCGAAGCAGCAGCAGCCCAGACTTCATCGATTCTACACTGAGTGCACATTCTTGAAGTGGCTTCGTCTCTGACTCGGTCATCGATGAATCTGTGAGGAATCTGAACAGAGTGCTTCGAGCTTGCCGAGGCAAGTTCCAAATAGCAAGACCGGGCAGGCCCTGATCACAGATCTCCCGAGCAACAGCGGATAGAAGTGCGACGCCTGCCTCTTCTTGAAGAATTCTGATTCTCGGGAAGCCATCAGAGGATTTGACAGACAAGACCTCCAGGCCGTGGGGGAAAACACCAGCATGAGCCAGATGAATAGCCGTCTTGGCGAATATGCCGAGAACATGCTGGACTATCTGCCAGCGGTGAGGCGAGTATTCGGTCGGTCGTTGGGAGCCCATGGTGTATATCTAGATCATGTCAGCAATCATCGTGCACGAGGGACCGGAGAAACGTACCAGCTCAAATCTTACTGACAAAAGCTCGTCGGATTCGTCAAGAATGTCACGAGAAACCTCGAGCAGCCATTCTGAACGATATCAGTAAAAGTGGCAGATAGCTTGGTGGCTAGAATAGCCTGTCAAACACGGAAGTAACTTACTCTGTGTCTTGATCATAGCGAAGCCCACAGGATTTCCTTCAACAAATCTTACTCCGGAGCCCGTAGTTTCAATAGTTCCGACATCTGAAAGGGCATGGTCGAGTCCTAATAACTCAAAAGACAAAATATGTTCGGGTTGAGCAAGAAGGACGCCACCATCGTTCAAACACTCCTCGTAAATTTTACGAATTTGAGTAGCTTTTTCTTCGTTCAGTTTCAAAGACCGAGATATCGGCAAGTAGTAGACGCGCCTATTGATCATCCCTCCAAGCTTATTCTGCAGAAGCTGCCGCATCTGAGTCGCGAGCGATTTCAGAACTACGACTCGTGACAATTTGTTTCCGTCAGCGAGAGTAGCAGCGACTATAGGGACGATGACAGAGCTTTTGCCAAGTCCCATATTAAGCTGCATGATCGAATTGGATCCCGACGATGGTGAAATCATCTCCGTGGCAATTTGAGCTTGCTCTGGGCGAATCAAGATGTTGTTCTCCAGTTCCAGAAGTAGCCAGTCCGGATGGTCTAAAGGATTCCATCCGACGTGACCATGGTTGCTCAACTCTGCAGCGAGCTCTACCTTATTGTGAGAACAGGCTTTCAGGCGTTGAGCGTGCTGTAAAACAGTCATCGCAAGACCGAATTGCGTGATGACCAGCTTCCACGAGAGTGGTAGAGAAAAAAGGGAAAGCTTTCCGCGTCCCAATTGTGACAGGATGATGCTTGGTGAAAGCCGAGGCGAAAATTGTGCTACATTGCATAGTTCGTGGCCTGGGGTCGAAGGGGATCGAAGGTGAGAGCAGATATCCTCTATACATCGGGCAAGTTAGCCATCGCCATCATGAGAATATTTCGTGAAGAAGGTCAGACATTTCAACAAAATCATGGATAGAAAACATCGATGGTGCCACCCGATTTACGTACGGTATAGTCTAGCCGCTCTTTGGGAAGCCTGTTCCAGGTTAATGTTTAGTAAACTGTCGACATTCTCAACTGCAGGACTCGGCTTGGCAGAGTTCAGTGTATACGCTTCATAACTGCGCTTCAAGTCATCCCTAGGAAATAGGCAAGTCAGCAATCTCTAAATTACAAGGATAAGGTAAAATGTTTCCAGAAGACGTTGACACATTGAGTAAAATGAAGCATGGGCTTACAGGTAGAGTTTCTCATAAGTGCCCGTAACTTTTCCAGATAGAAATGCTAACAGACTCGTCAATTTTCCTTCATGCTGGACGGTAAACACAGCTGGACCCTCGGAATCAGAAATCTAGAAGAATCGGAGTCAGTAACTATTGCCTTAAATCAGGTTCATCCAGATTTACGAGAGAATCAGAGGAAGAAATTATGGGGCCCGGAGCACATACCGCTTCGTCTTGCTTTTGTGCAAGTAAGCTCTGTAACCATGGAGCATTGTCATTGTTCTCGATTGCCTTTGGTGCAGCATTCTTGAGAAGGTCCACGAAGCTCAAATAGCCAGGAATGCCACAGCTACTGACACTTGCGGGCACTCTGAAGGAGTAAGCAGGCGGATCACCCACTTCAATTGCACCACGTTGGAGAACTGCCTGTATCTCTTTCATGAGATTCTCGAACCGAGAATTTCGGTGCCATTCCCTGAACAAGGATTCAATCTCTTCCACAGCGCTCTGGGAGTTGACATAATTGCTGAAATTTTGCATCTGGTCTGCTGGGAATTTATATTTTCGGGGCCTAGCCGGCCATTGTTCAATAAGAGACAGGGTAACAGCGCGGAATTTTGCGTCAGCAGCTGAGTGGAAAGCCTGCCGTCGGCGATTCGATGAAGCATTGGCACTTTCTCCTGGCTGTCGGGCACTCTTGAACTCTATCGATTGCTCGAAGCTGGCCGAGTGGCGTTTGAATATATCCATCACACGTTCAAACACAGGGCTGTAACCAGCAGCGAGGTCAAAATACTCGTAGGGCAGCAACTGCACTGCTCGGAGCTCTGCCCTTGTCGCGAAGGCCAACAGTGCCTCAACAATATCCAAATCAGCGTGTGGTGAGAAACTCAGACTTGACAAGAAGATCATCACCGAATACTTGTCCTTGTATGGATCGCAGTTGGATAAGGCTTTTCGGAAAGCCCAAAAAAAGTCAGGGAATATATCATCGGGCTTCTGGAGCCAGCGAGAATCAAATCCGAGACGAATGAGAGCATCATGACTAGCTGCTGACATAGGAGCGCCCCATGACTCGAATTTTTGGAGTAGTCCTTGACAGACTCTCGAATTCGGGGACCATGTATCGACTAGTTCTGCAACAGAACAAGCTTTAATCTCGCGACGCTGGTCATAGATCCGGTCCCTTGAATTGTACACACGGTCTTGCGCTGTTGTGAAGCTCTCCGCACCGTATCCATCTCCTCGAATACTGCTGAGTCGGATGCTTGTTCTGCTGTATAATTCAATATGTTTACGTTTGCGGAATTCAGGGGCCTCCACGCGTGACTCTTGAAATGGATGAAGGGATGCAGCTTTCTGTAGCATAGCCTCGATAATCTGGAAAAACTTCTCGTCTTGCTGAAGTGTCGGTAGCTTCATCCAATGAACAGTCTCCATGGTCTTCAGATGCTTTGGGTAATATTCCCGACTGGGCGACAAAGAGGCTATTTTCTCGAGGAGTTCAACATCTTCCTGGTTGAAAGTGTCAAGCGACTGGGTGGATGCTTGAGAAAGTGTTTGAAGGGCTTCTTCTGTTCCAGTCTTAGATGTAAGATCATCGGGTAAACAGTAAGAAGTAACTGCATGCAAGTACACTCGGAAAAGGCGACTTCGAAGACTGCCGTTGTCGATCAGGCGTCCGAGTAGGTTATCGATCTGAAAATAATGGTAAGGAACATGCTCCGTCGTGCCTCTCTCAATCCGGACCTCAGTATGCTCATTATTTGGCTGCTCTATAAAACGGCCTTCTGGAATAATGACAGCTCGTGATGATCCTACAAGTTCTCGGAGGACCAGTTTGCTCACAAGACCGTTTAAGCATCCGAAAGATTGGTTGGCGTCGATTACCATCCCGCGGAATTGCTTGGATTCGATAAGAGAGCTACCAGTCGCGATGAAAAAGTCTAGGTTCATACGCGGAAGGGAGATCTCGAGTCGATTCTCTACCGAGTCGAAGGTAATGTGAATATTTTTGGCGTTTTCGATTGGCCTCAAAATTCGATGGATGACTTTAGCTGGATGCTTTGTAATACCCACAAGCTTGCGATTTTCTTGGACAAGACAGCATTCGCCAGTTTCATATGAGAAAGTCCTCCAATTATTTGGTGAAGTAGTCCAGGGCTGATCAGAAGGTCGCCACTCAATATAGCCAAGTCGATAATCAAACCAATGAGTGTAGTCAGTGACGAAGCTTTTGGGAAAGTCGCCTTCAAAAGCTCGAAGGGGAAACAACTCATACTCATTTCCATCCTTCAGCGCCTTGATAATGAGATCTTCATCACTTAGGTGGAAATGAACCTGATATCCATGGATCTCCTTTCGCGATTCGAAAGTCATACCGGCAATTTGAGACGGAACAACCTCTAGGACTCTTCTACCGAACAGCCGACGATAAGACTCATGAGACTCATAAGGCAAGGGAAGGCGGGACAATGGATAGCCATTGACAAGGAAGCTACCGCTCAAGATGTTGAGGTGGATTTTTAGAACGGAATTACCGTCTCTTGAAGGGACTTCTGTTTGTACATAACCCTCGTTTGGACGAGGCCTAATCTTTTGAGTCAGCCACTTGTCTCAATATATGATGAAGAATAATCATTAGGGTAGAAATCAAAATACATGTGATGAACTCACAATCCAATCCACCAGCCAACCGGCTTGTATGCGGTCCAGAGACGACCAATGGCAAGATCAATACCTCGCGGGTCGGTAATAATCAGCTGTCGTAATGATGACTCGAATCGATGAGAAACTCTTTTAAAATGTTCCAATCCCGAGCGAATGACCGAATCTAGTTCTTCATTACCCGCTGGCGTTCTGTCACGAATGGTTATAGCGCATTCGACAAAAATAGAGACATTCTCTGGCGAAGAGAGCACAAAGGGAATGTAGCGCAGATCAGTGTCAAAAGTTCCGTGGCAAGTCAAGGCCATATCGAGAACACGGATGGCCAGTCTGCTGAGCTCTTCATCTTCCTCACTTGTATGCAGGAGGTCAATAACATCATGCATCCAACGGAGCGCAACACTTCTAGTTCTATCCAAATATGCAAGACATTGACGTTGGACAGCGTCATGTGGAGATAGGGATAGCAGTCGAATTGCCAAAGCCGTGTACGTACGCACAGCAGATGCACCCTGCCAATTCGCCTCTACGCTTGACAGTCCGTCGTTGAGACAAGTTACAAGGGTCAATCCGAAATGCTCTTCCTCGAGGTCCAGATGCGAGTCTCTTGCAGTTTTGTCATTCCCAGGACCTGCCTCATATGCTGATTGGAGCAATAAGATATGAGTTTCAACATGCTGGAAATTCAAGACCTGTGATGCAAGTTCTCGAGCAATATTCCGCCACTGAAGTCTATGACCCGCGCGCAATGTACAGAAAGCATAGAACTCGTGTAAAGTTATGGCATCTGGACAGGCGTCTTGTTGCGCCAGAACTTGGTTCGATGTATGTGTTGTTCCCTTCACGGCGTATTGCAGGGTCTCATAAGAACCTTGTGGGAGTTTGAACGTGCAACGTCCCCCAAGGCAGTGGTTGCCGAGTATTTTGCTTGTCCATAGGAAGGTTTCCGAATCATACATAACACACTTCAAGCCGTTGGAAACGCACACCGACTGTTCCGAGGTAGCGCTGATTTTTTGGCTCTTGTAGTGGGATCTGGAGATATCCTTGATCGAGGAAGCTAACCTAGAAGATCAGAAAGTCAGTATTTTTTCATTTTTGATACTCTCGGGAATAGCCTTAGGAGAGAACGAGCCGTGAGACACCCAGGAGGAAAGGAGTGGCTTCTGCTTGATCAACCTACTGAAGTCTTCCAGTCGGACATCTAATCCATTTTTTGATGCCACTGAAGCTATGCCATGTATACTAATAATGAGGGAGTCAGTAGTTGATAGAAGTGATTGTGAAACACTGAGTACTAGTCCACGGAGAACTGTTGGCCTTGAAGCACGCACCTTATCAAGAGGTTGGCTTGGTGTTTTCAAATCCCAGACAAAGAGGTCGACTAGAATTTCATAGGTTGACTCTCTCCAAATTCTGATAAATTCAGGCACATTGAGTTCAAATACAGCAGCCTTTGCCTCGACGTCCTTGGCAGGAAGTGGCCACTCGTGAACATCTATTGATATGCCCACAGCTGCGGATTTCAGCAGGCACTTCTGGCAGCTCGGGTCGTGCTGAGAGACTTCTTTTCTTTTCGATTTCTTTCCTGTCATTACCATTCTCTGCGAGCACGACATCGAGTCTGGGAACGATGTTAGCAGATGATGTTTCAAATGTGTAGATTTTCAAAAATTTGTCCTAGCGAAGACATTGAAAAAAGTTGCGCAGATTATACGTACTCGATTGTGCCAGCTTCTGATTGTACTCAGACTTCTTTGTAGAAAATTCCTTGATCTTCTTTTCCCGGTCTGATGCTGCGGAATTTTCGATTTCGATTTTGATATCCTGGAGCTCAGGAGACTGTTCGAAGTACTTAACGGCGAAGCTATCAGGCGTATTACCTTCAAGAAACAGAAGAGGAAAGCGAGGCTCCGAATTCGCTCGTCTCTGTTCGATGTATTCCTCAATTCTGAATAATCGATCCATGTCTTGCTTTTTGGGAAGAAGTAGTCTATCAAAGAGGGATGGCGGGAACCCCGGTTGGTACTTCTTTAGCAGGGGCTCTCGAGCGGTCGTAAATTTGTCTAAAGCAACCCACAAATCCATCAAAGTTAAGACCATGACAGAGTAGTTGGTGGGATTACCGCGGTATTCTCTATGGGCGGCCTTGAAATAGATCGACATCGCGCGAGCGAGGTTTGTGCACGAAAGGACCGATGGATCCCGGAGAAGATTAAGTGCTAGCCACAGCTGCAAATGGTCTCGCACCCAAGCTTCGAGATCGTGCATGTGTAACTGATAATTTTCAGTAGTTAGTTTCTTCAAGATGTCAATTGATGGAAAAGACGAGGCCTCCTGCAGTATTCTGTCCTCGCAGATATGTATCGCAGGACCAGTGTCGCTAACAGAAAGTGGCTGCCGACTTGTGATTTCGATGATATACTCTCGGATTCTGGGAATGTCAAGATGGGTGTGGGCGTCTGCATGCTGGATGCCAGAATTTTCGTTAAATCCTGTCGGGTCTGGATTTGCTTGAATCAGAGACCACTTCTTGTTTAATTCTACCTGTGCCGCAGAGATGCTATCTCGAACGAAGTAGATCCACTGCCGAAGAATGGGAGGTCAGCAAATACCGTTCCTGGAAGTCTCAGGAGAAATCTTGGAGGTAAAACTGTCTCAGGACTTGCCAAATAAAGGTATTGGCTATTGACCGGCTACTCACTGGCATATCATTGGCGGCGTTTCCAAGCTTCAGCATTCGTCGACTGATTTTCGCCGACATGATAAAAAGCATCTCTCCTGGCAGGCATTGGGCTACAGCATCATTCAAGAGCTTTGCCATTAGTAGAACCATGAAAAACTTGTACTGAGTGTGCACAATTTTATCCGCCTTCTTTTCCATCAATGATGTCTGAAGAGCAACTCGTAGCAGTAGCCAACGGGGGCATCTCCGCCATGGGGCGAGAGTTCTGTCCCACAGCACATCGTCTCTTGTGGCCTTCCATATACGAACAGCGTCCGACGGCTCTCCAATAGCTCGTAGAATTCCCGTAATCATTTCTGTGACGCTGTATGACGAGAGGAGTCAGTAATCGACTGAGCAGCAAAGTCGTAAATCTGGGAAGGAGAAGAAGAATTTCTCATCACGTACTATTTTGGATGTGTAGTTTGACGTATTTCCACATGATCGGCTCTGGGTAACACAAGGGTCAGTATGAGCGTTTTCGTGGGGGAACAGGACTTACTTGGCTTTATGTGTTTTCGGAGCAACGTCTTGGAGAACCTCGACACTCAGTTGCGTCACAAGTTGGGCAAAGGCTTCTCTGAAATTGACATCAGCTACTCGATCATCAGAGATGGCAATTGCTGGTCCAGGAAAAGAGCGCAGTAGTCTGCCCTGGGTATTTATGACCACATCAGTGGTGGGAGATAGTTCAAATGACTCAAAAACATAGCTATCTTGTGTTCTGCGAACAATGATACCGGCATTTTGGGATCGAACGTGGAGGACGTGGATACCTAGTGAATTTAGCATCAGAGAGATTCCCCAGCATCTGAGATAGGGTAAAAATAATATGGGTTAGAATGTCGTTTTGGGGGAAGGGGGGTGAAGCTATCGCCATGGGAGGGAAAATGAAGGTGGCGGCGGGAACGTACCCCCAACAAGCATTGAGCCTAGAGCATCTGCCAGCTCCGACTCAGAGAAGAAGCCGTCCTCGTTCTCCGATAACAGCAAATTGAAAGAGTCGATCAAGATTGGCCATCTCGCATCGTTATGATCGCATGCGACAGCTCCACGCAAGGTCGTGACCACCAGCTCAGTCAGCCTGGCCCAGAAGTCAGCACACGATAATCTCTCCCGACATGTCTTGGGAAAGGTGGAATCCAGAGACGATGCTCATGTCTTACAATCTATCTCCCTCGGCGCTCCAATCGTCAGACTGGGGCAATTTTGGTGGCAGGAACACGTGCGCGATGAGGAAATTGAGATCTGCCATTGCGCCTCATCAGGCACCGCAAAGGGCGCGTCGGACTTTCTGTGGCTTTTGCTCTTCAGTTGGGTGGGGTTGGGGGTGTGGCGCGTTGTGGAGAGTTCGTTGTGGACGTGAAGATTTGAAAAGATTCAGGGTTGTTGAATTTCAACTCTTTAGGAAGGTACATCACGTGACATTGCACTAAAAGCCTAGCGTACTTCGACCAACGAAGACCGCCTGCCGGAGGGAATAAAGCTGCATTGGAAATTCATCAATACGAAAAGCCCGCAGCCAGGAGATTCGAGCGCCAGGAGCTTGAAACAATGTTCGAAAGGAAGCATGTGAACTGGGAGAAGTAATTAACTGCAGTTTTGTCAAGGATTCTTCCAGAGCGGCCCACGTGACCAGCCTTTCCTTTACCGAGATCTAAACAGGACTTTTAGCATCAGGCTTCGCGATCTCGAAAAAATATATTCTTATCTGTCAAAGTGTTCATTGATGTGAATAATGATTTGAATTTGGTCCTAACCCGTACCATCTCATGGTTTTGGGGTGTTTTTCTCGAGGACGTGTTCTCATTTAAGGCTTGCACTGTACTGCTCTCTCGTTTGCTTTGATGCTTTCTGGTAGATGACAATACACGTTCTGTTCTATACTCCCCCCTTTTCCTGACCAGTGTCTTCCACAGTCAGAATAATGAGTTCTTGCATCCAGACTGGTATATCTATCAGGAGGGGTATACTTGGAGCTTCAAATACCCCATAAGCATCATTGAGCTACTTTACTTCAAACCTTTCTGCATTTACTCATCCAATGATCGGCATCCGCAGTGAGCTTTAATATTGCCCATAGTCTCAGGTCTGCAATTTTTTGCACAGCTGGAGCTATAGTAAGTGATCATAAAGCACTGTGGAATATCAACTATGATGCGGGCGAGGCATCCCAAGAATTAGTATGAAATATCCAATATATAAGAACGCGGAGATGTCGAATGTGCAGGGCAATTAAATCAATAGCCACACTATATCAAATTCTGGTTCATTCGAGCACCAAAATACGGCTTTCAACCATACCTAAGCAACGGACATTCATTCTGTTAGACTTTTCGAGCGCGATCTCAAAGATCAAAGAGCAGAGTCCTCGCGCTCATGTGAATTTCCCGGCCCCTCGCTCACTGAGCACTGGCGCTGCAGGATTTCGGAAACATCATGTCAGACAACTGGTAGCTTTTATTCCGACTGAATATATATATATATATATACAAGCCCTTCGAACTCCTCGCCAATCATGACTCATTGTTTTTGGACTATAGATTGATAGTTCGTTCCATTGTATCCATCCTAGACCTTTCACACTCTTAACTTCCTAATCAACCCCCCCCTCGGGGCACGATCAGCCGACCCATCAAGGTTTGATAGAGAACGACCACGAGCTCTCAATACCCCAGAAAGTACTCCCTTGCCATCCGGGGGAGTAATCAGCAGCGCTGCCGTCGTATTGCTTAGAGTACAGTCCGCAGTACGTGCCCAAGGGACGGCCATTCTTCTTGAGCATGTAGCTGTTGAAGAACTTGCACTTTTGCGGGTTGTATTTACCGCTGGTCCAAAACGAGGCCAGCTTCTGCCCGAAAGAGGACTTTGCATGCCGGGCGTTCTGGGCATCGGCGTAGGCGGCACAGAGCGCTGGATTGTAGGCGCCGGGGAAGAAGTGTGTGCCGATGCACGCGCCCGGGTGGTTGTGAACCTTGGAGCCATCTCCGCCGCATTTTTTGGGTTGGTGCCATCCGGGGGGAGTGGCGGGGATGGTGGTGTTGGTCTTCTCGAAACCATCACTGCCAGCAATGGCGATCTGGAAATTTCGACGGTAGCCCCCATAGTTGGTAGCAGACTCGGCGCTGACACCGGATCCCCAGAGGGTGCACTTGTAGTTGGTGATGGACGCTGGCTGAGTGCAGTTCTCTGCAGGCTTTTGGGATGGGTCGCGCTCAACGTAGATGTTGAAACCAGTACACAAGTCCTTCTTGTTGCAGTACTCGGCGCAAAGAGGGGCGTCATAGGAGGTGAAAGTTGTCAGACCAAGGTAAGTTTTGGCGGAAAAGGATGCATTCAAGTTCTTGAAAGTAGAGGTGTAGCCAGGGGCTGCAGCAGCCAGAGCTTGTTGCGAGAACTCAGGGTAGGCTCGGAAAGCCGCAACAGTGTCTGGCTCGACATGTGGGCCGTATCCGTCTGGCTGAGGTGCACATGCATCGTTGGGGTTGATACTTGATGTCCGGGAAGTCAGTATCTAAATCCGGGTAGTAACTAGGCGACGATCTCGAGGGTGGATGAAAAGGAAATGATATGGATTCTCAATATCTTACAAGCCGCAGTAAGTACCAGCTTCTGGCTGTGTTGGACAAGAGGTATCCGAAGAAGTAGTGCTGGTCCCAGATGACCGGCGATAAGTCGTAGCGGTAGGCTGGGGTGTAGTCGTAGGCACTTCAACGGAGGAAGAAGAAGCGGTGTTGTGGGGGTAACTCTGCTTGTTTGCACCCCAGGGAGAACTGGTGAAAGTAGGCGAAAGAGCAGAGTTCTTCATCAGGATTAGCCTTGCATTTTATAATATATTGTGACTGGGAATATTGTTTTGAGAACCGAAGTAACATCAAGATTGAATTAGAAGTGATACGGATTTACACATACGACCAAGGAAAAGTCGATAGCTTGGGCAGCAGGAGAGGCAGCTGCAACTGCAACGAAGCCTGCAATTATGAATATTTGATACATTTTGGAATAGGTCTGGAATAGAAGATTAGAGCATATGGTCCGAACAGGGGATTCAAAACAAAAGAAAATTGGAGGGAGGGTAGACACTACATGTATTCATTGCTTAGAGCCATAGGGACTTAAGCTACAGGAAGAATGAGATCAATGGTCTATCTTTGCCGCGTTGGTTTACAGTCCAAAGCTCATGCTCAGATTTCTAGCGTTCAATGTTCCGGGCGCGTCTACATCGAGCCCCGAGCACAGACTCCTAGTCCTCTTAGCAGCCGAAAACAAAGTAAATAATAGCCGGGACTAAATACCAGACCGAATGTTCCCGACCCTTAGAGTCTAGTCTTACATGTGCTAGCCCAATACGGGAAAAGCACTGATACTAATATCGGTAGAGGTGGATGAGGCTCACTTGTAATGAGACCGGTGGGCGTCTAAGGTCAAATAGCGACATGAAGTAGGTTGGATAAGGTCTGGACTGGGTGCGAAGTTGCTTAATGTGATTCGATACTACCTACAGATGATGTAGCATGGAGTCATTACCGTAGTGGTGAAAGCACGGAGTACAGTACATCCGATATCCGCGATCAAGCTTTGATCCTCATCAACATCCAGCACCTTTTCAAACTGTCTCTCTCTCTCTATGTGTGATGTGAAATCTCCAAATATCTGCCCTCGGCTTGTCCGGTACAACTTTTCGTCCCGACTCCTGAGTAGCTCCGGTCCGAAATCGACTCTCCCCACGATCGATTGTTGACCACCAGCGGAAACCAGTCAGTGACTCGTACTAGGTGCCTACATCTCTCAAATACACCTGCAAGCCTATCCGTATCTATAATCTTCCCCGTTCACGTGTCAATATCGAGCGAGGAACTTTCAGGGTGTCAAATGCCCAAGGGGCCGACTTGCTGTTAAAGTGATAAGTAGTGATATTGATATTCCTAGCGCATAAGGAATACACGAATACTAACTCGGTACACAACCATCCTGCTGGTATATATCCCATAGGTGTGTGAATATACTCTGGTATCCGTGGTTGTTAAAGTCTAACGTAAAGAAGGAAGCTACCTATTCTAAGTGTACGGAAGTGTGGTTAGAGTACCTACGTGTAGTGGTAGTGCCAAGGTGGTTTAATGCACGAACCGCCTTGCAGACCCCAACCAATATCCAGCAAATAAAGAAGTAAGGCTCAAATTATATGCAATAATTATAATCGTATTTCCCTTCTAGCTTCATTTCCCTCAACCAGCTTTTCGAAATATCAAGGCTCATTGAAGAGGAAGTCTCCTGTCAAGCCGTCGAATTGATAGGCGAAGACGAATATCCCAAATAGTTCAAAGATGATAAGAAACGATTTTCATAATAGAATACAGATGAGCTTTAATCTTTCCAAAAACAAAATTTAACTTTGTTTATATTATAAGGTCTGTATTTTTCTAAATACATAGAAAAACCATCTAGTCTTATAGAAAATTTCTGTGAATCACCTGATATCAAGAAATACAATATGTATATATATATATATATTTATCGCGGTTTTAAATTTCTCACTTTGGTACCGTGGGCAACCTCAGAATCACATCCTGCTACAATGCTTCGATAGAGCCTTGGTAAGCTCTTACCGACCTCCATTCATACCCTCTATACTCGTCACCCGACTCACTCTACGGTTTCGTCTGCTTTGGCGCCCAACGACCTGCGTCTCTCTATCATCGGGAGGGGGATTTTGTCTAGCCTCTGCCCCCCTTTTCTCTTCTTTCCCTCGCTGCTCGAAGGCATCGGAGTCTGTCTTATCCTCGCGCTCTATCTTGGAGCACAACCAAGGCGAACGACCCGACCGTTTTCGCGCCCAACGACCTCCGTCTGTCTATCGTCGCCGGTGGAATTCGGTCTATCCTCTGCTCGTTCTTCCTCTCCTTTTCTCACTGCTTGGACGCGTCGGATTCTGTCTTGTCCTCGCGCTTTATCTCGGAGCATAACCAAGGCGGACGGCCCGGATGCTTTTGCGTCCGTCGGAAGACATCCGTCCATTCATCGCTGGAAGAGGAATTCTGCCGAGCCTCTGCCCGTTCTTTCCCTTTTCTCCCTCGCTGCCCGGAGACATCGGATTCAATCTTATCCTCGCGCCTTGCCCCGGAGCACAGCCATTGCGGACGACCCGGAAGATAGGATGTACGGGCCATTCGTTCGTCCAGCTCCTTTCCGCTCGGGTCAGGGGTAAAATATTGGTGGCTTCTCCGGTACATGGATTTCCAATAGATTGTCGTGCGAGCGAGATCCTCTAAATTGTCTTTCGTCGTGAAGTGCGTGATTCCCTCGTGGGTGCGACGAGGGCAGCTTGAGTTGAGCCTGAGGCCTTCGTATGACTGATGATATTTTCGAGGATCCAAGCCCCCCTGGGGAATCGTGTAATGAAGTATATGTCTTAGATCCTCGAGTTGCGCCTCCCTGGTGTACGGGCGCGGTTCAGGGTCCAAGCATTCTGCACATCGATCCGGAACTTCAAATCGCCGAGGAAGAGACAGCCCTAAGGTTCTGGAGTTCAAGACACGGTATGCGTCGTTGTTTCCATCGACAGGTTGGTTATAGTAAATGGAAGGTATGCCCCAGATATCGGTACAGTCTTGGCTGTACAAACTCGTGAAGGAGGATTGCCATGACATCCTGTTCGAAAGTTGGGAAGATGCTATGAGTGGGAGATTGAGAGATTGAGAGAGGGATGGGTCTGATGAGATGATTTTGTGAGCTTGCTGAGTTGTCAGATTGGTGTGAGGTGTAGTTTTCGGTGAAGAAGATCCCGGATGGCGAGCCTTCGGCTTAATAGGATTATGGACCACAAGTGCCCTGATGCTGTCAGGCGCATTGGAGACTAGTGCCAACTGAGCCCAATATAGACTGGTTGGTCTCTGTCCAAAGGGTAATTACCTCAACTAACCTTATCGCCATGCATAGAGACATTAAGGTATAGCTGGTTTGCTACCATCCTACATGATGGGAAGAAATGCAAAGCGTACCGATTGAATTATTTACAATTTCCAGGGATAAGCGAGGATGGCTCCAGAGTCTCTTCGATACAACTACAAGCCGGAACGAAGGTAGATGGATTAATTAGGTCAAGAAGATAGGAGCCACATCTTCTGGATATCTGTAGAATTGATGACGCCATATCAGACCACTCGATTGCCTAGGGACATATCGGCCCGCTAGGACTCTGCGAGACTACTTTCAAGTGACGATATTTTCAACCCCACCCCACTTGGACTTGTGAAATTCAAGGCTTTTGAGGATTTAGAACGGAGTAGGAAGATAGCATATATTTGAATAAAAAAGCAAAATAGTAAATATCAGAGTAGGCGGACAAGACAGTATCAACACAAGATAAAGCTTTAAAATGATCGAGGTGCAGCACCAGATCCGGTTTCAAATTTGGCCACTGGGGCTGTAGTATACAAGATTTGATCATTTAATCTATGGTATCATAATATAGGAGCATCGTGCTCGCGGGCACTTATGGACATGCTATCTACACTGTCGCCGTCCCCCCTTAGCAAACCTCTCTCTTCCTCTTCACCGCTCTCTCTCGTCAAGCCCATACTCTCAGGCATTCCGTCAGCCCCCATTGTCCTCCTGGTTTCTTCAGCGCCATTCAGAACGTACCATACATCCTTCTTCGTCAACAAGCCCTGTAGAACGCCTCGACCACTGAACAGGACATATCTCAAACCCAGCTTCTGAAAGTAACTTGCTGTAAGAAGGAGGTTGGATCGAGCAGGCAACGTGAGAGGAGTCTGGTCCATCCACGGCCGGAGGTCAAGCGTTGTTTGGGGATCTGCCATCGACTGGTGCGAGAAGAATACCTCAGTATCAGGAGGCAAAGATCGTGGGGCCTCAGTTGACGACCGGAGGTTATATTCGAGCTCAGCTCGGGATATGTATCCAAGCAAAATGGCGTCTTTGGGGTCCGAGATTACCGGAAATCCACGATAGGGATGCGATGCGAGAATGCCGGACAGTGACTCTATCGTATGTCCGGTTGCTGTCAAGACCACAAGGTCTTCAATACGGGTCATGATCTGACTTACGGGAATGTCTGGGATTACTGTTTCCTCGCTGTTGTCTAGGAAAGGATATTCGTTGAAGTGAATCCAGCTTTCGTAAATGCCACGCTTCCCAAAAGCATCACCAACCCACTTGCTGGCCATCACGGCAATCATGATTGGCAAGACGTAGGTCAGAGCTCCGGTGAGCTCAAACATAATGACCACGATGGAAACTGTCATGCGCGTGACTCCACCGAGAGCAGCAGCGGCACCGATAATCGCATAGGTGCCAGGGGTGACACACGGCATATCGGGCTCGCATGTGCTGAAGGCGAAGAAATCTGGATGATAGTGTACCCATATCTCCATGATAATTCCAACTGCTCGCCCAAACAAGGCTCCAACGGCCATGGACGGCAGAATTATCCCAGCAGGTATTTGCAATCCAAATGTTATCGAAGCCAGGAAGATTCCAAGCATTGCGGCAAAGGTTAAAAGAAATATCGTCCCAACTGTTGCAGATCCTGTCTTGCACAGACCCAAGTCATCATTTATGACCTTGGAACATTCTGCAAAAAGCGAATATACTAGCTCCGAGGATTGAGCGCGCATGTACAGATTTGGATAGTTGATCAGAGCTGTCAGGAGTGCCACAATCAAGACTTGAGTCACTGGGCCAGGCAGCCAAGTTGCTGCTTTCTTCCATTCCGCGACCTTCATGTTCAGTTTGATGAACAAGCCTCCGTAGATGCCCTGTATGAAAGTTAGAGGATGCCGGCTTCCAAGTGCATGGTACTCACGCCAAAGATGCCCAAAAAAGCAAATGGGATCATTTCGAATCCATGCCAGCCGGTGCTGTATGTGACTTGATATAACACGAGTTTACCGCTTCGGAATGGATCAAATGCTTGCAATGCGACTGCCGCAGTCATTGCACAGACGAAACTCTGCCACATGGTTTTATCAGGGAAGTAGTAGGAGAGTTGCTAATTTTCGTCAGATCTAGTACCCAAAATTCTTGCTGGGAAGCTCACTTCGAGACTGAACAAGACACCCCCGATCGGTGATCCAAATGCAACTGAAATTCCAGCCGCTGCTGCCGCCGAAAGCACTTCACGCTTTCGAGCTATGCAAGGTTAGGGGGTCTGGTTAATGCAAGCTGAATATTCTCTTACCTTCATTCCCGTTTATATTTACAAACATCTTCAAGATCAGGTTCGCACAGCAGCATGCAACATGTACAAGTGGACCTTCTTTACCAAGCCACATACCCGATGCGACTGCAAGGCACTGCGATAGTCAGGAAATGGCTCAACGAGTTCCGTTTGGACTACTCACAAGACCTAGGGATTTGATGACCAAAGTCCACGTCCCCATAAAGTTTCGTATCACGAAACCTCCCAACACAGTTTTGATCTCGGGGATCCCGCTATGCTTCGCGTATAATGCATACTCCTTCACCAATACACTGGCTGTTGCAGCGAGACCAACCTTGAATGCGGTTAACGACGACATTTTCGCTCCGAATTCATTTCCGAATGACTCACTGAAAAAACAATGAAAAATAAGTATTCTAAAAACCACTTCCCACCTGCTGATGTGATGTTGAGCGCCAGACTCCAGGGAATCCAATCCCTACACTGCGCGAATTCTTCATAGCCATAGCAGCAGAAGGATTTATTCAAGTAGAAATGACCACCATCCACTCCAGCAGAGCAGTATCCTGTCTTCAAATCCGCGAGCCAATCCGTGATGATATCAATCGCGGCTGCAAAAGATCCCACCGCAAGACCCGTCAAGATCAGAACAACCCACACCTGGCTTGCGTCCATAAATTGCTGCGCATATCCAAGCAAGCCAGTGGAATTTGAATATAGGACCCGCAGGCGTTGCCGCTCCTTTGTGTACTCAAAGATCCAGTCTATTGCAGTCATATCTTGGTACTCAACTCTACGGCCAGGTCCCTCGGCATACCAATCTAATGGCCCTCCATCTTTCGTGCCTGTGTTCCCTGGCCCATCTCTGCTCCCAACTGTATTCAGACCGAACAACGTGGCACCGGCTCTTTGTGAGGGCGTAGGTTGTTGTGAATTTGATCCGTTACCAGAAAATGCAGATAGCAGTCTTGAACCTGTAGTCTGGTTGGGTTTCCGCTTGAAGGATATTATGCCATCTCCACTGGGATCGAGAGGGTCTTCGGAGAATAGCGCCTGGTCGCTGGAATGGCTGTCGACGTGATCTTCATCGCTATCGTCTTCGATTGTAGGATTCAGAGGACTTCGATTCGATGAGGACGACGACCCTGCTTGCTCTGCAGGTAGAAAGAAACCGGCGGGTTTGCTCGCCATGCTCATATAACTAAGGGCGGATATGGCATATTTGGTGGATTGTGTCACTGCTAAAGCTTGATGAAGCTCGAGGCTGAGTTGCGAGGCAGCCTGGACTGAATCTTGGTGCCTGATATCGAAGGCCATAAGTTAGGCGATGGAGATTTGAAAAACTTCTCTCGAAGCCGTTCCAAAAGAACATCTGAGCTTCCGACTATGGCGGAAACTGCCGAGCTGCCAAAGGGCATGACAAAGGAATCTTTGAGCCAAAATGAATGTCCGGCGACCTTTGAAAAAATGCAAGACCTCCTGAAAGCTAAAGATGACACATCCAGATTCGTTGGTCTAGCCCTACTCAAATCGGTTCTTGACAACGGGCAATTGGTCCAAGATCCTCAAAGACTTCGGATACTATGGGAAGCCATGTCTCCTAAGTTCCTGGATCGTTTGCTCCGAGCCCATTACAATAACAAAGTCAATAAGTCTGATTCGAAAGACATGGTTGACTTGGCAGTATCGGTGCTCCATACCTTCTCCATACTTTTACCAGAAGAATCGAGGAGAGAGAAAAGACTGACTGGAAGGACAGCTCCCTTGGTGAAAGCGTTGATACAAAGGTTAGTCTACTCTATGCAGAGAGAACGTCCGATCCGCTAACATGACCCTAGCCCCCCAGAAACTACAAAGCTCATCCTACAAACTCTGTTGACTATTGTCAGTCATCCTGAGGGTGCCTTGGAGATGCTTGCTATCGAAGATCTATCGCCATTGATCGAAATTACGAATCAGTATCCTCTGGCGTTGGAAATCTTTGAGTACGGCTGGACAAGTGCATCTACTCTAGGAGCAGAGGCTGAGACTGTCCGGAAAAGTATCAATCAAATAATGCCCAAGTTAGTTGTCAATTTCAAAGGAACTGATACAGTCACGCTGATCAAGCTTGTCGGCAAGACTCTGCCCAAGCTTGAATGTGAAGTAAGATTCTTATTCTTCATTACGAGCTGACACTAATAAGAACCAGGCCGTGCCACGAAATCCTAAATGGCTAGGGCAACTGATTATTATGCTGCGAAAACTTGTTGCAAATAAACCCACTGCAGCGGGTAGAGCAGCGTATACTCATCTAGCAGCCGCACTTCTTCAGGCATTTCCAGCCACCTGCCCGCCATTGCTATTCAAAGATGATTCTTCCGGAAACCCAGACAGCAAACCATTCTCATACTTGCTCGTTAATCTCTTACTGATAGACATCCGTTCTTCGTTTCCAACGCTGCTCGAAAAGCTGAATACCGTTGAGTACCCCTCAATATCGCAGCGACTTGCCGCAGCATTCGACGTTGTCTCCAGCTTCATCGGCTTCTTAGTCCGCAGTTTGGATGACCAAGGTGGATCGGGCTTCAGCATGACGCCAGACCTCTTACTAAAGCTCCGGAAAGATATTGCAGAAACAATGTCTATTAATATCGAGTACCTTCGCGATCGCTGGGATGCATCAGTCGCTGGCGCATCAGGTCTGCATCCATCCGCACGAACTGGCACGGCAGCTACCTCGGAAGGTACTAGGCTCACTTTGACATGGGATTCAATGAAGGACGAAGTCAATGCCGATCCACTCATCTTGGCTGGCATTCGAGCTCTCGCCATCTGGATCCGCGAAGACGAGAACGAGAATCTACGCAACGAGACTGCCGGCCTCATGGACATGTTGGTTGAGCTCTATAGTTCAAGCTTGCAAGGCGCTCTCGACTTCCGCTACCCGATCTTGCTTGCTCTAGAGGGAATTGTGGTTGCAGAAGAAGGTCTGGACAGATTTCTCGGCCAGGAGGGATGGCAGGTGCTGTTCCGAGATCTCAAGTCGATCCTCAAAACCACATCCGACAAGCTTACGGCAGAAGGCTCAGCAGCCGATGCAGGTCGAGGACTTCAAATCGTTCGTGTCCTGCTTGGTGTAGTGGATCACGATGCTACATCTCTGCCACGCGAGGACTGGATGGCTGTAGTCACGACGGCGACCTCGATGAAGGTCCCAGCTGCGACGGCTCTATCTGTGATTATTGAGTTCCAGATCGCGATGCTGCAACTGTCGGCGGCGCTCCTTGCTAAATCCTCGGGAGGAATGACGAAGCGTTTTGTCTCGAGCCGACCAGCGCTTTCGGGCCTCGTGAGGCAGCTGAAATCTTCTGTGGGGGAGATGGATGACGAGGCAGAATCGGCCGAGTTCATGGTAATGTTGGACGATGTGGAATTAGATCTGGGACACCTGTAGCAAGGGTGGTAACTCGTTGAGCACTTGTTTTCCTCAGTGGCTTTGGGTCCCTAGTGAGCCTTCAGCAAGGTGAATCCTGGGGCGTAATTGGGGCAACCACATCACCAAAAAGTCAAAGCAGGACAGAAAAAAAAAGAGGCGGGGCTGTAAGTAAAGAGTAAAGACGGTGTAGGGTTGATCGATTCCATTCTTCTATCAAAGTGACAGCAGGCGGAGTGTAAATTATACCGGTACATATACCATAGTCAGTATTAACTCTTTACGTTTACTATAGTCAATATTGCTTAATAAGCAGCAGTGTTCTGCAGTAGCTCCTCTCCTCCCTGTCCGCGGGGGAGGGTGATCTCCGTTAAGGCTTGACTCGTAAGGCTTGTGCATCCCACGGTGGTGGTACCTTGTTGGGCAGGCAGGATCGCTCGACAAAGACTCGTCTCTTCTTCGTTTCTTCTTTTCCTCTTTTCTTCTTTTCTTCATTCTTTTTTTCCCTTTCACTCAGGCCCGTCCATCTCTACCCCTTACTTCTACTTTTACTCCTTTACCTTTACCTTTACCTCTACCGTTACCAACACTACCCACCTATCCCTCCCTATACACAGATTGATAAATGCGACGATGAATGAAGAAATGGACAATGATACGCGGGGCTGGGTTATGTGCATAGTGAGCGGCATTGGTATGTGCTGCCCCTCTGGCTCTGGCTCTGCCTCTGCCGAATCGATTGACGCTGGCAACTGACGAGTTCTATCTACAGCTTGTGTCGTGGGAGCCAGCATCATATGCATCGACGTACTAGTACGCTGGATACCAAGCAAACGCCATTTCAGGATACAAGATAGTGGAGCGTTCCTCGCGTCTTCGCTGAGCTTGAGTTTTGGGGTCATGGTAGGCACTCGCTCCACTGCCTGGACTTCGTTGCAGATGTTAATCGCAGCAGATCTTCTCTGCGCTCTATAGCATACTTCCGTCCTCGAAGAAATACCTCATCGACAGCGGGTACAGTGCCTCGCATGCGACTTGGATACTTTTGGCAGGGTTCGTGGCGGGCTTTGCTGGGATACAGGTCCTCTCGAGGTTTCTGCACCACTATATCCCCTCTCATGTAGTTGACTGTGACCATACACACGAAGAGCAACCACATGGCCACCACTATAGCCATAGTAGAGGGCGTTCTCATGCCAGTCTAGCCGACCGAAGTCGTCACCACTCTCAGGTCCATGAGACGAACGGGAAAGTGTGCGAATCAACCTCGCTATTACACTCGGGGCTATCGAGCGGGGCTCTCTCTCCGTATAACGTTGCAGATGTAGGCGTGGATGGCACACATTCCCGTTCTCGGGCGCAGTCTTATCTTGTAGATACGCGCAGGTCATCTATGGTTGAGGTCCAAAGACGAGTCATGTCCTTTGTCAAAGACACCAAAACCAACTGCGATTCTCAAGGTCCATGTTTCGGCTACTCAGACCCTTGTGGTCAAGAATGTTTCAAACACCTCTCGACCCGGACCCCGAGCAACACGCGAAATACCAACTTGCTCCATAGCAACGGCGGCAACTCTAGCCCGTCCACCCTCCGAAACCTTTCCGGAGGCTCCGACCCCGCCCATAGCCTTCCCAGATCACGGTCCAGAACCCAAAGCGTGACCCGCATAACCCTCGCGCGATCCTGCTCAACCCTCTCAGAAGCATGCTCACAGATGGAAGAAGACTGCTCATCCTCCACCGTCTCCTCCCCTTCCGACCTCGAAGCTCAGCACCACCACCACGTCCCGGAAAACGCCTTCATGAGCATCGGCCTGCAAACTTCAATTGCCATCGCGCTGCACAAGGCCCCTGAGGGCTTCATTACCTACGCCACTAACCACGCCAACCCGTCCCTCGGCTTCTCCGTCTTCATGGCCCTCTTCGTGCACAACATCACCGAAGGCTTCGCACTCGCACTCCCCCTCTTCCTAGCACTGAACTCCCGCTTGCGCGCTATGTTGTGGGCTGCGCTTCTCGGGGGCCTGTCCCAGCCGATAGGCGCGGGCGTTGCAGTGGCATGGTTTAAAATTGCTGGGCGCGAAGGCCACAAGCCCGGGACGGCGGTCTACGGTGTCATGTTCGCTATCACGGGCGGCATCATGACGAGTGTCGCGCTGCAGCTCTTCGTGGAGAGCTTAAGCATGAACCATAATCGTAACTTGTGCATTGCGTTCGGGTTCGTTGGGATGGTGATTATGGCGACGAGCAACGCGCTGACATCGTGAACACTTTGATGGTATGAGCTAGCTTGAAACGACTAAAAGAATTCAAGGTGGCAGGGGAACAGATTGCATGGAATGAATGAACGGCCTCTATGAATTACGCAGCATTTTTTGGATTATAAGGCGTTTGAGGAGATTTGTTTGGATTGGATCGAATTGGACTTGAGCAGATATATAGGCTTCGGTTATTGTGCAGCAGCAGGCTTGTTGTGCTGGGGAGCTTACTTGCATCCGCATCATGGACTTATGAAACGAACTGCACGCTTGCGTGGGTGCCTTTAGCATTATTAAAAAAAAGGAAGGAAAGAGAGGATGCCACCGAGCCGCCGAAAAAGACGTGTCTGAAAAATGTTCTCTCCAGTCTCTGTCTCTACTGTAAAACGACTTGGACTCGAACATGATTTCCGACTACCTGTTGTTTTTCTTTCCCGGTAATCAACCTTGGATCAATTCTCGCTCGCTTAAGGAAAGGGGAAAGGAAAGGAAAAGGGGGCAAAAAATCTTTATTCCAAACCCCCTAAAAAACAGACGAACGGAGTTGATGATCGAGAGACGTCTCACATCGCAAAGTCAACGTACAAACAACAATAGCCACATCTTCTGCGACCGACGGGCTGAGAGGAAGAAAGGAAGACAAAGGAGTTTGAAGGGAAGAAGCGTGTCAAATTTCATTAGCTTTGAGCTTTTCTCTGTGGGAGAGGGGGGAGAGAAAGGGGGGAGGAGAGAGAGAGAGAGAGGAGGCAATGTAGTTGGCATAAATGCATGCGCTCCCATCCAGGTACGTCCCTGGCGAAAATATACATATCATGGAAAGTTTGGACGTCGTCTTGTTCCTGATTCACCGTTCCTTCCTCTCCCATATTTATCCAATGGTTTTTTTCTTCGATCGTGACCGAAATTTGTGTCCCTCTTGGATAGATTCCGTTTTGTGCTTTCTTTAGGGGTCCGCATATCTAGCCTATCTGCATTCCCATGACTCGGCCTCTCCCACGCATTATGATACCCATCTAGAAGCGGTGGCTTCTGCTCTTGTGCGTCCGCCACGCCGTGAAGCCCACATACGCAGCCACGCACACCCCCAGGAACGCCATGATCTTGAACAGAAACCAGGTCCAGCTGCCACCCTCCGTCCTGGTCCCCTTGAACTTCGTGTCCTTAGCATTGCCCGTCGACGAAGCGCCCGCTGCGGACTTGGAAGCCGTGCTTTCACGTTTCTTCGTGTCGTACAGGTTGCGCGTCGCAACCGATATGATATCGTGGTTATCGCTTAGCTCGCCCGTTTCGGCACTGAAGCCAAGGTATGCCACCGACGGAATGACGGGCGGCTCGTTCGTCTCGAAGCACAGCTCCCACTTATCCTCCGACTTGTACTGTAGCTCCAGCTTTAGGCTTTTGTCTTGGAAATATGTGAGCTTCGCCTTTGTGGTGATCGGGGCGCGGCGGATCCCGCGCGCAGAGCACCCCATCAGCTCATTGTCTTTCCCGTCGGTGTTCTTATCGTAGGACTTCGTACCGTCGCCGACCATGGCCATTATGTAGGGGAAGACGGTACCGGGCCGGTTGTTCTTGTAGGTGTCGAAGAAGATGCCGAGGCCTTCAAATGAGTCGGTGCTGCCGAAGACAGGGCCCGGCGTTGCGCGCTGCTTGGTCAGCCAGAGGGCCATACCATCGCCATGGAGATTGCCGTTGCCGTGGATCTTGAACTCGACTTCAATCTTGAGGAGGTAGGGTGGTTAGCTTGGCGCGATGAATTACTGCCAGAGGAGTATAGCATAATTGTAGCAGGTAGTAGACGAACCTCCCAATTTGTGGCGGTCAGCGGTACTCGAGAAAAGATCCATCCTTCTTGTGAGGGGCGGTCCGAGGTCAGACGAATATATCTGCATCCAGCATCAGCCCTCGAGCACTTCCCCCGTCCAAGATTTGGCAGCTCCTACTGATCCGCGCGCACAATTGTATTTCCTCCAAAGTCAAACCATCGACTTTGCATATCAGAATCTAGATATGGCTGTCGCGTGTTGTCTCAAGTCAGCATGCTGGCTGGGCTGAAGGCAAGGGGGTTCAGGAAGCCAGGCCCACGAACCTGCTGTAGGGAGTGTGTTCGCAACTGTTTTCTGATTAGCAAAAGATATTTTCTCTTGATGGTGGTAATTGATGTACAGGTATGCTGCGAATGCCATTCTCGTCAGTCGTCGTCTGGTCCTGGATTCCTGCCAGAGCAAACGCTGCCAGCACCCATGCCGACAACGACACAGAAAGCCACATTGCTGCCGTCGGTGCCGTCGGTCGTCGAGAATTGCGGGAGGCGCCAAATCAGATAAAGAACAGAGCGATATGATAGGGAAGGGAAGTGAAGAAAGGAAATAGAAGACGATATGCACAACGACGGTTCCTCTGATGGGCTTAGAGTTGGTACTTAGGAAATTTGGGTACTATGTCGCAAATCAACCCTACATTCCCTATCTCCCTCTAAGAACCGAGTCTCAATGTCCGATCGCAGGTCGCAGGCAGAGCAAGCTGGCCTCTCTGGAAAGTTAATCCGAGGTTGAAGCGGCCGCTCGAGGATCCCTGTAGGCTGGCTGGGATCTACCGAATATCATCAACGTCGAGGAGAAAAAGGTCGCAAGGACGACGGAGCATAAACTCAACCTCAACTTGGCTTCAACAGCCTCAATAGTAGTAACAACAACAACAACAACAACAACAATCATCGCAAACTCTTCAATCTAAACACTTCCCAGAAATGGACAACATCAGCAACGGCCTGGGCTTTGGCCAAGACCCAAAGGCCGCAGTCATGAACCAAGTCCGTCAAGAAACTGCCATGACCAATGCCCGTCAATTGATCGAGGTAGAATTCTCTCACTCTCATATATAAATACAAACATACTTGAGAATTACTGCTAACATCCTGCAGAGAGTAAACACGCACTGCTTCGAGAAGTGTGTTGCCAAACCCGGCGCCTCGCTCTCGAGCGGCGAGACGACATGTATTTCCCAGTGCATGGACAAATATATGGCGGCGTGGAACACGGTCAGCAGGGCATACATCGATCGCCTTCAATCGGAGCAACAGAAGGGGCCGGGTGGCGGCGGTATTTTTTAGGGAGTGGGTTGCTGGATGGGACTTGGGGAATGGGCGTATATGTTCAAAATGACAGCGCCGCCGCCGACGAAAACGACAACGGATCACAAAGACGATCAGGCCTGGGATGGCTGTATGGCTTAGATGAGGTGTATGATATGTGGCGCTTTGCATGGGTGACCGAGTGTAAGATGTGCCAGGATGTATGGCAGCAATCACCTCTTGATCAGCAATGTCACGCGTGGTGAACAGCATGACACAGCTGAAGCAAATATCAGTGAGTGAATTTCAGGTATTCATTCCCATGCTTCCACCCTTCACATAATGATCTCCACATCTACAACCTCGAACCCACAAACATGCTCTTTCATTTCAGTCCAACTAGCCTCCGCCGCCTCGTCCCGTTCATTCCACCACGCTTCCACCTTGCCATACCGCTCCCCCAGATCATATAAAATTCTCATCCATCTCTTCATCTTCTTGTACCTCTCCCTCTCCGCCTCGGTCGTCGGGTGGCGCACGCCACTGATTCAGGCGAGCTGGCGCAAGTTCTTGACCTCCGCCATGGGGACCGGAGGCGCGCGCCTGAGGCATGCGCGATGTTGAGGATGGCCTTGGGTGGCTTCTCTTCCGGTGGAGTGAAGGCCCGGGGACTTGGATAGTGCAGGCCGTTGTTGTTGCCAGCGCAGGAGGTGTGTTTGGTACACGTAATTGAGTTCATGTCTTATCAACCGTTAGTGAAGTTCTGCCTTACAACTGTTTCTTTTTGGGAGTTACCTGAGGAAGTCCTTGATAATGCTCTCTCTTGTTGATGAGTTGGTTTTGACTGAGGTCTTGTCAAAGCTTGTTGGAGCTCTTGTCGGAGGTACTATGTGTCTGATACGAGGTTTTAATTTGCTATTTTATGCTGAAAATGAAAATCGACGTGCGGAGCCTCTCTTGTATACCTTTCACTATTGGTGTCTCAGCAGGCGCCGAAAGAATCACACTTTAACTTAAGTCATACGTCCCAAGGTCCGAACCGGCTCATAGTTCGAAATAAAAAGTAGAGCATATATGCTGTGGCTATTTGGGCGGAAATTGGTCTCTGGCCCCCTGGTGGATGTTTAGTAAGACGCACCATCTGAAATATTCTTTTCTTTTTTCTTTCGTTGCACTTGGGAGATAAGTGGATCTTCTATCTATTTTTGCTTTCACTCGTTACCTTGCCTCAGAACTCGTAGAAACGGTTCTAGATTCAGGCTCAGTGAACTCACTATCTGACCTCGGCATTTCTTGTTTACCAATTATAAGAAACCAGCAACTTGGGGTATGATGTCCACTCCGCACACCTTTCTGTTTTCACCTCAGAGGAATGTGAATTCTCGGTGCTATGTATTTTCACTTGACGGCCTCGGACATGGTTCTAGTAGTAGGCCCGTGTAAGTTGGTGACTCCTTATGGGATCTACGTTACGCATCGCAAAATCGTGGCACCGAGTCCCTCTCTCCACTTCTCTCTGTGTTGTGTTGTGCCGAGTCTGGCCCGTTAGAAGCCTCTTCGTGTCTATTAGGACAATGATCGGTCATTTACCCCTAGCTTATTGGATGCCCTTTGCACAGTCATCATTCTGCTAGCTGGTGTTTTTGTGCTTTGTCTACGAGACTGTACGGGTAGCGCTTTCTAGAATGGTTTGGTTAGTGCTTACTTCATCTATGAAAAAGATTCTTACCGAGGTACAGCCATGAAGTGTTGTCCCTGGTCAACTTCTACGTAAGCTGGCTGTTTAGGTTTGTACTTTATTAGATCAGCTTTGGGTTCGACACAACCCATGCTTTTGACCAGGGACAACACTTGACCGCCGTACAGCCGTAGTAGAGCATCGATAGTCATTTGTTGACGACGCTATTGACCCGGTCTTAGCGTTGCACTGTATACATGGCCATGCTATAAACACTAAGCTCGTCTTGAACATTCGGCAGGGAAATTCAGCTCTCTCCTTAAGAGGTTAAAAAGCTTTTGGGCACGGTTGTGACGCTCTTGAATATCCTGCTTCACTACTTCAGGATTTTGCTCGTTCGCGACGTCGTCTCTAAAGATCTCGCTTAATTTCCCCCAAGATAAAAAGAGAGCCGCATCATTGCTTTCCAGATCATTCCAAAATCTCTAGCCTACGTGATGCTGAAATGCACCAGTCAATTGGCCATCTTAGCCTGATCAAGGTCCCAACACTTCTATTGATTACATGCGTAATAGGCTTTCGGTCTTTGTAGCCGGCTTCTACCTCAGTATTTAGACTCGCTGGATTCAAAATATCTGAAATCTATACTTGGGAGATTGTAATGCATTTTCATGGAAGTTTCCGTCGTTGAAATCCGATCAAATTTGGTGCCCAGCTCAAAAAAAAAAGATCTTTGCGCTGAGGAAAGACCTTTTGATTAGCTTAGCCTTACCCACCGAGCCAGTGGCGGTTACCGTCACCAGTTTATGTAAAAAAAGGCTTTTGACAGACTAGGAGATAGACTACATGATGCTAGCTATCGAATGAAGAAAAAATGCAATCGAGCTAAGAAAAAATTCAGGTTCCTACTCCCAATCTTGGTATAGGTCGGACGCCAGGGAAAGGGGCCACCAAAAAAAGAAGCCGAAATTCGAGAATTGGTGCTCACCGTGCTTCCCAGCCAGCTATATAAACCCATAGCATCCCCCAACTTCTTCAACCCATCTCATCTCCTTCTGCAGAATCAAGACAAGGGAGAAAAGTCAAATCTACAAGAAGGATATGTAAGACTATACAAAACCTCCTCCTACAACTCAACTCCACAACCAACTCTTTATTAATCTGACCAAATGAATAGGTGTGCTGCACCAACAGAGCCTCAGCGGTCTCAACAGCCCACAGGGCTCGCCAGTGGCCCCCGCGGCCCCAGCACCCCAGCACCACTACCAGTACATCCCCAGGTCTACTACCTCGTGATGCGCTCCAAGCTCGGGCGAGGCATGGATCCCGAGGAGGTCCTGGAGTACCCCATCGCCGAGACCACGACCCGGTGGCGGGCTGTTGAGACGGTGATCCAGAGCTACGAGGATGATGTGGCGCGGCGAAGTGAGGCCGCGCTCGACGAGCTAGTGGTCTGGCAGTCGTACGACCACCGCGGTATCCGGCGCTATCGGATGCTCGACGGGGACGGCATGGAATTCCGGGTCTGGGTCGAGCTAAGATCGGCCCCGGAGCTGGACGACTGGGTGTTTTGAGGGGCGAGGAGGGATTTAGGGAAGGAGGTGGTGGAGGGGAAAGACTAGGAGGGCTGTGTGTGATACTCCTTTTTTGGTAAGCTCATTTCCTCGGTATAATTTTCCAAATTTCTTTAGGAGGGGCTCTATAGATGCTGCTTACTATACTACTAGATAACTTGCTAATGCATAAACAGATACTCCTTTCGCACCAAAGATATGGGTCAAAACTTCGAATTTTTTATTCCTATCTTCGGGGACATAGTCAATCAAACCATTTAGCTTAACTCTGCTTATCTAAATGACCTAGATGGAAAATATAAAACCTGAAGTCGCTCCTTTTCTTAATGCTTCTTCAAAACCTAAGCGAAAGCCAACTTTCTATCTATACTTCCGCCTGAATTGAATCCATTTAATAGTAATCCTGTTTTTTTTCGATACTTTAACAATGAATTTGTTCACTCGTACTTCATATATTATGATTATATGTTCTAATATATAAAAGGTCGAGTAAGATATATATAGTAAGAAAGAAAGGAAGCTGGAAAAAGCTGTGTTGATTTATTCGGGGAGTAGCAAAAGCTATCCGATGATAGCCCGACGGGTAATTATATGTCTTTATCGGACGACGCGTAGTAGTCGATATATTGCGTAGCTATTCAATCTTTCTAAGCTCAGAAGTGAGGTACTCGATTCGATAGGCAGCCGTCACACCGAGTGATTTTCCCTCCAGTCGTACCCTTCTCACTTCCGGCTCGAAGTATAAGTAAGAATTGATTTCACCTGCATCGCATAATTATTCTCTCCTTCCGATTGAAGAGATAGAAGTCCGACGGAACAGCGAATGCATATCGTAGTAAAAAACAATCGAAATCGAGGTTGTTATATATAATAATCGTCCTAAGAATATTATATATAGGTGGTGAAAACGATGTGCGAGGATATACGCTGCTATTTTTCTGCACAAGAACACGGGACTTGGATACCCTCCTCGCGTTCGAGGCCTGCGTCGCCCTAAAGCGGTCACAATAAGAATGATCTTATAGAAACCTTGAACTGGCGTTAAAGGTATATAATCGCTTTTATAATTCATCCGATACACTATTTTTCTTGTCTCTTTTAATATTTGAAATTCTATTTAACTCTATTGCATTTTTTTAAAAATATTTTATATGAAGTATAGAATTCTAAAGACTGTAAATAGAAACTGTAAGAATACAGGGTTTCACTCGGGAGTTTCCCGGTTCCTTTGGAGAGGAAATAACCAGTGATGTTGTTGATTGTGTCAAAGTAATGCGAACGATGGCGGTTTGCGTGACACCTGGCGGAAAATTCAATCAAATTTTCTTCAGTGGAACGAACGGCAGCCCACGCGTAGCAAAGCGGATCAAATTATCGAACAGTTTTAGACCCCTTGGCAGCTTCTTCAGAGACATGATGGAGTACAAAATTGCCGAAGTTGAAAGTCCGAACGTGTTGAGCCACTTTGGAGGCTTCTTCTGCACCAAATTTGCAGCTTGGAGCTTCAAATCTGATGCTGAGGCAAGTAGCGACCCGATTTTCATATTCTTGAGCTTACACTCATTGCCTCGAGCTTCATTTTCAGCTGGGCGATCTCGATGTCCTTCTCCCTCCACCTCTTTATCTTCAAGTACTGTACCATTCTGGCACCATCTCCAGCGCCGAAACCGTCGTCATTTCCTTCTTCTTCCTTATTATTGTCCCAGGCCTCAGTTATTGTGGAGACCGTTCTTCCGGCACCGCATTCCTCAACAACTCGCTCATAAGCTTGTAGTGGTAGTCCCACCCTGCGCTGCGAAGCAGAGGCCCAGTCAGACTTGCATACACATTCTGCAAACTGTACAGCGAAGAGCCCGCCGATGCCACCACAGAACAAGGAGTGTTCGCCTCGCATGCTCTTCGTACCGTCCTATCTCTGCACTCGAACGCTCGCTGCTGATGGCCAGCGGAATTCCCACACCCTTCTCCAATGACTCCAGGACCTCTTCCAGGACATCCCGATTGCGTGCAAGGTACTTGTTCGAAGGCAGAGATGCTGCACCTGAATTTTTGCTATCATATTTCCTGAGTCGGTGAGATCAACTGCGCACAGCAACAACTCTTCTGCAGCAACTCTGCCAGCGTCTGCGACCTCGATCAGCTCTCTGTGGTCTTCGTGGGTGTTCTCCTGTGCCAGTCTCTTTGTAATATCTGGATGGTCCGCGGAGTCACAGAAAGACTTTACACTCGCAACTCTCTCCGTCGAATCGTGGAGCAGCTTTCGACCCTCAGCCTGTAGCAGAGCTACCTTGACGCATATCTCTCAAGAAACCAGCGTGCCCAAGACCAGAACTTCTTCTGTGAGAGATGCAGCAGATGAGCTTGAAGGAGGAGATGTCGGCAAGGGTGTCGAGCATGACGCGCCGTCCTGAGCATCCTTATTCTTTGGTCGCCCTCGGGGCTTTTCGGTGGTGGTGCCTGGCCCTGTCTCGTACAGCTGCTCTTCGTCACTCGCAGACTCGACTCTTGGTGCTTGATCTGGGACTCAGTTAATACATGTTAGAACATCAGATCCCTCAAACTACGCAGAGTTGGCTCTTTTTTGTTTGCGTGGGAAGCCGGCGATATCCCATCCGCTGCGGTACTGTAGGTTTTCGGGGTCTCTTGTAACAAGCCACAAACGGGGCAAGAACTGCCATCACGACGCGCAACGAAGATTTACTTGGGACGCAAGAAAAGATGCCGCCCTCAGCACCAGATCCCGTGTTGCAACTTTTATTGTACGAACGGTCAGAGACAGCCTCGAAAGGACAGCAGTTAGATTGCATGTTTCTTCGAGCTGGAGGGACTCTGAAGGTTTCGATCGTTGACGACATGCATTGACGCTACTGGTCAAGGTACAGTCAACCTAAGCGAGCCGACGATTATCTGCCAATCCACCAACTTCTATTTCGCATCAGAACTCTCTTTGAAAGGTAAATAAAAACTCTAAAACCTTATCCTAACGAGAAAGAGCTTATAACTGCAGGACGATTTCATTTTATATCATTATTTGATAGAGTTAATTCAAGCAGAAATATACGTAGAAAGTTGGCTTTCGCTTAACTATAGAAGAAGTCTTAAAAAGAAGGAGCGACTTCAGCTTTATCTTTTGTATCTAGGTCTACTAGACCTAGCAGATTTAAGCTTGACGGTTTTCATGAACTGTTTTCCCGAAGATAGAATCGATCAACACCGGCTAAGCGACCCTGATTGTTCGAGGCACTCTTACCGAGAACCTCAATTTCATTATGGACAGGATCGAACTTATCGGATAGTTTGGGAAACTTGATCGAATAGAAATGAGGAAGGTTTGGGCCGACAACTCGCAAACCGGTAAGGCGCCTCAACGCAGGAATTGAAACCACCAGAACGAAAATGTCAAGGATTCCCCTCTGTTGGCCTTCTGGCTTTCCTAGAGGTAGGGGGCCGTCGGGCTACCATCGAGAACGTCTACGAAGCGTTTGACGCCAAAGTCTTGATCCCCTTGGGAAAGTCTGTGCTTCGAGCCCTTCGGTCTTCCGCCGAACACGGAGCTTGCTCATGAGATGTTATCTGCTCGAGCATTGGAGGACGTGTTGACAGATGGCACAATGGAGTCTCAAACATTAGAAACCAGCCCGTAAATCAAAATACAAGCCACGGAAGCGGCTATGGGAAGCTGAGGGATTGCGCGCCTGGGAGACGTGAATTCTCTGCGTCTTGCTCGAGGTTGGGAGGGAGGTAGTATCCGCCCTCGGGCTTGTCAGCGAATTGTCTCTCCGAAATGGCCCCGTGGCTCAGGGTTCTATGATAGCCATTCTCATCATGTAATATATCTCTTTTCCTACGTCCAGCCTTCTTCGCACCGTCGCAGCTATCTGTTCGCTCTTGTTATTCCTCCGGCCTATGCCTGCCTATGAATAGACAACCTACCTTATTAGCTGAGATGAAATCTGCGCCTGCTTGTCATCATCACCATTTTTACTTAGCCGCTGCTGCAGTCGGCGAACACTGCCATCAGTGGATGTGTATTGTATTGTGGAAGGATCGAATAACGGACTTCCATACGTCATAGCCTCCACTGGTGTTAAGAGGATTAAGAGGTCTATATAGTCTTTAATCTTTCCTAATCTTTCCCTCTCCTTCCGATTAATGAGCATCCGTTGCTTCCCGTCTTCTCTCGAGAAGTTATCTGGTGACCTACGCAAGAAACCGGCGGAGATTTACAAATCCATTCAGCGAAGACCCTTTCGGTCTTCTTGGTACTCGGGAGATCCTAAAAGAACAGTCACGTCTACGGTCCGAATTGTTGAGACTTGTCTTCAAGACACATCTCTATAGCGCTCTATCCTTCACGGAGTCAGCCTCTGACACCTCTTATCTTTAGTTCCTTTTCTCACCATTTCCACTCACGTCTACAGTGCGAATTATTGCGCTTTATCTTTCACGGAGTCAGTCTCTTACACTCCCGTCTCTGGTCCCTTTTTTCGCTATATCCAGCCACATGAAGAACCTCGCCGCCGCAATGGCCGCAATCAAGAATGGTCGCTGTCGCAAGGGCATTGAGACGCGCTGCTCAATGATTGCCGGGATCCAATTCCATGGCTCCGAGCCTCACCAGTCCCACAGAGATCCAGACGACCCCTTTTCAGGTTACTTCTTTCAGCCTTCATTAGCCAAACAAGCTGAACGATCAAAGCCGGGTTGGGAGGACACACGCCCACGAAGACGGGAACGGCCACGTGAACTTCCGAGCCAGATGTACGACTTTACGAGAAGCGACTGGAATGCAATACAAGGCCCCGAAAGGCAAGACTGGCGAAGACAAGACTAGCGAGAGCAAGAGGGATAGCAGGAAGCTGCTGGACCGCGAGCCATTGAAATGGCGGATAAACGAGGCTACGTAAAAAGGGAGCAACAAGCGCGCTTGTAAGGCTGCCACCGGACCGAAATTGAATGCGACATTAGAGGAGGATAAGGGAAAGATGAAGGATGGCAAAGGGGGAAGCGTGGGCTTGAGGATGGGGACGAGGATAAGGAGGGAAGGAGGAGAAAGAGAAAAAGGAGGAAAATGAGACAGAGATATAAGAGAGCCGAGGGGATGCCTAAGGCCGTGTCTGATAACTTCCAAAAATGGGATTTGGACCTCTAAATCGCAATCGAAACGTATGTTTTGGTGTTTGGTAATAACTGACCCATCATGTGATTGTTGTTGTGATCACGTATTGGGGATACCACCAAAACCGAAATTCTCAGAGACCACAAAGAATCGAGGGATCTCAAGTAATTTGTTTCTTTAAACCCCAATCCCTTCTCCACAATAATAATGTGTTATGGTGAGGTGGAGAATGATAAGACCCAGACCCAGACCCGGACGTACGTCGATGGCAGGAATGGAAAGGAGTACCTAGGTATCTAGATGGGCAAGCAAAGTAAGTAGCGTGAGAGCATCCGTAAAATCGGTGCGTTGCGTTGCTTGCTTTAAATGGGATATGAAGTATCTCAGAGTAAGTATTTACTGATGGGCTCGCCCGGTAGCGAACGTTCATTCATATCCTGTCACCTAGATATAAGTGTAGACCAGTCAGTATGCATTGGAAAAGAGCTAGCGGACCAGTCCTTGATCTTGCCGGTGTTCTGAAAGCTGCTGAGGACTTTGACGCGCAGTCGCGAACCAGATGGATCGGGCTGGGCTCGGTCAGGGTCGAGGATGAGGGTGAGGATGAGGATGAGGATGAGGATGAGGTCAAAGTCGTAAACAGGCGCGCGCTGGCGTCAGGAGGAAAGCAACGAAGGGACAGCGACACTACGACAGTGTGATAATGCGAGGGTGCAACATAGCTGGACAATGGCGCGCACGAGAGCTTGGTGCAGTGCACTCTTTTCTTTGATGCGCAAGATCGCACTGCAGAACCCTGTACCTTGTGCAATTATTCATTGAGTCTCCCTCCCACTGCTTTTTCCACCGACTTTTCCATTGTGTTGGTCGATTTGCTGAAATGGCTATTCTGATTCACGGGTCCGGGTTTCTATAGTGCTCAGAAAGTTTCCATCACAATTTCAAGGCCGTGAGGGTCATTGCCTAGATGTTGGGGTATTGTAAACAGATCTGTTCTTGGTAACGAGGTGGGATTTGAGCAATGCCCAGCCCATCAGTAGTATCGATCGCCATCATCACCACAACAACAACAACAAACAGAATCCCATAGCACAAAATTTTCCCAGCTGCCGATATAGGTTCATATGCCAGTCGTATTTGGTACCGGGGTCCTGACTATTCCCGAACTTCAGACGGCGGCTTTGCAGCTTTCTTCGCTTCCTCAAGTTCCCTCTTTCTCGCGAGGTATCTCTCCTTAGCGCTCGTGATATCACTTTCCGTCTTACGACTCTTTGAAGCCCGCTCCAAAGCCTCTCTGTCCTCGTCCTCCTGCGCCAGGGCTCTCTTCGTGGCCTGCTCAAGCTGAGCTTCCATCATGCGAGTCTGACGCTCCCGCATAGCTTGCTTCCCGCCACCGACACCCACAGGCCCTCGACTCCGATCCGACAATGGAACACCAGGTCGAGAAGCGCTCGCAGGTGCAGCAGTCTTGGCTTTCGGAGCAATATTCAGTCCTCCCTTCAACAGCTGCCTCTTATCCACCACCTGCCCCTCGTCATTGATAGCAATGGCCTCCCCAGTCTTCCCGCTAATCTCTCTCGCAAGATCTGCCTCGGTCTTCTCCTTCTCCTCCTCCTTCTCCTCCACCACGTTCACTGGTCCCGTCTTGATCCTCTCCTCCACCGCCTTGACAACCTCAGCATGTTTCTGTTCCCCCTTCTCCAACATACTCTTGTAAAAGCCCGTCATTCCAGTCCCTTTATTCTTTTTCGCCTCTTGCTCCTCTCTGAGCTTTTCCTCGGCTTCTAACCTCCTATTCTCTTCTTGCTGCTTCTTATACGCCGACGTAACGAACTTCTCCTTATCCGCATATTCATCGCCCTCGGCCTCCCTTTCTCTCGCTAGCTTCTTCTCCTCTGCAATCCTCGCATCTCGTTGCCGCACCTCAGCCGCAGCCATCAGATTCGTCATGTACTTTGGCTTTCTCTCCTTATCCTCCTCCGCTACCTTCTTTGTCGGCTTGAGGCTATCATACACAGCGTCATAATCATATATGTTCGCATCCAGTTCCTCGGCCTTTTCTGCATGTTTCTTAGATGTGAAGGAGGAGGCAAGGTCCCCGTACATGCTAATAGGCGCATTCTTCCCACCGAGTTTCCCAGTCGGTTTTGTACCTTTCAACTTAGGCGCGGGACCTTTGAGAGAGGGTTTTGATTCCGTGGATATGCTGCCAAACTCGCCGATTTCTTCTATGGCTTCTGCGCCGTTGTCATTGTCGCCGTCGCCGTCGGAGTCGGGCTCATCGAAGATCGGTTTCCGCTTTCCGGGGAGGGGTCTGCTTCCTATGGGTGTTTTCTTTTTGATGTTCAGGCCGTATGAAAGGCCGGAGCTCGACATCCTGACGTGTTAAGTTGAATGGTATGTTGAAGGAGGTGATGCCAACGAAAGTCGTCATAAAATGGAGGACAGGGGTGAGTCTTGGCCCGCTTATTTGAAGGATAAGCTTCTTATCGGTTTACCAAATTCGCTTGCATCTTAAAGAGTACATATGTCGCAACGACCTCGATCGCATCCCTATCACCGAGCCCAGACCAGCAAATGAGGAGCCCTCATATGACCTGCGATCTTCAACATCGCAGAACAGATCTCTCAAGATGACATCTGACGTGGGGGGCGAAGGCGCTTCTGGCGCAAACGAGGACGTATTCCCAAAACCGAGCAAGTTCAGGTTCAAGCACAAATCCAGAAGGAGGAGTTCGGAGAGACGCGAAACACGATCTCGAAGCCCAACAGGGCGTTCACACCGCGACAGGCACAGAAACGATAGATCAAGAGACAGATCAAGAGACAGACCGAGAGAGCGACGCCACAGGCGTCACCACCAAAGCAAGAGACGCAAACACTCGCCAGCAGACGATCCCGCGCTCTACGATGATACTCACCTCCCGAATGCGAATTCCGAGCAATACTTAAACCCAGATGTCGCTTTCAGAGAGAGTCTCTTTGACGCCATGGCGGATGACGAGGGGGCGCAATTCTGGGAGGGCGTGTATGGGCAGCCAATTCACACATACCCTGCCGAAAAACCAGGTCCAGATGGAGAGCTTGAGCGCATGACAGATGATGAATACACGGCTTTTGTACGAGCCAAGATGTACGAGAAGACTCACCAGCACTTGATCGAGGAAAAGGCTAGAAGGGAGGCAGCTAAGAAAGAACGAGAACGCATGGCGAAGGAGAGCGCGAAAGAAGAGAGAGAAGCCGAAAGGTTCAGGAGGAAAGTAGAAGAGAGCTTGAGGCGGGGACAGGAGAGGAAGTCTAGGAAATCTTGGGGAGACAAGTGGGATGCGTACATCCAAAAATGGGAATCATTAGGCCAAGGAGCCGCCACTGGCAAGATACATATTGCATCAATACCTTGGCCTGTTGAAAGCGGGAAGCGGGCAGATGCTACAGAGTTAAAAGAAATCGAGCGGTTCTTGCTGAATGCGCCGACGTCTGGACAGCCTACGGAAACGCAGCTTGCGAAGGTGTTGAAGGTGGAAAGGATACGCTGGCATCCGGACAAGATACAGCAGAAGCTTGGTGGACAGGACGTCAGTGAGGATGTTCTGCAGGCGGTTACTGCGGTCTTCCAGGTCATTGATCGGATGTGGTCTGAAATTAGGGATGCAGGGAAATAAAGGAGGACGTTGGCAATTGCATGGGCGGGGAGGGGAGTTTTATACCCATTTGCTGCTGGGCAGTCTGTTTAGCTGAGCCCATGGGACCTTAGGCAAACAATTTCATTTGAAGGGTCATCTTCTTCAATCGCATTTGGAACTTTTTCTGCCTGTCCACTCGAACAATCAATCGCAAGGCGGGTTGCAGCCATTGCAGCCATTGAGCAGGGGTGAACCGGTAGCTAGGTCAGGTTCATATTTCAACAGATCCTACGATCGTAGCATTGAAGCTCAAAGAAGATAGCTTCAGTGGAGATGATCTTTGGAGATTTTACCGACTTCATCTTCAAGGTTATATATAAAAAGAATCAGTGGTCCAAGAAAATGCGCAGCTCTCTGCACCTCCAAGCAGGCCTGCGCCGGACCTGCGCCCTATCATTTCAAGCTGCACAGCTGCTTGGCGGTCTCTTTTTCGGCAATGTGAGTATATATGTAAGTATATATGTAGGAGTTTATTCTACAGAGATCTTGAGTATCGAATCCAATCGATGGAGGGGGCAAACAATACAATAGCAACCAATTGAGTCCACAGCCGCCCGCTCCTTGGTCCAGCAAGGGGAAGAGGGCATGATGAAGAGCATCGCTATCCTGTGTGTTGTCGTATCTTGCCTTTCTGGATTCCAGGCGTGCTGCATTGTCGCTATCCGGACTCTGAAAAGTAGAGTAGAGTTGCTCACTTGTTGCGTTCAAAGGTTCAAAGAAGGCTATCAAGATAGGTTGCGTTGATCTTGACAAAGAGTCGTCGATCGCTGAGGCCGCATCAAACTCCGATCCTGGTGGGGTCAAGTCAAGTCTCTGCTCACTCACTCGCCTCTGCGCTCAGTCGCTCAGTCGCCCGCTCGTTGTCCTCCTCCGACCTTCTCCCATCTTCCTACCTTCACTCTTCCCTCTCTCCTCGACCAGCGCAATTGAAGTCCGACAACAACAAAAACATATTATCTTCGGGTATTTGTTCAATTGCTCTTCGCGCCTCTGCCTCGTCGCTCTTTAGCTGCGCCTCCTACAATTCACCTGCGCGGTCCCGGCCCTCTTCTCCCTCCAGCTGTGCAGACCGACGTCCTCCTGTCCAGCCCATCCTCACCTCCACCCTCCCCCCCCCCCCTCCCCCCCCACTCCCCTCCCCCATCCCTATCGCGACGCGGAAGCTAAGGGAAGACGTGCATTGCTGCTCACAACTGCAGCTATCCGCAGCCCCTCGCGCCCGTCGGAGCTTTGCTTGCCAGCATCTGAGCCCCGGATCCGCAGACAGCGGCAGATTGAGACATTCCAGAACCTTTATCCAGCTTCTTTTCCCGTCACAGCTTCCGCCCGGCTTCTAGAACTGAACAAAGTTTCTCGATTCCCGCGCCGCAGCTTCGCTCACCTTTCCGGACTCCAGCCTTGTTACCCGGGCTCCTGGCTTACCGGCTGCTTGTCGATCGCCTGCCTCGACATTGGCACTCTTCTATTGCTTCATATGCCGACATTAGGGTTCTTGAAGAAGAAGCGGACGAGGGATTCGTCAGGTCAGAATAACCTAGCCTCTCCGACTTCGAGCCAGCCGACCAGTCCAGTCACCCCCACCAGCTCCCGACCATTCGACAACTCCATAGCCTCCATAGCCTCCATAGCCTCAATAGCCTCTATCTCTTCGCAACCCTCCACTCCGCCAGCCCAGAGCGTGTCTCAACCCACCGCCCCCAAGCAAGAAGGTCCTACGGCTGTGGGCGAACAACAATCAATGACGCAAGGTGTCTCCCACCAGCAGCAGCAGGGCTACGGAACCTATTCCCAGCCTGCCCCTTCTCTTGGCCAGCAGAACCTCCCCTCGATCAGCACCCTAATTCACCCTCCCCAGAACGATGGTAGCGCACAATCGAAAGCAAATGTGGGTCAAGGGGAGCCAGAGAACGGAACCGAAATGCAATCCGATGCAGCGCAACAATTGCCTCAAGCGCAAGTTGTCGAGCAACCGGTCCAGATCAGACAGACCAAAGGCAAATATTCCTTGACAGACTTTGATATATTACGGACATTGGGTACGGGGAGTTTTGGAAGAGTACACTTGGTCCAATCGAAGCACAACCAGCGGTTTTATGCCGTCAAGGTGCTGAAAAAGCAGCAGGTGGTCAAGATGAAGCAGGTTGAGCACACGAATGACGAGCGGAAAATGTTGCAAGAAGTCAAGCATCCCTTCTTGATTACTCTCTGGGGAACATTTCAAGACTCCAAGAACCTGTACATGGTCATGGATTTCGTTGAAGGTGGAGAGCTGTTTTCTTTGCTGAGAAAGTCGCAAGTAAGAGGATTTAAAGTCGCTGCCGAGGCCAATGCTGATATCTGTTCAGCGATTTCCCAACCCTGTAGCGAAGTTTTACGCGGCCGAGGTCACACTGGCACTCGAATACCTGCATGGGAAAGATATCATCTACAGGGATCTGAAGCCCGAGAACTTGCTGCTCGATAGGCATGGGCATCTCAAAATCACTGACTTCGGGTTCGCCAAAAAGGTACCAGATATCACGTGGACTTTGTGCGGAACCCCAGACTATTTGGCTCCAGAGGTCGTATCCAGCAAAGGCTACAACAAGTCTGTAGATTGGTCAGTCGCCTGAATAGTGCTAGTGTGATGTCAATTTTAACTGATTTACAGGTGGTCGCTTGGCATATTGATATTCGAAATGCTGTGTGGCTTCACCCCTTTTTGGGATGGAGGTTCCCCAATGAAGATTTACGAGAACATTCTCAAGGGCCGCGTCAAGTATCCTCCATACATCCACCCGGACGCTCAGGACCTGCTGCAACGCCTGATCACAGCCGATCTCACCAAACGCCTCGGGAATACCCACGGTGGAGCAGAAGGCGTAAAGAACCACCAATGGTTCGCTGAAGTCACTTGGGAGAGACTGGCAAAGAAAGACATCGATGCTCCCTACGTCCCACCGGTCAAGGCTGGCGTGGGTGATGCAAGTCAGTTCGACAAGTACCCCGAGGAGACAGAGCAGTATGGCCAGCTAGGTCACGATGAGTAAGCAATCTCAACCCTCTCTTCCGATGCCATATCACTAACAAATCCTCCAGACACGGAAAGCTGTTCCGCGACTTTTGAGCCCGAACCTTCTCCTGCCGCAGACTGGATGCGTTGTTGACAAAACACTCTCTTTCACCGTCCGTAGATGCACTATCTCTGCACATCTGCACATATACTCGTAGAAGGCAAAGTTTTCCCTTGGTTTCACGAACATTCATGGGCGGCGGCGAAACTGATGGTGTTGGGCGGTTTTACTCCGCGCTGGGTTGGAATGTGTTGGGCTGGCCTGCTTGCTTGCCTGCTTGCCTGCCTGCCTGCCTGCTTGCTTGCGATTGTGCATTTGGTTGATGCCTGGATGTGAGATGGAGTGTGAGGGATTGGCAATGAGGGTTTGAAGCACTACGCCATGCATGGGATAATCGCACGATAGATAGATTGTCCAGCACAGGCTGAGACCAATGAAGTTGTCGAATGCAGGGCGCATGATATCACATTCATCCCTCTTGACAGGCAGACTGGTCGGGTGGCGCCAGTGCTGTGGCCCGCGAGTGCAATGGGCGGACAAGTGCACATATACCTGTCCATATCCACATCTGCTATCCAACGTACCGATCTATTATAGAAGCCCTCCTTTTCAGCACCAACTTCTTTCTTCCCCAGCCTTGTCTGAAGTTGCTCGCGCGAGGGAAGTTTCTGGCGGCAGTTAGTTACACCATTACACCCTATCTATCGTACACCACTAGGTATACCATTATCACCGCCATTCTCTAAAATCCGATTCGATCAAATCAGATCCGATCAAAACCAAAGCTAAAGCCATCCTCCCCCCACCTTTCTCTTTCCCTTTCTTTTCAGATCTACTTCCTCTCCCTCCTTTCATCAAACGAACCAAGACAGAGGATCGATTCCACGAACCCCTTCCTCACGTGCGCAGTACGCAAAAGCAGGAAGAGGACTACTGATGCGCCGATGCGCTGACCAATGATTGATTACCTAGGCGAGCGAAGCTCTCGATCAAATCAAATCAAATCAGAACAATCAAATACCGTAAATGGAGCAGGTACGGTACGGACGGAACACGGCGGTCCAGTACCTATCGTACCCCCTGCCCCCTCCCCTCCCCCCCAGCCACTACCCCGGCACGGTATTCCTTTCCTAACCTAGGTAAACTAACTACCTAGGTAACTAACTAACTAACTAACTAACAGAGCAACAACAACAACAACAACCCGCCTGAAAAACCTCAAGCACGGAACCTCTGCACTGTAAGTGGGTAGGTAAGTAAGTAAGTAAGTACAGTAGAATCTCACAAAAAGGGCTCGCTCACACTCACGCTCACGCTCACGCTCACTCTGCAAGTAAGTAAGTAAGTAAGTACCAGACGACGTACTGCACAGATCAATCGGATCTAGATAGAATCACACACACACACACACACACACATATGTATGTGAAGATCAGAAGAAAGCGGAAGCGAGCGATTCATATCTCGTACATGGTCTATCTATCTATCTATCTATCTATCTATTTTTCTAGAATTTTTCTAGATACCTTCCGCATCGAGACGGTACAGCTAGGTAGCTGGGCGACGAGCTCGGCTTGCTTGTATCGATTGACGCTGGGAGATGCACATTCCTCTTGCGCGGTTTAAACTTTTTTTTTTTTTTTTTTTTGCCCCACGCGTCTTTCTTTGAGTGCTGGCTGGGCGGGAGGGACGGAGGGGTGTTGGTTGTTGTTGGCTTGCTTGCTCTGTTGGGTTAAAGGTGGTGGTGGAGGTGGTGGTGGCTGTGGAGTGGGAGGTGGGGGGTGGGATGCGGAAGTAACTGTAACTGCTGTATTGTACTGTGGGTAGGTAGGTACCTCCGTAGGTATCTCCGTAGGCGGGCAGGCAGGCGTCTCGCTTAAACTAGCCTCTTTGCCCTTCCAAAAAAATAAATAAAATAAAATAGAATAAACAGGAAAAAAGTAAAGAAAGGGACGGGTTGGAGGAGAGAGAGAGGCCAGGAAAAACAAACATGGCATGGAAGCGCAGAGCAGAATCTCCTGTGGGCCGGGGATGGACAGGGCTGAACTAACTGATCATTCACGATCTAAAGGACCGACTACCGGTAGGTTTGATCCTTGAGCAGTTTGGTTAGGCAGGCACGGCGCGGTGATTAGCGAGGGGTGAGTGGTCATAAAAGTTCATCTTCGTTTTGATGCTTGCGTTGAGGCAGCATCGAGCCGGCATCGAGGTTTACAAAAAGGTCGTCGTAACTACTACTCTGTAGAAAGGATGGATGGGTTTATCTGTCTAGTATTCGTCGTCGTCTCTCCTGCCAGCAGCAGCGTCCCGCTTGGCAGCTCCCTTCTCCTGCAGACCCTCGTTCATGAACATGTCGCCGACCTTCTCCATCAGCTTGCCGGCCATGGAGTCACCTCCTTCTCCTCCGCTGCTGCTGCTGCTGTTCTTGTTGTTACCCGAGCCGTACGAGTCGTTTTTCGAGCTTCCATAGTTGTCGGAGCTCGAGGCTTGGTTGCCGTAAGTCTGCAGCACATGGTTAGCGAATCGTTCCCCTGGAGAGAGGCTGCTTTCATGTCTCGGGAGAGGTGTTTGAGACCTGCCGCGTGCGGCGGCGAGCGGTGGATATTATACTTACGTTGCTGCTGTCGTCGGTTGATGGGTTGCCTCCGTAGCCTGAGGATGACTTGTTGCCGTAAGTCTAGATATGGTCAGCTTTGGGCCCGTTGGCAAAGGGGCGACTCGAGTAAGTTTATACATACGTTGGAATCATCATCATTGGATGAGTGGCCATATGTGGATGACTTGTTCGCCCCGTAAGTCTGTAGAGTGTCAGCGTATAAGTTCTTCAACACAGAGCGGTAGGGTTATACATACGCTGGAGCTATCACCAGATCCGCCGTATCCCCCCGATGAAGTAGTAGTGGTTCCCCGTCCAGACGACCCATGCGTGTTTGACGAATCATTGCCGTAGCTAGAATCCCCACCCCGACCCGAGGAAGTTTGAAAGTCGCTGGGCGAGTCGTCGCTCTGCCCAAAACCGCTACCGCTACCGCCAGCTCTGCCCGAGGATTCTAGCAAATCGTCATTCCCACCCCGACCTCCCCGAGTCGAAGACGAGAATTCCGAGGAGTCATTTCCGTAGGCAGAACTTCCGCCTCGGTCTCCCTGATAATCGGATGCGTCGTTGCCTCCGAGCCCACTCCCGCCTGTGCGGGTGCCAGATTGGAAATCAGAAGAATCTCCTCTACGGCCAGACGAACCGCCGAATGAATCGGATGTTGCGTTTTCGGACTGCGGCTATCTATCAGTAGTGTCTAAGATAGCTGCTGGCTTTATAACCCTGTCGAAGAAGAACAGATACAGCAGCAAATAAAGAAGCACTTACAGAGTAGTTGTCACGTCCTCCCTGACGTCCAGAAGACTTAAGATACTATCAGCATGCACAATCCTACAAGACTGTTGCTGTACAGCACGGCGTGGCCGGCGTGTATATGGGCAGAATTCACGTACGCCGTAGCTGGAATCTTCGTTCCCCGATGAGCCGTACTGGTTCTTGTCCTCTCGGTTGGTAGACTGAGATTAGCAGGCGAGTCAGCTGAGAGATCCGGATATGAGATGCTGTACTCGATAGACACGTACACCATAAGAATCGGTGTTTCCACTTGCGTACTCGGAGTTGTTGTTGTCGTTGTCGTAGGTAGACATGATAAAGGGTTAGTCTTCGAGTGAAAGGCTGAATCTTTTTGATTGATTGAGTGTATGCGAATTGAAGAAGTAGTTTGAATTGGTTGAATGTTGATAAGGCGGAATGAAAACAAGGAGGGGAGGAAAGCTACCTTAAAGGCAGGTAAGGGGTTATCTAAACCGTCAGCTGACAATCTGATGACGGTCTCTTCAAAAGACGATTCCAAAAGGTTACTACCCCCTCCCATGGATAAATGTCGAAAGTATAATTTCGCAAGGGATCTTACCAAGGCTTAAACCAATCAACTTACGTAGTAGTATAAAGATTCAGCTTTGAAAAGTATCTTTAAGCTAGTATTTAGTCTATATAGTGGAGTCGACAGGGCTTTAAGCCATTAAGAAACCACCGCTCTATCATTTATGGGCCTAAACTGGGTCCGACATTTATTCATGGGGGGTAGTACTCTCCCCCCCCCATGAATAAATGTCGAAAGTATACCTTAAAAGAGAATGCAGGAGCATTTAAACGGTCAGCTGATCGTTTGATAACCATCTCTTTTAGGGACGATTTTAATAAGTTAGCATAGCTGGTAGATCACCTTAAGCCGATACTTAAGATTAAATAGAATTTGAAAACAAACGATTTAAATTATCTAAATCGTAGCTAATATGGAACTATTTTATTCGATTAAATCGTCTTTTTCAAATACTCATTTTTTCGTATATAATATCTTAGGACCGTTTCGAGCGTTTTAAGACCGTTTTATAGCCGTCCTATGGCCGTCCCATGGCCGTTCTATGGCCGTCCCTGAACTTAAGACCGTCCTTGAGAACGTGAAATAGTAAGCAAACAATATTTCTATTGCTTGCTAGTCTACCTGTTACTGCTTGCCTACACTATCCTTTATACAACCCCATTGTGGAGGCGAAAGAAGGGCATCATTCGCGCTGGTGAACTTTTGCTGAATCGATCGATTCCGTTTATAAAAAAATTAAAGCGTTGATATACAAGCCGCGGTAGCGATACCGAGAAATATCTTGGCATCGAATTTATTAAATAATTATTGTAACGATTTTATTTAAGAAATTATTTTTATTTATAATTATATCTTTTTTGAAATAATTATCGAACTATTTCAATTTTTTAAAACGAGCTTATTAGTAAGCCTGTTTTAAAAATATAAACGGGGACGGCCATAGGATGGCCATAGGACGGTCCCGAGCTCGAGGACGGTCAAAAAAGTGAATTATTTTTGATTTGTAATTAGTGCTGATTTTAAACGGTTTAATAACCGTCTTTTATAAAAGGGGGTCAAAGGACCGCTCAAATGACCCCCTACCTGCCTTTAAGGTATATACCGGTATGTAGGTAGGTAGCTCGCTAGCTATTCTACCATATATCACTCCTCTAATCGGTTCCACTTCGAAATTCCCGACTCCTACCATCTGCCAACATCTCAAGCCTAGTGCGTCACTGTGAACCCTCCCCCGCTTTAGACTTTCTTTCAATTGGATGCGAATGGGACACATCAGCACGATCACGGGCCGTTCTGACCAGAAACCAGTCAGTGGCAGGCTGCCCTCCACCCCTGACTGGATCGAGCCGTGCCCACGTGGTTGATTCCGGACTGCCTGCCATACGACGGACTTTGATCGGCGAACTCGGCAGGGTCCATGTGGATGCTGCATCGATCCAATCATTGCTTCCAGAGTCCAGATCTACCTACCCCAAGTTGAAGCTTGTCTCCTGCAGACTGCAATGCAGCAGCTACTGTATCAATTGAAATCGGTTTTTGATATCTCGAATTTTACAAGTCGGTTGGCATTCGGCATCCTGGCTGGATAGAGAAGAAAGAGTCGCTCGGAGCTCAAAAGGAAAAGCTGCCGAGCCCCGTTCTCCACAAAACCGAAACCATGCCCAACTCCAAACGCCCCCGCAAGTGTGGAAGTGTAACAGCCTCGTCATCTCACATACTTACTAGACGTTGTAGATCAGCCGCCGTTGCCCGCACCAAAAAGCTTGATTTGACTCACCTCATAAAGCGTTTGTGAAAGTCCGATCGAAGAAGATCCTAGTCGGCATCAGCAAGGGTCGCACTCCACGGATCAATTCTGCATGAAGACTGACGTTGACGAATTCCTTCTTCTTGCCTCGATCTTCTGTTCCACGAGCTTGGTTCTTGAAGACCACGTCGTCATCCCATCTGGAATCTGTCAGTATCGGGAGTGGTTTGTCCGTGACCGGAATTTCCTGACCTGCGCTTGACGTTGAAGTCTGATTTGTTGAGTAAGGGATTCCCAAGTGCAATATCATGTTCTCGGGAAGCTTCTTCCGCCGCGGCTTTCTCTCGTTCCTGCAGGTTCTTGTCAGTTACGGAGCACGCAAAACATGTGATGGCTGGAAAGCTTTTCTGGGAAACATACCTCTTGCTCCCTCTTCTCAGCTCTCTCGCGCTTGATCTTCTCCAATTCTCTCTGTAGCTCTGCAGTTTCATCTTCGTCGTCACTGTAGCCCGTTAGTCTGTATCCCTAACACACACTGCCAAACATCCAGTTTCGAGCAATCCATCCACGGGGTCTAGCAAGAGCACGACAGCGGTGTCAAGCCCGTCTTGAGAGAGACCCAGGCACAGCACACCGCCACGAAAAGCTGTTTCCCACCCAAGTTGCCTTCCGGAGAAGCCGTGAAGTAAAGAAACACATTGATCCCCTCGCCCAGGAGTATCCTCTCTCTGCAAAGAAGAGGCTCAACAAGAGAAACCTGAAAGCCTACCTGTCATCCTCGCTACTATCCTCCTCGTCTTCTTCCTCACTATCCGCATCGATATCCCTCGTCTCCTCCAAAACCCTCCTCCTCTTCGCCTCGGGATCCTCTTCTCCCTCGCCCCCCTCCAGCATTCTCTTCACACCACCCACATCCTCAGTCCCGGCCTTCTCCTCAATCACAGCCGGCGCGGGACCCCCCTTAACTTTCGCAAAATGCGCCGCCTCGGCCTGCAGCAATTCAGCCCTCAAATCCCTCACCACCACATTTTTGTCTGCGTCCCCTCCCTGGCCCGGCTGTCGAACTTTGAGCTGCGTGTGAGCAGGCAGCAGACGTTGATGGTAGGCGGGTCCGCGCTGCGCGTCTTTGCCGCGGGCTGGGTCGAAGGTGGGTCTGTGTGCTGTTCATCATATCATCAGTACAGATCCAAGGAATCAAAGAGCACGACGATGGCATACCGGTCGTCATGGTCTTTTAGATATGTGAGGATGTTGTGTTCTGATAGTGTTGTATTTGACTATGCCCAGTCGTGAGCAGCAGCCAGAAACCCCAAGATATGCGGCAGCTTCCGCACGCTAGTCTCACCGCCTCCTGTTCCTAGCGGCGACCGCCCAATGGTTATGGCAAAATTGAATTTCTTCAACTTCATTCAGCTTGCGATCCTACCTCTGTAGTGAACAATAATTCTCTCTCCACCATACCAGATCTACAATGCCGCGCGAAGTAGAGCCCTCGCTCAACGAGCGCCAGTTCTTCGCCAAAGCACTCCATGAGAATATACGGCTCGATGGCCGGGCATTCGACCAGTATCGAGCTGTAGAGCTGGAATTCGGGGAGGAGTTAGGCGTGGTGGATTTGAGTCTGGGGAAGACGAGGTATGTATGTTTTACCTACTACTCTGGAAGATCCATGCGATCTCAAACCTACATCTAAGTGTATTCCCATCTACCCACCCCTTTTCATCGGCCCTCTCTGCTCATCTTCTACCTTACACAATTTCTACCCCTCCTCAACAACCCCTCGCTAATCCCCCATTTTCCCCCCGGCCCAGAATACACACCCACATCTCCGCGACCATCACCCCGCCGCTGCCCACGCACCCGACAGACGGCCTCTTCACCATCACCACCGAGCTCTCCCCCATGCTCTCCCCCTCCATCGAATCCTCCTCGCGCCCCTCCGTCAACGAAACCTTGCTCTCGCGGCTCCTCGAGAAGACCATCCGCCGCTCCAGCGCCCTCGACACCGAGTCCCTGTGCTTGATCGCCGGATCGAAGGTCTGGCATATACGCGCCGATGTGCATGTGCTGAGCCATGATGGGAATCTGGTCGATGCGGCTTGCCTGGGCGTTATCGCGGCGCTGCAGCATTTCAGAAAGCCGGACGTCGAGACGAAGGGGGAGGAGGTGATCGTTTATTCGACGAGGGAGAGGGAGCCTGTAAAGCTTTCGCTATTGCATTTCCCGTTATGCGTAACGTTCAGCTTTTATGGCGAGGGCATCTTGGGCAAGGACGGGGAAGGCGAGAAAGAGAAAGTGCTGCTCGATGCTGGCTTGTTGGAAGAGCAGCTGAGGGAGGGTAGTGTGACGGTGGGCATGAATCGGCACGGGGAGGTGTGTCAGATTGCTAAGCTGGGAGGTGTACCTGTGCATGCATTGACGGTGCTGAGGTGTGTGGAGGTTGCAGGCCTGAAAGTGAAGGAGATGAGCAGCTTCATTGCGAGAAGGTTGCAGGAAGATGCGAAGAGGAGAGATAAGGGAGGTATGGAGAAAGAGCTGAGGGCGGAGAATGATCGGGTGTCATAAATAATGATTGATATAACTAAAGAGGTGGCCAATCATTTTCTATGTAAGTGATATATATCCAAGGGGAGCTAATTATGCTTTCATGGCGCTGGGGCTGACGGAACCATATTTGGCTTGCCAGGCAAAGAAATAGAGGAGCGCTGCTAAAGGCTGCCCGATGAGCGTGAAAGAGACCCAGAAAATACAATTGCCAATGATCCGTCCGTTGATGCCCTTCATCTTCTCCAGCGGTGCGGTGATGGCAATAAGCGGCAATTGGGCCATCATACCAATGAATGCAACACCTGCTGAACCGTTAGCGGGGATCTTTACCTGGAAATACCAAAGGACCCACCAATTATATTGTGCGTCGGAATCCCAACAAGTAATTCGTGCAGCACCGCCGAGAACAAAAACACAGCAAAACTCGCCGAGCCCGTAGTCCATCCCCTGCCAATCAATGGCGAGAAGACATGCCGCTTCATGAACTGGTACACAGGCTTATTCCACGTCCGCCAGTACACACCTACACTCGGGCTATTCCACCAATCCATATAGAACTCTCTATCCCCAAATTTCATCACTTCGGCCAAGGCGTTGAGGAAGGATTGGAAGAGCGCGAAGAAGCCGGCGAGCCAGATCACGAGACTGATGGTAGAGAGCTTCATAAGGCGCTCGAGGATGGAAACAAGGTTTAGATTGGCGATTTCCTCGAGGGAATTTCGCAGGACGGGAGCGGCGTATTGGGCAGACGCTATCCACATGAATGCGTTGAGGCCGAATACTTCGGCCATGCGTTTGCCCACGAAGACCCAGCGGATTCTCTTTGTACGCGGATATACTGGCTGGTAGACTAGAGTTGGCGCCCACCAGAAATAGGTGAGGTTACTCAGGGTGATATTGAGGGGGTATGGACAGCCATTGTATATTTCTGGAAGAGCATCTTCTTCTCGTTTCGAGGGGTGCAGATATGCGTGTCGGAGATCTCGATTGGTGAAAGCGTAGGAAGCCGTTTTTAGCCATACGATAATGGCGTGGACTTCGCTCAATGTCCCGATCAAGGGATGATGGATGAAGAAGTAGACGATGACGGAGGTTATGAGGAGGCAGAGGGAGGCATTGATTCCATGGATCCATGCAATCATCTTCCAGGTCGATTGGAACTTCAGCCTCTCCTCGTCTGATGCAACATAGCTTCCTCCAGGTGTAGCGGTCCCAGGCCTCTTCTTTCCCCCTTGAAGCGATCTTCTAGCTTGTTGGGCCGCAACCAATTCGACGACGTAAGCGAGAAAGAGATGGCATGGGATTATGAAGAATAATGCAGCTCCAAGAATCAGGTCTTGTCGTCTGTAATCGTGGCATTGTATACATATCAAGACTCCGTACTACATCCCATCAGCTCCACTCCCCTGTAACCTCGGGCAGCACGTACCTTCTTGAAGTTCTCAATCATCAAGCGTAGATTCCCAACAACTAATTGTATATCAGCTTCTTATCCAAGCTCACGCTGGGGGCAGACGGCTGACTGAGGACAATAACCATTAAGTTCCTAAACCCCAAGAAACTGGGAGTAGCTTCGGAATCGTGGCTGAGACATGAGGTTCTCGGAATTGAATGTGCAGCTGCGACATGTCTGTATTTCTTCTTCAATCGAACTGGCGCCAGCGGTGCGAGGGGTTGCGGCGCGGAGGATCTCTTGAACTTGGCATGTGCATGTCGATTAACAGGTGCCAACGCTTGAACCTCCGCGCCGGTCGCCGTGCGGATAGAGGTTGCCATTGTTAACCTACAGAATGAATAATTAATTAATGGGAAGAAGGACGTGAATAATAATAAAGAAGAGGAAGCGGATGAAGAAGAAGAAGGGGAAGCTGGCGGCAAAGATTCTTGCGCATGAGAATGTTGGGATAAGTTTAGGGATCCTTGAATAGATGCGAGCACCCAAAAAGCGGGACGGGACCTGGCGGGGGCGAATGCATGCCAGCCAGAAGGATGATGAAACGCTTTTGATTAGGGGCTTGGTTGGAACGGTTAGGTAAGGTAGGTCGGTAGGTAGATAGATAGATAGGTAGGTAGATAGGTAGATAGGTATAGGTAGATGTAAGTAGGTAGGTAGGTCGGTACCTTGACTCGGACAGCAGACGGGAGAGAAGGAAGGGAAGTGAATAGATCAAGAGACTTGATAGAAAGGAAAATAAAGAATACTCGCAATTGCATCGACGACGAAGAGCATCCAGTTGCATTTGGCATCAAAAATGTTGATGTTGAAAAGCAAGAGACCGTTCGTCACGTTACTCCGGGACAAATCCCAAATCCCGAATCCCAGATCCAAGAGTGGATCGTCCCGGGCTAGGCTAGGCAAAACAATATTCCGGAAGGTGGAAAGCGACCCACATTTGAATATCAGGAGCGTGACGCGGAGCAAAGAGCAAAGAGCAGAGAGCAAAGAAGAGCGCAACTGACTTCCAAGGACCACCACTCACCCTTCGCGACAGCACATCCCGTGTGACTTGCTCAAGACCAAGTCGTACACACTCTCTCACAACTACTCACGATACCGCGCTGGTCACCTCATCTCGAACAAGAGCCTCATCTAACTGTGAGCAAGCACCGAGAATGACACGGTAGTGAGCATGGCATACGAACCACGCGGCGAGCGCGACTTTGGAGGCCAAGGAGGCGGCGGTGGAGGAGCAGGAGCTGGAGCAGGAGCTGGAGCTGGAGCAGGTAGCGGCTATGAGGGAGTGTTTATTCGGGGAAGAGGCAGAAGTAAGTTGGACTGGTGATGGAGGACTTCGGTTTGGGCGCGCAAGGGTGATGACTTGAGTTTGGGTGCCAAGGACATGAAATTCTAAAGCTGCCTCAGAGACGATCGATCAGCCGAGTTGCTCGAATTCCTATCCCAGGGGATTTCTTGATGCTTCTGATTCCACATCTTGGGCCCGACCAATCCGGTTGCGCTTTCACGTGATCTCAACGATATCAAGATATAAGCCTCCTTCTATAGCCATTCATTCGCAACAGTCAGTATGCAACGGAGAATATTGCTAATATCGTTCGTCAAGGACCTATCACTGATTATGGCTCTACTATGGTGCACTGGATGCGGAATCGGCAACCGAGATTCAAGGGCGGATACCAAGGAGAGATGGAGAGACCGAGTGCCAGTTATATCATTGATGTAGGTCCCCTTCCCCCAGATCAGATATCAGACACCCCACTCACTATGCTAGATGATACCACCGCTGGCGAGAGTGAACGAACCAGCTGATTCTATACCCGCCCGTCATCTCCATACCTCACTGAACAAGAACAAACACCCGGTCAATGTCGTCCGCTGGACACCAGAAGGCCGGAGACTACTGACCGGATCCAGCAGTGGCGAATTCACGTTGTGGAATGGAACCGGTTTCAACTTCGAGACTATCATGCAAGCACATGATGTAGCCATCCGAGCCCTGTGTTATTCTCACAACAACGACTGGCTGATATCAGCCGACCACGACGGAGTGATCAAGTACTGGCAGCCGAATTTCAACAACGTCAAAGTCATTCAGGGGCATGTCGATGCGATCCGAGATATGGCTTTCAGTCCCAATGACTCGAAATTCGTTACTGCTGCCGACGATTCGAGCTTGAAGATCTTCGACTTTGCCCTGGGGACAGAGGAAGCACTCCTCGCTGGTAGTGGCAACGGTGGGCATGGCTGGGACGTAAAGAGCGTGGACTGGCACCCTACCAAAGGTTTACTGGTTTCGGGATCAAAAGACCATCTGATGAAGCTTTGGGATCCTCGTACTAGCCGGTGCCTAACCACGCTCCACGGCCACAAGAACACTATCACCAAAACGCTCTTCGAGAGCGTCCGCGGCAACTGCGTGGCGTCCTCCGCCCGTGACCAAACAGCCCGCATCTTTGACCTGCGCATGATGCGCGATATCCTCCTCTTGAAAGGCCACGAGAAGGAAATAACCACCCTAACATGGCACCCTATCCATTCAAACATGCTCTCCACAGGCGGTGGTGACGGCACCATCTTCCACTACCTCCTCGATGAGCCCAACACGCCGTCTGACACCGTACCCACCCTCGCACCCTGGGACGCGGCAAATCCTTCGACAGCAGTAGCCCAAACCATCTTCGCTGCGCACAAAATCGGCCACGCCCACGAATACCCCATCTGGTCCATGGACTGGCATCCCGTCGGCCACTTGCTCGCAACAGGCTCCAACGACCGCACCACGAAATTCTGGACCCGTGCTCGCCCTGGAGATACCGATATTTCCAATGACAGACACCACATTGGCGAGTCCGCCGCCGAGGCTCAAGGAACCTGGGACCGCCGCGGTGGTCGTCGCCAGCGCCAGGAAGAAGAAGAGCAGGAGATGTACGACGAAACAGACGGTCTCATCGACCAGAAAATGCCATCCAAACTTCCCCCGGGCATCCCCGGCCTGCCTCTGCCGGGACAGAATCAAATCATCCCAGGTATGGGCAATGCGCCACCGCCGTCTATGCATCATTTCCAGCCGCCTTCCCAGATCCCGTATGGAGGAGTGCCGCCCCTGCCTCCAAGACTCGATATGCAGAACCCACCTGATTTCGCAGCCATAGCGGAAATGATGCAGAAAGCCGGGATCCCACCGCCAGTCCATGGACAAGTGCCGCCTCCCCCTCCCCCGGGCATGATGATTCCAGGCATGCCGCCCCCGCCTGGGTTTCCCCTCCCTCATGGATTCGGGCCTCCGGGAATAGGACAGCAGCAGCAGTCGCAGCCACAGATACAGCCGCAGCCACCGTACCAGATTCCAGGCATGGGAGGGAACGGTGCTGGGTATCCCGAGGATAACGGTAGTAGGCAGGGGAGTGAGCAGGCGCAAGCTGGTGGTGCCGGATCGGTGAGGAGAAGGGGGCCGCTGCCGAGTCAGGAGGAGAGTTTGCAAATGGAGCAGAGGAGGGGCAAGTTCACTCGTGCTAGATAGTCTGTCAGTAGTCAGCCACCTGTGCACTGGCCATGCCGTGTGTATGAGATTTGTATAACAGAGTAGTGGGTGGGTGGCATTTGGCGTTAGCAGAAAGAAAAAAAAAAAGGAAGCTTACTGGCCAGGTTGACGATGCTGGGAGAGTTGTCACTTCTTCGCTTCGTTTCGCTTGTTTGATTGATCGAAACCATCGAGTGCGAGTCTCAGTGCAGGTCTCTGAATTTTTAATAGGTAAACGCTAGAGGCACGATTGTGGTATCGCATATTATGTATGCTAGTGGTGACAAGTACAGTAGACTACAGCCAATGCAATAAATGCCTGAAAGCAAACGCCCGGTATCATGCAGTGCAAATGCCCCTCTTCCTCTCTTTCATCTTTCTAATCACCAACTCTCACCAACTCAACATCGCCCAGGTGCTCATCTACCGAGACCTCACAAATCCTCCCAATCCATCTGAAAGAAGTTCACAGATTCGAAGTCACAGGCGCTGATAAATTCCTAGGACTGGTCCTCCTCTCCCCCTGCTGCTGCTGCTGCCCCTTCCCAAATGCTTTTTGCCGATCCGCGTACTCCTTGATAACTAACGCGCACACCGTATCAGCACACAGCCTCTTCCTTCTCGCCACAGGCAGCAGGCTCGCAAACTCCAGCCCGCTCGCCCTCTCGACGGCCTCGACCGGCACCTCGAAGTCCGTAATCGGCTTCTCGTTCGGGATCTTCGCATTCGGCAGCACGAAAGCGCCCACAGCCACCGGCCCCGTCGTGGTTCCGTCCTCCGCGAAGATGACCTTGTAGAAGTGCGTCGGCACGGCGATGTTGGGCGGGTTGCCGATGACCTCGTACGAGACGCGCCACTTCCCATCCGCCGGATCCCTCTTCGGGAGGTACAGCGGCCCCGTCACGATCCTGACGGACGGGTAGCGCGTCGTGAGCCGCCGGCAGAAATCCTCAAAGTGCGCCCAGTAGTCCCGGTTGAAGCCCTCGCCCACCTGCGGACACATGTTACTCAGGTAGAACGTGTCGTTCATCGCATCCTGGCTCCATTTTGCATCGGCGGCGGGCACCTGGTGGCCCCGGTCGTACCCGGAGCGGAAGTAGTCTTTGAGCTTGCCGCGGAACTTCTCTGGCACGGAGGGGTCTTCGAGGAAGACGGATTGCTTGCGGTCGCCCTCGGAGACCGCGAGGGAGGCGGGGGTTATGTGCTCGGCGACCCAGGAGGGATTACGAAGGCGTCGGTCGAAGGAGGAGACCAGGGCGTTACGGGTTGCGAGGTCGGCGACTGGGCCAGGGAAGCCGTATTGGAAGAGGCCTGCGGGATCGACGGGGGGAATCGCAGAGGACCGCGAGATAGGAATACTGCCTGGTGTAGGCACAGGTGCAGAGTTTGTATTCGAGGTGGTGGAAAGGGAGGTTGAGGATGCCACGGCTTGGAGCTTCTTCTCTGAGCGCGTTGAGTACATGGCTGCTGTTACGCCTGCTCCTGTTGCAGCGCTGACGGCAGCTATGATCGCGAGAGTGGTCTTTGACATCTTGGCGACGATGTGCGGCTGCGTTATTTATTTGCTTGCTGGGTGTCTTTGGGCGAAGGGTCACGGTAGAGACATCTAGGCGCGTGAGTGTTGATGTTGATTTCGATGATCAACCTCGGTCGGGTCAAGTCAAGTCAAGTCAAGTCACTTTTTCGAGAACCCCTGTGCTCGGGGAGCGCTAGCGATTCTACCGAAGGCTGGTCACAACATCAGAACAAATTATAAGAAATTTTTTTTTTAAAAAAAAATAACAAAAAATACCAAGTAGCTGAAGCATTCCAATGTGGATGTGCATCAACTTGTAATACCAGGCCGGACAAGGCTTTAATCAAACTTCGTCGCTTTCGTTTTTTCCCCCTTCTCACTTCTCACTGTCACTCTCGTTATCATTTCGCACGCATGTCCGTATGGATTGGGTGAGCACATGAGATGGAGATGTCGCTCTCTCCTCTGCTGATCACACGCTCGGGCATCACGACTACGTACCTCCCGCTCAGCACCGCCTACCCTTCTCAAGCAAGCTGCTCATCTCTCTTCATCAACTCGGCCGACCAGCTCTTCGCCTTCGATCCCAGCTACGGAGCCCAGAATTCCGGTCCAGCATGTTTACCACCCGAAGCGACCAGATGGTGGGAGCAAGACACCGACCCAGGCTTGACGACGAGCACAGCGATAGGTGGGTACAAGATGGTGTGTCCACAAGCCTACAAGACCGTAGCCATGAGCGTGCTGGATGAGAGTAGCACGAGGGTCGGATGTTGTCCTTCGTAAGTACCCTCGCCTCCGTTCACTTTCCCTTTCGCTTTCACTTTCGCTTTCACTTTCGCTTTCACTTTCGCTTTCACTTTCGCTTTCACTTCCTACTTTCCACTCTCACATCGGATCCAACACTCACTCACGATTCTGTAGTGCATACAACTTCATAGACTGGAGCGAAGCACCAAGTCCCTTCCAGTGCAATTCTCCGCTCTCAACTCAGGTGGTCACGTACATGCAAACAGATGCATCCGGCACGTGGACGACGACCAGCTCTTCGGTATCGGCTGAGACTTCCGTGTGGGGGATCCAGGTGAACGGGATCTTATTCGCCAGGCCTACGCCTACCGCTACCTCTTCCGTCACTTTGAGTACCTCATTATCTAGTACGGATATTGCCCAGTCAAGCAGTGGAGGATCTGGATTGGAGAAAGGTGCCAAGATCGGCATTGGTATTGGAGCTGCAACGGCGTTCTTGTTGCTCGGGGCGCTTTTCGTTGTGGGAATGGTGTTCTGGAGGAAGAGGAAGGGAAAGACGGAGAAGTCAGGCGGCCAGAATGTTGTTGGGGCCGAAGGTCGTGGGAAGGAGAAGAAGGCGGATCATTGCGTGAAGGTAGAGACAACAGCGGATTCGACACGGCACGTCGGGATGGGATAGCTAGTACCACGAAATTGCCAACACAGCAAATGCAATTCATCAGGAGTTATGTTTGACCTTGAGACCTCATGTCGAGCGAGTGATGCAAAATAGCTCCCGTAGAGAGGACATTCATTTCCTTATGCAACAACATGACACTCAGCCCCCTTCTACGTATGTCCCAAATATTCTAGGACAAAGGTGCCATGTGCAACAAAACGTGTCGGGTAACGGATTATTCCAACCCAACGTTCCTCAGTCCATAAGGTATTTCCGACGCAAAGAGAGTGTCGTCTCGAGAATACTGGGTAATCGGACTATTACTCTGTGCGACACTCTGGAACTTTGAAACTGCGGGCATTTTTGCAGACCACATGTACCATTACCTACACCTAGGTAAGTAAGCCGCCAAAAAGCGGCAGTTGCGATACCACCGGCACTCAAAGTACTCGCAAAAGTTGAGGTGGCATGGGTAAATGAAATGGCTTGTGGACTATGAATACTTTATCTGAGCGAGTGGTCCGAGTTGCGAGGCGGCAGAGGACCGTCCATATCGAGTACCTATATATATACCTCGAAATTCCACAGACGAACAAATTCTATTGACCGATTGAGCGCAAGGTGAGGTAGCCTGTGTATTGTTACTTCTTCGAGATGGTCCGGTCGTGGACTGGGGATGTACCTAATAGTTGCAGAGGATGGTTAATAAAGTTCTCGAGAAAGAGAGCGCAGCGCAGCGTAGTGAGGGCCTGGTACAATGCCCAGATATCTTCGATGATATTTCGTTCGTATATGGAAGGGGAAAAAGCAAGCATCGATTCTCATATCCATCGAATTCTACAATCAAGTACATAGACCGATAGCAAAACTCCTTAACAAATCCAGATTACATACAATTGTTGCTCTCCAAATCAAACGTCCGATACGGTGTATGGAGGCATGGTCACGTGTAAAAGCTACGGCAAGCTCAAGCTCAAGCCCGACCTAGTCTGGAGCCGTCAAAATCCCACTATTGAGAATTTAAATCGATAGTTCGACTCGAAGTCATCAATCAACAGAAACCTGGCACGTAAGTAGACACATCTACCTCATCTGGGTTCGTCACTAACATTCCACAGTTTGGCGGAGTGGTTAACGCGATGGCCTGCTAAATTAGCTGACAGCCATTTCCTTCGGGAGCGAGTGTTCGAATCACTCAGGTGTCGCGAGAAATGAGTTTTTTGTTTTTTGGGGGGATTTTAATCCTTCGGAGGTGCCAACAAACATGTTTGCGCCGGAGGGCAGTTAATTCCCTAATCCATTTCTACCTCCTCAGTCTCACTACCCAGGCTGGAGTAGTGTGTCGCTCACTTTTTGCAATGGTCAATTCATTTCCACGATTTTTTATTCATTTATTTGACATACTGGTTTTCTCAGCTGCTTCATAAATATATGTATCTAACCGACCCCATTATCTTGATAGCCAAATATTAAGATTCCGCCTTTTGAAATGGCTAGTGACCCACTGACTCTTGCTTTGGATTATTTTCACAGACAAGGGGACAGAGCTGGCAGCACGAGTAGATCGCTTTCAAGAAAAGCGCTAGTCACGCGACTTTATATGAATGTGTAAACTATTCTCAACAACTGTTCTCTCGTGCAAGTAAGTCACGTGCTATACCTGTCAAGCCTGATCGCCTCAGCCATATAGGGATTTCAGATCCCTCCGATATGACTATTTACTAACCCTAGATACTCAAGAGCCTAGTATCCATTCCCGTCTCCTCTCAGGACATCCACAGTATCCGTCATTCCATACAGGATACCCTCCGAATATTCCCCTTCCAGGACGGGCCAGTCCCTGTCCTGGATGAAGGACTGGATCTTTTGCACGCTGGCCATGAATCTCTCCTTCGTCGCTTCGAAATCAACGAGCAGCTTGCCGTCCCGCTTCTTGAACTTCCCGTCGACGATGACGTGCTCAATGTCACCCACGTTCGAGTGCAGGATGAGGGCGCCGACGGGGTCCTTCCATCCGAGCATGTTGGGGGACTCCCCGTCGATGACCACGATGTCGGCTTTCGCGCCGGGCGCGATGATGCCGATATCTTCCCGTCGCAGCGATCTTGCGCCGTTGTAGGTGGCGAGGATGAAGGCTTGGTTGTGGCTCATCGGGTTGTTGAGTGGTGCCTTGAAGGCTTCGAGGGATTTGCGGTACAGGCGAAGGCGGGTTGCTTGCAGCCAGAGTCGAGCTTGGGTGATGATGTCCGAAGAGAAGGTGAAATGGGTGTCCACGCCGAGCGAAGACTGGTCTTGGATATGGTAGCTGTTGGGGTGGTCGTGTCCGTAGTGGTGCTCGGACTCGGGGGTGATGGATACGAATTGATCGTATTTGCGAAGCAGAACGGCTTCGTCTTGTGTCAAGGAAGAAGAGTGTGAGAAAACGATAGGGACAGTACTGTTTAGAACAGAGTACGACTCTGCGACTTGGATCACCCTGCCGTCTGTATAGGTCAGCCTCAGTCTTCAATACTGATGGAGTACTACCTACAGCCATATGGTCCTCCGACATGGTGCGCCGTAATCACCGAGAGTTTGAGATCACTTCATTGTCAGCAAACGTGCTCAGTAGACGGGGGGTCAGTCAGTACTTACTTTGCAAGTTTGAAAGCTCTCTGTACCTCAGCAGCAGGGCCAAAGGGAATTCGGTCATAGGCAAGTCCAACATTTGTAGCAGTACCTGTCCACAGTCCCTCTGCATCATTCGCCAGCTCTTCCAGGTCTTGGAATTGCTCGTCGATTGTGAACGCATCCCCAAGTTCATGAATCGCGTACGTCCAGAGAACTCTCGCACCACTGTCAACACTCGCCTGCAGTCCTGCTTTCGAGGTTTCCTTGGACCAAGTGTGACTGGCGTGATCCAGCGTGGTGGTGGTACCTGAATTCAACGCCTCGTACAGTCCGTACAGCTGGTTGATGTACACATCTTCAGCTGTGAAGCTCAAGGCTGTAGGAGAGAACTCCCCGTATCGCTGGAAGTACTCCACGAGCGATGTATTGGACGCCATGGTCTTGTATGCGGTCTGCCAATCATGACGATGGGTATCGATGAACCCAGGTGAGATGATCTTGCCGACGACGTTGACGATCTCGGCGGAAGCAAGGACATCTGGAGACGGAGTTTCGCCCACAGACACAATCTCGCCGTCCGCGATGAGAATCGATGAATTCCTGAGGATGTCAATGGAGGAAGTTGCCGGGTTGTAGGTCACAATCGTGCCTCCCTGGAGATAGATTGTCGTTGCATCTGATGAGTTTGTCGTGTTCGAGCTCTGGCTGTGAACACCTGGGAGCGTAAGGAGCAAACACGCAGCAATGGAAAGAACGTGGGGAGCAAGCATGGCTACAAGATGTACAGAGTAGGGGACCGATGTTTCACAGGAGAGATCGAAGGTAACCAGTGTGTCGGTACTTTAATACCGACACGATTCGGCTGACTCGGCGGGAAGGATATTGAGAGGCTCGGTTGGCTCGGATAGGGAATGAGCAGCAGGCTTCGCCTAGCGTGGCATATCCTCAAGGGGCCCCAACTTCCTTGTAAATAATACTATATAGCTAGTCTACGTCATTCCTTTTGATCGTACAGAAGGGATCGACTTCCCTGAACCTTAAAGAGCAGACAGAAATCAGATACCATTTTTACCGACAGTTTTGCAATTGCAAGAAACTACGTGCGTTGCTCGTTAGTAAATAAGAACGTTCGCTACTAGCGATCTAACATTAGTAAGTGATTGACTTAGCCGTTAATCATAAAGAAGCTAAGCTCGACATGATGAATTGAGATTCTATCGATACTTACTCAATTAGTGTAAAAGTGATGAGTTTGCGCCATAAGAAGCTTATACATAACCGCAAGGAAACCATATCACACGTATACACACCGATACTTTATACTTCTAGATGATTTCGATTCAGATCATCTACGAATATAAACCTATGGACGCTAAAGAGCTACGTCAATTATACAAATAGCATACGAGATCGCATAGTGTTGGATCGCCGGTAGCGAACGTTCATTCTTGGCGTGCAGCGCACGTAGCTTCTTGCAATTGCAAAACTGTCGGTAAAAGGGGCATTTTGATTTCTGTCTGCTCTTTAAGGTTCAGGGAAGTCGATCCCTTCTGTACGATCAAAAGGAATGACGTAGACTAGCTGTATAGGATTATTTACAAGGAAGTTGGGGCCCCCTGAGGGTATGCCACGCTAAGCGAAGCCTGCTTATTTTGAATCCGAAACAACCGAGCCTGCTGTTTCCCTTAACTACGTCAGATCGATATTGATGTGCCGGTATTGGCAACTCTCTTTTTTGGCAGTAGCCATTGCCAAGTACCATATCGACCAAAAGGGGAAGGTGCGGTAGAAAAGAAACAAAGGAAAATCACTCCCTTTTATATTACAAAGGCCTTTCGGTCTATCCATCCACTTGAACCTTTAATCTATTGGTCGAAACGAACTCTTGTAAGGAGGCGTTGGCATCGACTCTGGTTATTGCGTTGGCGGGATTAGATTTTCCTTGAATCCAGCGTACCTGAGAAAGCTGACGCCTCTCGTATGACTCGCGAATAGCTATAATATCGATCATAAGGATTTTCCCCTTAGTAGTCCTTAGCTTTACTATACACTTACACAAGGAGTAGGAGTCAGTGTACACTACAATAAGGAACTTTAATATCCTTAGCTGCTTTGTGATCTAGGCGAAAGTAATAAATATCGCAATAGCGATATCAATACTTAAGGATGCAGCGTATAGCTTTAAGACTGTTGGTATCACATAAGGGGTGTGTACACAGGTTGAGACTCGATACGAATAGCAAGTGTTGCATTCGTGGTCGTGGTGTTGTTAAGTCTAAGGAGAGAAAGCTATTCTAGGTGAGTGGGAAGTGCCGGTAGTAGTAGTGGTGCCAAGGGTGAACGGGCCACTGAACGTGCCCTTAGCTCCGATCCCTCCATTGCCCAGTCCAGCACTCCCACAAAGGCTAATACTTATAGCATTGGTCATCTTCTTGCACTTTTGTAACACCTGATATAAAATACTACTTATAGTTGATAGTACTTATCTGGTGATAATACTATGTCATAGGTGGAACCAGCTCTGATGATGTGGTTGTGATTGATTGACTTATCATTTTAGAACTTGGAATTGGGACGAGGTTGTAATAGGAATCAGTGCCAAGGCCAAGTCGGTGCGCTGCTAAGGCTGGGCAGTGCTGCTCTCCTTCTACTGTACCGGTACCTAGCAACACACCCCTTTGTCGAGGCCTTAAAGAGCTCTCGGCAGTACCTAATTATACTTAAACTAATATACTTTTCTTGATTAAGTTAAAGTATTAAAGTAAAAGCCACCTCCAAGCCCACGGTTCATTCAATTTGACTACCGAATGTAATAGATACGACTTCTAGGAGAGGAAAACCTTCAATTGATATAATCGTACCCCTGGTCAAAGTACAAGTCAGAGGCAGGAATGCGGTTCCTAGGACTCTTTAGTAATACGGTTATTTCTCAATAATACTGTCAGCTTCTTCGTGACTTTTTTTACATTACATATCTCGATTCCAATTTTTAATAGAAAAATCAATGATAAAATACAATATTATTCTTTAATAATATACCTACTTTGAGAAAAAGTTTAAGGGTGGTTAGAATTTCAAAACGCGATCCTATTCGTATATCAACTTCGTCCGCGCAATTCAAATCACTTTTAATCAAGTAAACAATTAAATAATTAAGCAACTACAAATAATGACATGTAATCTTTTGAAAAATCATGATCGCTATTCCATTGACCAATCAATTCGGCTCAAGCTCTTATGCTAGCGTTTTCGCACGTATCGTTTTATACTGTTCTTTATTTCTTGCAAGCCATCTGCCAGCCCAGTGCGTATCAAGGCGTCTGCCGCTTCTTAAGTACGAGAGGGCCGAGTGTGCTGCGCCACGAATATTAGACTTCGTTGTTTGGTAGCCGATATATATCAAAAAGGATATATATTCACGCAAGACTGCGATTTGTGCACCCGATAAAGCATTGCTACAACCTCCTTTTGTGTTTTGTAGTTTTCGGCCATTGAATCGCGCGTTGAATTGACGAAGAGGAACGATGAATTTAGACAGCGGCAATCGTGCTCGGTTTGATATAAGGATTGGGTTTTCTGAAAGCTATAGCTCCAGCGATTCTCTTCTCCGTTTCGGCATCGAATTCAATCATGATGTGGTTGATTAATCGCGTATGGAAGAAAAATCACGAAAAATTTGACTGTATTACTGAAGATGACTAGGAGCCGCATTCCTGCCTCTGACTTGTACTCTGAACAAGGGTACGATTACTACCTTTTGCTCATAAACTCATTCCGTGCTGTACCAGCCCTTTCTAGGCACCGCTTTAAGGTCTTAAAATCGCTCGAAATCCAAGCTGATGTCGAAGGAACGGGTGAAAAAGGCGTGGTAGTTGGGCGTAATTGTTGCTTTAATAGCTGCAGTTAAGTTGGTTGCGGTCAACCTGCTTGATTGCAACAGGCAAAGCGTATTGGCCGGTGACTAAAAAAGAAGGTGCGTAAAGTTTTCTTATCCTCAACGATAAAAAGCTTGGCATACACTTTGCAAATCTCCTTGTCAACAGAGGTAAACAGCTTTTTTCCTTTCTGGTAACCGCTAATTTTGCTCACTTTGTAGCTAGAATAAATATTGATTGGTGATGATGTTGTTGTTGTTATTGTATTTATTAACGTCGGGCGGGTAGCAGGCCGCCCTGGGACCTCCCATAGGGGACGGCGACGTGCTAAGCTAAGGAGTTACATACAAGACGGCCCTAGAGAGTAATTCAAAGTGCTGCAGCGAGAGCTAATATCGTCTGCGCCCTCCCCTTACGGATAAGATGGATCACAGTGAGACGAAACCTCTCGCCAGAGGAAAACCACAACAGAAAGTCAAGCAGGTACAGACTGCTGCAGCCAGCTTATAGCGTAGCTGTGCGAGTCGCAGAGCGACTGGTATCAAGGCCGGACCGGGGTTATTGATTGGTGATTGAGGCATGTAAAGTGCATTCTAACACTTAAGTACTCTTATAATACCATTAGTTTTAAGTGATTTAATCACACAGGTTCCAATATCGAAGCGACGAATTGGACCACCCAAAGTACTCATAAGAGGGAGATCCTCTCTAGCTGTATACACAATACACTTCAAGAAATCGTTGCCCACGTGATCAGTTGCTCAATTATCGTAGAGCCAACGGTCCTTATATGAGGTGTGTGTGAATGAGATCTAAACTAAAAAGGAGCTGCGTATCCGAAAACCTCGTCATCAACGTTACCCTCGTTTTCTTCTTCTTATTGCTTCCTTTACATCCATCCACCTTTCTCGTTCTCTGTGCGCTTGAAATAAAAGGATTGACTTCTTGCTAGTTCTCTTTTTCAAACGCCTCCCGCAACTTCTTATTGACTACAAAACAATCCTTAAGAGTGTATAGGACAGAACCTGAACCGATTTTCAATTATGTATATACATATCTAACAATCACTTGCTTGAGCGATTCCAATAATAAGCTATATTTCTTTGAAAATCCTTTAGAGTTGAAGAATTTAGAAGGCTAAAGATCAATCCGAACATCAACGGAGCCTTATCGGAACTTCGAAGAATGATTTCCTAATATTATGAACCTTATAATTTCAATTCTTGATAATAACCTTTTAGGTCCGATGCAAGCAGCTGTCTCTTTAGTATCTTTTTTAGTAATAGCCCTATTAATTCTAATGCAAGTTTTTTTTTCTTCTTTTTTTTTTTTCTGTGAAAATATATTTTTTTTTAAAAAAAAATCTTCTCCCTTTCTCTCCTTTTAAGATTAGAAATATATATTAGTCGAGATTAACAGCAATGTGGTGAACGTCACCAATATGATCGTTCATGGGGCTAGAATTCGGCAAGCGAGAGAGAGAGAGAGGCAGGCTTTGACAATAACAATAACATTAACATTCGCTTAGCTAGGCTACGGAAAGCGAATAAGAAATGATGGATGGAGCCTCTGAGGTAAATCCGTACAAGCTTCGCGTATGAGAAGGAAACTACTGTGGTTTGCATGGTATACTATCCAATCAGCTGCTGCAAACAGAAACCGGTAGAGGCACGGGTGACCCGCGCTAGATTGATGACTCTTGTACGATGTCGCATCGTCCCCCGCAATCCACACATCGGGCATTCTATTCCACACCCGCCGACACCTCATGGGTTTTGCGTTGCACTCGGAGTCGGAGATGAGAAGGAAGATTATCTGACGACCGCTGGACGGGCCGAGATTCGAGATTCGAGAGATTTGCAAGGACTCACAGAACTTCAGAGGCCGCCGGCCCTCAGTGGCGAAGCGATGGCGATCTTCGGGAGGAAGAAGACGACGGCGACGACGACATCCACTCGTCCAGAGCCAGAGCCTATCCATAGCGCGCAATTCAACCACCCAGGGGCATATGCGAATTCATTGCCGCCCAGCTGGACATATCTTGAGCAAAGGCCTCCTCAAGCGTCCCTCGGTCGCGATAATGGATCTCCTGCCCAAGCCCAAGGCTGGCAAGCCGCCCCAGTTCACACGCACTACCAACCAGTATTGGTAGAGAATACCAGCAAGCTCAATCTAGCTACAAGAAGCAACTTGCTGGCCAGGAATGTGCCAGACTGCCCCATTCTGCAGCACGGCATAACTTCATTACACATGCACGGAACGCAATATCTCAACCAAGGAGCTGCACTTTGTGATTTGATAGCATCGGAGTTCGATAATATAATCAGTCTTATTGATGAAGAAAGATTTCGCGGCGACGAGAGAGAGCTGGCAGTATTCTCTCCTCCCCAGCCAATGTGGCAGCATCAACAATACGAGACTGAATATGCGGACCACGAACTCGAGAAAGGGAAGTCGAAGGGGATAGTGAACAACTGTGTCTCTTCGCCACTCGCTAGCGCGAATCACTTTTCCAAAGTGTACCTGTACGCGAACTCGAGACTCCCTCAAAATCTGCCTCCTTTGAAACTGTGAGACTTTTCCATCTTCCTCGGGAACTGAACTGCTCTGATGAATATAGGTACATCCCCACCTTTTCACTACTCTGCCTGGCTGCCCAATATTCCGAACAGGTCTACAAAAAGCCGACGGGCCAAGAGAAGGAGGTACATTTGGATGCAGACTGGAGGCTGGGGACCAAGGCTGTGGTCATCAAGTCTATTCCCATGGACGATATGAGAACGATTATCTTTGCCATCAGAGGGACGCAGAGTTTCATGGACTGGGCTGTCAACATGAACTCAGCCCCTGCATCGCCAGAGGAATTCCTTGTGGGTCTTGGTCTCCTGTCGCGTACGTTCCACAGCTGAGCAGAATTTAGGACGATCCCGGTAATCTTTGCCATGCAGGTTTTCTCACAGTCGCGAAGAAGATGATCAAACCGGTGGCCGCAAGACTTCGACATCTTCTCGAGGAAGATCCCGGGAGATCAAGATGCTCGCTCATGATCACCGGCCATTCGGCGGGTGGAGCAGTTGCCGCTCTTCTGTACTCACACATGCTCGCGACGGCCCCCGAAGCCGAGTCAGAACTCAATATACTCACAGGGTGCTTCAAACAGATTCACTGTGTAACCTTTGGTGCTCCTCCAGTCTCCCTCTTACCGCTTTCCACGCCCTCCGATCCAGCCCTTCGAGAGTCTCTGTTCCTCTCCTTCGTCAATGAAGGAGACCCAGTCGCCCGAGCAGACAAAGCCTATGTGTGCTCCCTACTGAATCTCTACTCCTCTCCAGCACCCGGCCAATCTTGCGCCATCACACCCCAGAAATTGCAACCGCTCGTGCAGAATCTCAAGCAGTCCTCGAGCGCCTTCACGCTCAACAAATGGCGACCCACACACACAAAGTTGAACACTCTCCCGAATCTAGAGATCGTTCCGTATTGGCCAATACCCGAAGCCTTAATGAGCAATGCAGGAAGGATCGTGTTGCTGAGAAGCGTCGAAAAGTATGAAGAGAGGACGAGCAAGAAGAGGCCAGTCCTTGAGAGGACGTATGAAGGTGTTGCAGCGCAAATTGTCACGGATGAGCTTCTCCGAGGTGTGCTGTGGGGTGATCCAATGTGCCATATGATGCGACTTTACACCAGGCGCATAGAGATTCTGGCTACGAACGCGGTAACGGGACGCTCGTGATGGAGAGATCCACAAGGGCATCTCGGGACTGGATGGCCCGTTACCGTGCTCTTTAGATTAGATTGAAAGGGAATCGCGTATCTATAGTCTGGCTCTCAGTATGCGAGAGGAAGCCTAGGCTGGCTTGGTCTCGGATTGTTGTTTAAGGCGCTTATGGTGTGCACTCCAACGGCGGACGCGATACCCAGAGGAACGGGATGAGGGAGGATGAAAGAAAAGCCGAGGACAAACAGGACAGAGGAATCAGTAAGATATGATGATACGTCGGGAGTGAATAAAAGACCAGTGGAAGGAAGCAGTTACATCGCCCAAAACAGAAAAGCATTTTAATCTGAACACCAGAAGCATACAGAAGAGCGATGAATAAAAACCAAACAAGAAGCCAACATTGAAAAGGCCGACGGAGCTCTTACTTACAGACCTGTGGTCTTGTCTTCCAGCTCGTGGGGTTGTTGTCGTGAGGTTTGAGAGTTGACAGAGGTACTCCGTAGGAAACAAATTGCTGTCGTGGTCGTGCGTGACGAGGCTCGGGCCGACCACGTCTTCGCGTCTAAAAAAGCCGAACAGACGCGGTGCTCGCTTAGGGGAGTTTTCGGCCTCGGCATTTCCACGTGGGACAACCCGACCTGCACATGTCTCCTTTTCACATGAATCATTGACCGAGTCCACCAAACCTAGAGCCGAGCCCCACACATTTTCCGCGCGGTAGTCAATTGAGTAGTGGTAGGAGATGGCCACGCGCCTCCTGCAACTCATCATCCCGGTTCATTTTCGAAGAAGCTGTCCCCATATCAAGTATAGAATCCTCTTGCCTTCTTGCATTTCGCTCTCCTCTTCTCCTTCTTTGGAGTCATAGAACATAGATCGCTGCTTTTCTTCGGACTCGGAACATCCATCTAGAGAGACTACACAGATTTCTAGATCCCCCTTTTCTTTTACAGTGAAATAGACGATACTAGATAGACGACGACGACAAACGACCAACCTTAGACAAGATGAGCAAGATGGGGGATTTTGACGCTGTCCGCAAGGATATTGCAAAGCTCTTGCACCAGCCTGAGTACGACGATGGGAGCGCAGGGCCTGTACTTGTTCGACTCGCTTGGTAGGCCTTCCTCTATCCCCTCCCCCCACCCATCCCCCTCCCGGGACAGTTTCTCGAGACTTCTCTGATGCAGCCCGGTCTTGCTACACTTCTAACACATCGCAGGCACTCAGCAGGCACCTACGACGCAGAAACAGACACCGGTGGCTCCAATGGCGCTGGCATGCGCTACGAAGCTGAAGGTGGCGATCCAGCCAACGCCGGCCTCCAACACGCTCGCGTCTTCCTCGAACCCGTCAAAGCCAAGCACCCGTGGATAACCTACGCCGACCTTTGGACGCTCGCGGGCGTCGTGGCCATAAAAGAGATGGGCGGCCCTTCAATACCATGGAGAGGTGGACGGACAGACTATGTCGATGATTCCAAACTTCCACCTCGAGGGCGCCTGCCAGATGCTGCGCAGGGTGCGGATCATTTGAGATGGATCTTCTACCGAATGGGATTCAATGACCAGGAGATTGTGGCGTTATCCGGCGCGCACAATCTGGGACGATGCCATTCCGATCGTTCGGGCTTCGAGGGCGCATGGGTCAACAACCCGACGAGGTTTTCGAACCAGTATTTCGTTCTCCTCCTCTCTCTTCAATGGAAGAAGAAGACGCTGGAGAATGGGGTGGAGCAATTCAACACTTACGACGACGATACCGAGACGGAACTCATGATGTTGCCAACCGATATTGCTCTGAGGCAAGACAACAGCTTCCGCAAATACGTGGAGCTCTATGCTAGAGACAAGCAAGCGTTCTTTAAGGACTTCACGGCTGTATTTGAGAAGTTGATGGAGTTGGGAATCCAGAGGGATGCGGAGGGGAAGATTACGAATTCGGACAATGAGAAGGGTGGCTACCACGCAGCACCGAAGAAGAAGGACACGCCTGGCAGTCCAGAGAAGAGTACGGACGACAAGAACGGGCCGAGTGAGGCAGAGCCGTTGATGGAGGAGAACAAGAAGTTCAGGTCGAGGTTGTGAGAGAGCTGGGTTGTATGATAGTAGAAGAGTGTTCTAGAATTAGGATCGATCGATACATGGGTAAAGAATATATTCGGGCATCAATCAACAGAGCCAAGAGGAGTCTTCTTACCTCTCTCAGGTTTCCTATCCCGTCTTCTTCTTCTTATCCCGTCTTCTTATTATTCCCAACAGTACAGTTTTTCCCCCGCTCATCAGCCTTTCCACATCGACGTCGTCCTGGCGCCAATCCGAACACCAGACCCGAACACCAGACCCGACGATCATTTCAGCCTTATGGAGTGCGTCAAGTCTAAGATTCACCCACCGATTGGGCCGGAGTTCACAGCCAATCACCACGGCCCAATCGCCCCCGTGTTGACTTGAGTCGTGAATATGTTTCATAATATATCTTCGACCTGCAATCATTTCTGTAAATCTGTCCACAGCCACATCGACTGAACCAATTATACGATGCAAATTCCGGTTTATTTAATGAGTTATGGCGTCGGCAATCATGGCACACATGAGTCCGGTGTTTCGTCGTGCCTGGTCTGAACTCTGACGTTTCTTCGGCACATTTCTATTACCGTACCGTTCACCAGTCGGAACATTCATTGCTGCAAGTTGTAACGTCCCCTCGGGCTTGCCCAGGCGTACGGAGGAGTGGGAGCGGGAGTGGGAGTGGGAATGGGAGTGAGAGCAGGGGCCAATTGAATCCAGGATTCAATATGACTTGGTATAGGCACTATATATGTATATATATATATATATATATGTGATTCTATATATACATCTACAATACTTCCTCCGTATGATCAATTCGAGGGAAATCAAACGGGCGGCTATTTTGGTCCGTCGGCGTACAGAGAGAGATAAGCTTCTTCGCTAAATAATGTAAGTAACGTCCACTAGTGAACGCCCTGCGCTTTTTCATCCAACCTTTACAGTAAATCTGTAGCCGTCTCGTCTCGTCTCTCCAACGAAACCCCCCTCCTCAAGCCCCCAAACCCCCCCCCCCCAAACCCCCCGAACCCCCCAAAGCCCCATACCTCCATACCTCCAAAACCCACGACGACTCGACTACAACCTCCCCAAGATCCGCGTCACCCAGATGCACTCCGTCTGCAACAGCTAACAGTTTCGCCCTTGCTATGTCGAGGTAGAGTCTCTGCATCTGCATGTTAGATAAGAGACGAACTGAGATTCACCTCTACCTCCACCTCCACCTACCTCCACCTCCGCTGCTACCTCCACCTCAAACTTTCGCCGTCGCCGAACACCCCCGCGATGTCGAACCTAGATCCCCAAACACCCAATTTGCGTTCACAGGAGAATAACAATGTCCCTTCGTCCGCCGACTGGAGGAATGCTACTATGAATGAACAGAGCATTAGCCAGAACTCGGAGCTCGCAGTGTCAATCTCCACCGGGAAACCCAACTCCCTGCTCCGATCATCAACGTTTGCGCCCTCTCCCACCACAGGCGAGCCTACTTGTCTTGAGAACGAGAAGCCTCTCTCTCGTCTCGACACGACCTCTTGTCCGCAGCCTAGAGATAGAAAACGCTCGACTCCTTCAAGTCCCTCCAGCGCCGGGCTCCGGGTTCAGACCGATATCATTCCGGGCTCTACAGATACAGCTGCGAGTACTACTAGCACGGCGAGGAGGCCAAGCGATTCAACGCGGATCCCACCCAAGACCATATCCTCAACGTTAGCAAGGGCGCCGAGTGTCAAGAGCGTTTTCGCGAGCAGTGTAGGCAGCAGCTCGAACATTGGATCTGCGCCCAACTCGGCCTTCTCTTCGCCGATGTTGAATGCCATGGGAGACGTTACACCTCTTCCCTCACCACTCATGACTGGCGACTCGCCCGGACCTTGGAAGAAACTCGCGGCTCGGCCCTCCTCGAGAGACATGACGGTGCCCAATACTGCCGATTCGGCGTTGGTGACCACGAATGGGGAGTCTGTTTCGGTAGCCATTGCGAATCAGTCGAAGAGGCGCGCGTACCATGGCTTATCGGAATCTATCGGGTCTGGGCCGAACATCATACAGAGCACCAAGGATATGAATGCGGAAGGCCATGCGAGGAACAGGAGCGTTAGCGAGTACGTGCCCGAGAACGCCCCGCTACCAAAGTCAAGGCACATTACCGTTTCAGGATCCCATGCGGCAGTTCTAGATGTGGCGAGTGAGCCTCTAGCGGATACGCACATGCGAAGGGAACCTCACTTGGCAGTACAAAGAGGTCTGGCGCCAGTTCCTAAACCACCGACTCCACCCTCGAGTAGAACTGGAGCAGAAAGCAGCGACAGCGAATCGTCCCTATCAACCGATTTTTTGAGATCGCATAAGAAACCTCGATACGAGAACTATGACGCATACACCCGTGAAGACTCGAAACGTAGGAGATGGAGAGCCTTGAAGATTCTAGGGGAAGGGACTTTTAGCAAGGTAATGCTCGCGACAAGTCAAGTGCCAGATTCAGAGGACCGAGTAGATGAGGACGACGTGTTCGGATCCCAGATGGACGGTATAATGACTCCGGCGCCAGAGACGAAGATCGACCGGAAAAAGCTCGTTGCCGTGAAAATATGTGAGCATGGCCCAAAAGGAGGCGCCTCTGAGGAGCGCGTAGAGATGTCTCTAAAGCGAGAATTGGAGATCATGAAATCAATACACCACCCCTCACTCGTCCATCTCAAGGCCTGGAACATTGAAGAAACGCGCGCGATTCTGGTTCTCAGCTACTGCCCCGGCGGCGATCTTTTCGAAGTCGCCAGCGAGCACCGCGATCTGCTCGTCCCCGGATTGCTACAGAGGATATTTTCCGAGCTGGTGGCTGCGGTACAGTATCTACACGATAGACACATTGTGCACCGAGATATCAAGCTTGAGAGTATGTCTTTATTGACTAGTTGAGACTATATTTGGTGCTGATCTCCTGCTTAGATGTCCTTGTTAACCTCCCACCAAACGAGCTGCAACGACCCCAGAACTGGGCTCAGTACCCCAATTCCATCATCACGCTCACGGACCTCGGATTGTCGCGTCGAGTGGCGGATGACGAGAAATTGACTACACGCTGTGGATCTGATGATTATGCCGCTCCGGAAGTAATCATGGGACAGCCTTACGATGGGAGAGCGACAGATGCTTGGTCCCTAGGTGTTCTTCTGTACGCTCTGCTCGAGAGTAGATTGCCCTTCGACCCGAACCCAGGGATGTCCGAAGGCCACAAGCAGCGCAGTCGCACTAGCCACCGTATCGCAAGAGTCGAATGGCGCTGGATAGAATATGCAGGTGACGAAGGGGACCACGAAGGCGACCCTGAGAAATTCAAGGCGCGCGGACTTCTTGGTGCCATGAACGTCACTGAGGGCCTCCTAAAGCGAGCCCGGAGTCGGTGGACCATGGCTCAAGTTGCGGCAGAGGAGTGGGTTAAAGGGGGTATCGATCTTGACAACGGGATCAGATTCCGTGAGGAGGATGTTCCTGAAGAAGTGTCCGACAACGGTACGGGTGGTCCATCGCCGTCATGACAGCAAAATAAATGAGTCTCTATTTCGATTCTGCTTTCAGGCTTAGGGTTAGGTGGGAACGATCGGACTGGGAGGGAGAAGGACTCAGGAGGGGCCAGGAAGGGAGAAACGGGAGGAATGATAGGAGGATCGGTGAGAACGATACCAAATGTCGCTCCTCGGAAACACCTTCCCATGGGGGAGAGAGACTCAGGGCGGGACGAGGAAATTGCAACCGATGGCACCGGCTTGGGGCTTTCGCGAGTCCGCAGGCCGTAGTCTAAGAGCAAGGAATTAATTTCTAATGCGAAGGCTTTGGTCTTATTGGGGCTATTCGGTGTTCTTTAAGGGGTATGGTTTTTGGTGCATATGCGTAAAAAGATGGCTGGTTAGAGTGTAGATGGGTGGTGCCGAGAGGGAGGTCAAAGGTGAGAAGGAAGTGGGCGTGCCTTGTATAATAGATAGGTGGCACCGGGGGGGGGATTGTTGTGTATAGTATGCGGCTGGGTTTTCAAGAAGAGGGGAGGGACTATCTAGACAGAAGGTGAAAACAGATAGAGGTTTAAAAAAAAGAGAGCTTTTTCATTGAACCCTTAGCGGTTTTCTTTTTCGCGATGTGCAATCAATGTACTGATATAGGTTGTACTGATATAGGTATACCGAGCTAATGATGGTGAAAGCAGATGGGAAAACCACTACTTCTCTGTAATATTTTTTGGGGGGGTTTTGATCCCTTTTTTTTTTTTTCCTTGTCTTGTCTTTGTACTACCTACCCCCCTCCTTTTTTCTCATCCCTTTTTTTTTTTTCTTCTTTCTTTTTATTGCTGTTATTATTGTTGTTACATTACATTAGGCCACCATCTCAATATCCAAATCGCTACCTACCTAGCTAGCTAGCTAGCTATCCTGACCCTCTTCCTATCACCCCTCCTCCCTCCTCCCTTCCCTCCCCCTCCCCTCCCCCAAGCAAAACAACAACTCCCCTCTCCCTCCCTCCCTCCCTCCCTTCCATGAACTGCCATAGACCGAGACTCGAACGAAAGAAAGTTAATGGGTTCATATTAAAACGGAGAGGTCGTGCGGGTTTCTGTCTTTAGGGAGTGGGTGCTGCCGCCGGGTACGGCGTGGGCTGCGAGCTTGTCGCGCTTTCGGAGCCTGGTTCGGGTGGTTGAGGGGTGATGGAGGGAGGGGAGGGGGGGGAGGGAGGGAGTGAATGTGCGTTTTGAGTTCTGAGTATTTGGATTGCTGGAGGTTTGGATTGCTGGATTGTGCGAAAAAAAAAAATCTTTCTTTTT